CACTCGCAGTCACTCCGCAAAATTCTTCACTTCAAAAGCACCTACTACACCGAAGTGCTCAACCCCACAGCCAGAAACTACACCAACCAGGAGGTGAGAGCACTCACCTCACAGCCTCCCCTCACACACCACATCCACAAAGCACAGCTGAAGCTTTTCGGGCACATTCTTCGATCCCACCCGAACAGTATATAACGGAACTGCTGTTTTACAAAAGGCTTTCAGTACAGAGGGGAACAGTAGGTGCAGGTCTTAAAAAGGCTTTCAGTACAGAGGGGAACAGTAGGTGCAGGTCTTAAACCAGGCAGGCGAAGGGTCCACTGGACAGAAGGGTATCTGCGTCGGTCGGGCGATCCCCTCTCGACCTCCTTCCCCAGAGGGTTCGGAATCTCTGGGTCGGGATGCCTCTCCACGTGTCACCCCCGCATTGCCTTGATCATTCGATCCATGGAAGCGGCAGGCTGGGTGCATGCGCTCATTGGTTTTTTCTAAACCCTTGTTTGGCAGATCCCTCCTTCACACCTGCGGAGCTTGCAGTCTTTCTTGCGCCGAGGCTCCATGGTACCATTGTGTTTCACTCGGTCCGCCTTTTTGCCCAAGTCACGATCTTCCAGTTGACAAATTCCACCGCCCAGCGTGGAGGTTGGGTGCGCGAAGCTGGGTCAAAGGCGGAAGTGATGAAGAGGATCGTCCCCTCCCGCTTTAAGGCATCCAAGAGAAAAAGGCCTTGCAGTGTTGTGGTCGCGGGTCTTGAGGTAGGATTTCGCACTTGCCGTTCAAGAGTATGGCTCGACCTTTCCTCAGTCCTAATACACGGCGTCAGGTATAGGTATGCGACTCAATCACCGCTGGGAAAGCTGGGTAGGCTCCCCATGGGGATACAGTCCAGGTTAGCCCCCCCAGCTCCCCCGCGATGCAAGGGGGCGGCACAGGCCCCCAAGCAAAGGTGCAGCACTTGAGCCAAAATGGCTATCTCTCTCTCTCTCTCTTTGCTTTGCTTTGCTCGAGGCGGGAGCAGTCCTCTCTCTCTCTTGCTTGCTTGCTTGCTTGCAAGGCGTGTGGGGTACAGGGGCGAACCCTGTGACCCCTGCGCGCGAGCGCTACGCCATTGTTCGAGTTCGGTGTGAAACTGGTCGACAAGCATGCTGCCATGGCGTGTTAGGCCCCCGAGTTCGAGTATCCCCGTTCTAATTGAACTTAGCACCCCCGCCTTGGTCAGCATGCTCGAATCTGTGCTAGTGTCCGTGGGTTTTCCACGGCTCTCTGGTTGTGTGGCTGCTCAGCTTCAACTCACATGACAGGTCAAAAGCACTACCCATGTACAGGACACACACATACCTGAACCTGTTGGCCGGACCAGCTCACACTCTGTGCGCTAACCTGTAGTACTACGGTTTGTGGACTGTTGCTTGTGGCAGTGCGGGTCCCCGGGGTCAGGAAGCAAGTGGGGCAGGGTAACAGCAGCCTAGGGGAACATGACACACACTGGGTCCCCGCACTGGTGGTGGTGATGCTGTGGTGGGGTCCCGGTGTCGTCAGGTCAGGAAGCACAGGGGGTAGAGGTAAAGGTGCAGTAGGGGAACCTCTCTCTCTTTCTTTCGCTCTCTTTTTCTGCTTTTTCTCTTCTTTTCCGGGGCATGAGGGGAGTGCGAAACCCCTCGGCCTTGTAGGCCCCCCCGATGTTCGTGGGGCTTTTGGAGGAGTGTGAGATAATTTGTGAGCATGTTTCCCCCTGTTAAAGGTTCAACGTAAGATACAATCGGAATATCGCATGCCAGGGTTCATAGCTCACATATCAACGATGCTCTATTTCAGGGAGATGTCTCTGTGTGTAGATAACGAAATTCAGTACGGCAGTAGATGAAGCTGACATCATGACTCTCGCCGTGACATCGGCATCAAGCGTATGGCGTGGATTGGAAGTTTTCGGAAATAAATCCCCTGAAATTAAGGTGTGTATGAGTATCGTAGGTGAACTTCCAATCCCCCGAAGTTCGTTGCATAAGGATATCAGGAGTCACCGACCAGGGGTCTTTTCAAGAGCTAGTGGAATGAACAGAACCACAGACATAGAAACCATATTTCCCCCGGTTCGGTGTTTCGCCACTTGCCCGCCTGCTGTTCAGCTTGGTAACAGAATATCATACAATCTCTTCTTCAGCACAGGCAGAGAGGAGACGCGCCTCCCCTCGCGCGTTATCATACGATCTCTCTCTCTCTCTCTCTCCCTCCCTCCCTTCTGCAGCTAGGGATGCAACTGCATGGCGTGCACTGGCTTGCTAGAACTGCGGGTGGTGCTTGCTCTGTCTGTCTGAATGGCATAGGGAGGACCTCTCCAGATTCAGATTTCTCACATGTGAATCTCATGAATTGTACAGGTTTCGAATCCTCTTCTGCTTTCCATGTCGGGCAAGATGAGCCGGAGTCCATTCTGCCGGTTTGGGCTCTCCACACTGGAAGCAGCTTGTACGCCTCGCAAAGCAAACGTTCCTGCACTTCTTGTTCGGGCACATCCAATCATCCAGTTGCAATCGTGGTGGCATCTTACAATTGGCCGATTGCACAAAATCAGATGGATTATCCATAATGTGCTGCACCATCTCACGCACTGCAACAGAAGCATCCTCGAAGGACGACTCGTTGTTGAAAGGTGGATACAGCACGAGTTCGAATCGTCCACATCCACCCCTATATGCCATTTGCACCAAGGGCCGGTGTCCATGCTTCCGCTCTTCGTGACCTAGACAGTCGCAAATGCAATCCACGATCTTCTTCATCGTGGTGCCACATTCACCCAATACTCTGCCGACGTCCTTCTCCGCGATGGAGCAATTTGCTACCATCGCACGGTATGATGCACCTTGCTCATGCTGCCCGGTGCGAAGAACAGAATTCAAAAAGGCTGTGAGCCTTGCAGCCAAATTCTTGTCTTTAGTGCGGCTCGGATCGAACTTCATCATGACAATGCGCATAACCTCCCCAGGGGAAAAATCAAAGCACTTCGGCACAGCTGCAATTGTATTCAATGTTTTGGGGATGTCCAGGGATCGACCCCGAGTTCACGAAAAGATCAAGATTTGGATCACCCACGAACTGGGAGCGGGTTTGCGAGTACATGGCGAGAAAAATCAGGCAGCACGGGCTTTTCATGCGTCTTCAACAAGTGGAGCACCGAAACGGGAACACCAACCACTTGGTAACTACTTGTACAAATTTGCCTTTGCTGCCAGAGGGTAGGAGTCGGGACGATGTCCATTCTCATTTGCCTGGGAAGAAGGCTGTGGATTTGACACAGCTCCCGTTTTTAGCAAGCGTTCCCAGTCACTTGATAGGAGCGAGGGCGAGTTGCGACAACCAGAACGATCACCCCTTACAACCTGTCACGAGCACAATAACCATCTCCTAGATGATGACCGTCATCGGGACCATCGTCACCAACACGATGATAATCAATCCTCCTCTTCCTCCTCCTCCTCTTCATCATCATCATGAGGACTTCTCCTTTCAATGTGCAGTTGCTTACCATTCCTCGTGTGTTTATTGTTTTATATTGTTTTCCGCGTTTTGTTCGCAAAGCTCTGCGCTTTCACTCTAGAGTCTGAGGTTCGCCCTGCCCGCAGGAAGGAGGGCCACAGAGGATTGACGCAAGCCCAGATTGTGTGCACAGTCCTTTTGTTCCATGACGAAGTGCCACTCCTCATTCCTGCAAACGGGAAAGGGCCTATGACGACTTTCCGATACACGTGCCCGCTAGAGGATTGTCAGAGTGGGAACGGAGCGAGGCGCCGGAAGAGGCAGAGGATGGGGTTTGTTTGGTGTTTTGCTTCCCGTGGGTCTCAGCTTCTACGAGTTAGCCTTAATCCGCCGCTGCGCCCTCTGAAGCTCCAAACTTTCGATTAGGCACATCCAGCCGAAGCCTGCAAGTTTCTTCAAAATTCTAAACCCCTAAACTCCAAAAAGCCCTTTTTTCCCTGGCTTGCAGGTCTTGAATGCTCTCCTCTCCCTGTGTCCAGCTTCAAAGCAGCATAAGCGCGCGCTTGTCAGGCCATCAGGCACCCATAGGCCCTAGCACTAGGTGCTTCTGATTGCTTCTGTGCGTATCACGTGCTTCTGCAAGCTCAAGCACCCTTCGCCAGAAATGCGGCCGTTTAGGTGCCGACACTCAGCTCTTTGGAGCACTTCCACAATACTGGGACCCACCCTCCCCATGCAGAGGCATTTCCCGCAGCCAGGTTTCATGAAACATGGTTTCACAGATGCTTCGGGGTGATCACAGATATTTGACTGTTCAGTCTGGCAGTTCGGGGTATTGCAGAGTTGAGCTGCCGTTCATCCTGAGAAACCCATTTCTACAAGAAAGCAGCACGAAGCCGGAACTGAGGCATCATCTCGACAAGCAGGAACCGTCTGGTACGGTGGGTTTGGTCTCCAGCCCAGCCTCCTCTGGTGTGCTCTGTATCAGATTCATCACGTCCCGGTGACGTTGGAGGGCAAGCTGCGAGACCCACGCATCCAGCACTATTCTAAAGAAGCGCTTGTATGATAAGCCTCTTTCCCAGTCCAGCGTCAAATTAGATATCACCTCGTCCTTCACATTCTCTGGAATGCCAGACCTTTCACATCAAATAGCGGAGTGAATGGGAGCCCTCACTGTGCTACCGACCGTCCTTTCTCCGTCATGTCATGACTTCAATGAACACAATTTAGGGCAAGGTCCAATATGCCACAAAGATGCAGTAGTGTGATCGAAGCATCGTCAAGCTTGCAGCGCTCGATGAAATTGTCTGCTGCTTCGTCGAAGGGAGCTCCAGTCTTTTGCCAGTTCCAAGACATGGCTCAGGCGATGGTAGCGACTCACAAGGTCGGTGATGTGATCCAACATTGCTGCCATCGCGACAACAAGAAGCAGTCAGTGCTGTACTAGGAGCACGAGCAACGCATCATATCTTCCAAATGTGGGAATTTCACGATGTGGCGACATTCCATTCCAGCTAAGATGCATTGTGCGATAGCTGCACCTGATGTGGCAAGTAAATGCCAAAGCAACATTAATGATGTTGTGTGCGACTTTCAGTCAAAACATGTCAAAACCATGCTGCTCTGCCCACCTCTTGAAGGGACACGCATCTGGAAAGACCGTTGCACAGCAATTCAACGGACACATCGATCAGTTGATTGTTGGAAAGGTCCTCGCGCTGGAGAAACGAGAATAGGTTGGGACTGGGAGACAATGCAATTTAAACGGCTCGTGGCGAGCATGAGCGCCAGCTGTCAACAGTGCCCGTGTCCAGCGTCTTCAGACCGGCGAGCCCTGCCCCGGGCCAGAGTCCCTGACCCAGCGCACCACAGGCCCGAAGGCCAACTCCTCTCACAAGCTGAACGGCAGTTGGCCTAAAGAAGATTCAGGAACCTGCAAGCTCCAAATGCCATAGCTGTCAAAGCAGCCGTCCTGTGCTGGAGAGGGCGAGCCGGCGCAAAGTCGGAATCCCTAACCGCGGAAAGCTTCAACAGACTTTTGGGTATGCTCTGGACTGCCCACCTTCACCCCCGTGAACAGATCACTGCACTTCGTCACATTTCTCGGCTCCGAGCATTTGCTCATGTTTTCAGCGAGGCAGCAGCAAGCGTTCTCGCCAAGATGGTTGCCATTACACCTTCGAGCTATCTCCTCCCTCTACCAGTAGGGAAGCTTTGGCGAGTTCACAAAAAAAACATATTTCGGACAAGAGGAGGAATCTTGATGTATTGATGCAAAAACAGGAAGCAGCACTTAAGACTGAAGCAGTGCGGCATGTGGTCTCTCTCTGTTGTTATTGCTGATGCCAAGGCGCTCGAAATCATTCAGGCCCTTCTCCAGGCAGTCAAAGCCGGCCTCATTGCACAACGTGCTACACGCATACGCATGCCAGACAGGCAGAGAAGCCAAGGCTGCCGAACTGCCAGCGCTGACCAGCTCAACATTTCGGAGGCTTTCGCGCCATCCTCCACAGAAAACAACTTCACCGTATGCACAAGTATGCACACTTGTAAATTCCTGTGCAGGCTGGCAAAGCTTCGATCCAAGAGTCTGAAATACATGACATTCGCAACGAGTGCCACCGATTCCTGACAGAGTGCGGGAGCAGTATGGAGCAGTGAGGCAGGCTCGGATGACCCGAGAACTCTTCTAACCAAGAACTAGGATACAAGTACGTTCGAAAGCCGATTGCCATCGATTGCCTCTAAGCTACAAGGCGAACACTGGCTGCTGGGATAAAGCACATTTTGGAGATTGTTGGCTGCCTGCGCCTGGCTGCCAGAAGCATCCGGGCACCATCCTAGGACAGTCCCACGGGACGCGAGATGAGTTGATTTCTCAGCCTTGCAGCCCATTTGCGAGGCCCAGTGCATTGTATCCGATGTCGAGTCCGGCTAGACGGCATCCGGTAAAGCCGGCCAGCCCCTGACCTTCGAAGAAAGGGCGTCACACGCACTCATCAATCCGTCAGGGTCAAGCGGAAGATTCAAGATGCAGGCTGCTGCATCCTACTTGTTGCAGCCGGAGAAGTGTTTGCTTGGCCTCGGCGAAGATGGAAACTTCTTTCCAGGTCGCTGCAGGGCCGGGATCTTTTTCATGGCTTCGTTTCCCCCCCCCCCCCTAGACCCCCCCCCCCCAAGAAAGCTTTAGCAAGTGCTTGCCAAGGCCTCGGCAGGACATGTGTCACAGTAGCACCTCGGTAAGGCCTCTATCTTGGTTGCGTAACCTTCACAGGAAGCCTCCGATGGCCCTGATCGGCCACGGGGGTTCTGACATGGCCTGAGGCCTTGCTGAGGCCTTGCTGAGGCCTTGCTAAGGCCTTGCTGTTGCTGAGGCGTTGCATGCTGTTGGCCTGCCCGGCCCAGAGTTTGCCGAGCAAGATTCGTATGTGGGAAATGCCATTTCTCACTAGACGCTCGGAGGTGTCGCTAGAAGGGGGGGGGGGTCTAGGGGGGGGGGGGGAAACGAAGCCATGACTTTTCTGCGATCAAGTAGACGAGTGGAACAATTTGGGAGACCCTCATTTCGCCGGTTGTGAAACAAAAACATGCAAGCGCTACAAACAGAGGCAAGGAATAGGGTGCCGGCAAGCACCTTTCCTGGCAGAAAGCACCAGCGTTTCGCTGCACGGGCTCGGTGGGCTTCGTTGCATGTTGCACGATGTTGCACGGGAGCGGGGAAGCAGGAATCAATCTGAGCGATGTCAGCATCATATCGGACCTCCTGCTATGAATTGAGTATGGTCCCGATTCAGACAAGCACATCATAAGGTTAACCCCTTCGCATGTGCATTGATTGCCCCCTGCGTCCTGCTGCGATGTTCCGGGCCACACCTGCGAAGTCACCGGATTCACCGGTCACAAGATGCCCCCGTGCAGCCGCGTGCAATTACAGGCTCATTCACCTGCTACCCCATGATCATCTAGCTTGTTCTTGGAGAGGTCCAGCAACCGGAACCGAGGCTCGACCTGGGAAAAGACCACCGGCAGCGATATGCAAACACCGGGATACACTGTTTTCCATGAGCAGTCACCGAACTTCACCGAACGAATCTCACTCGTGGCTAAGGGCTGTGGCTTGCAAGGGCGCTGCACCTCAACGGCATGACAAACACGTGCTGCAAGATTTCATGCGTGCGTGCACCGGACCTCCCTCGCAGAAGAATATGCGCGCCAGCTTCTTTGCACCAACACCCTGCAAAGACATGACTGTGCTGACAGCAGCATGCCGAAACGTTTGCCGTTGGCTGCGGGAATCGCCGCGACAACCCCAGTCTAGCTCGAAGGAAGCTGTACGAAACACATACGTTGGCCACGGTGGGTGGTGCTTTACCGCAAAAAGTGCTGAAACGAGATCTGCATGTACCTCCAGGCTGGCGACAAACAATAAAGCAAACAAGTCACCGACAGGCAGTTGTCGCTGAGATCCTCGGAAGGCCGAGAGGTTCTTTCCCCGCCAACTGGACGAAAGGCCGTGAGACGCACGTCAGAAAACTGCTCCAATCAATTCTGCCACGACTCCAAGATCTGCAGGGACGCTGAGAGAAGCTTCAGGCTTTCCGCTAAGCAAGACACCTTGCAACAACCACAATCAAGTCGGCGAAAATGTCGAGGACCATTCATCAAAACTGCAAGCATCCGTTCCGAAATCCATTTTCTGACTATGCTGACATGTGGCTGCAACACATTCCAACACATCGTAACCAGCACAGTGCCGTAGATCTCTGCCAAAAGAATCAGCATGAAACACATCCAAGCTTGTGACAAGACTGCACGGAACCCTGCCGCACCCTTCTTCCCTCCTGGCAAAACGGCAGCAGTGTAAGCCAAGTCAGAGCCAGCGGAAAGACATACACGTATCGTCCGTAAGGCAAAGAAACTATTATAAGTTCCGATATTGCGTGCAGGTTGTTGCGGCCAGTCGCGTTCTTCCCGAACAATGGTTCGTGGAATCCCTGGGCTTCGAGAGCAAAGGGGCTGTTTTGGACGCCAGCAGGTTTTTATCTCCTGACTTGCATTCTAGCTGACAGATGCTCATGCTCCATTACTTAGTTTGACATGTAAACATACATGCACCTGTCGGCCTTCAACTGTTTCGGGCCGTTGACATCACATTGACAGCCATTTCCCGCTTGGAATGGGTCAGGTTCAAGTTCAAGTTAAACAGCCCGGCGCGGATCAGTATGGCACACACCGTGGTGTTCCCTTTGCTCAATTTTCACGGATTCCGCCCGCGCTCTTTTCCCCCTATGGCCGATGACTTCCCTGGCTAGGGTTTTTCTGCTCCTTAACGTTTTCAGCCACGGCACTGCTTATGCATTCCGTGCGGTTGCCCTTCAGATCTATTGCCTCTGCTTGCACATGCGCCCAGCCCCGTGAGCTTGTGATGCTATTTGGGTCAAAAAAAGGCCTTGCAAGAATTCCTCGACATCACTGCATCCGCCAAGCCTGCTACTACTGGATTTCAACTTCTCCGGGTTACAACGCCCTTGTCGCCGCTCAGGTCCGAGGTGTCTTTAACATTCTTTAACGCCGTTCCTGTCCTTCGGAGCCCGGCCGGCCCGTGTGATGGACACTTGCAGGCTATTTGACACGCCTTTGCTTGCAAAAGCGTAGGACATTTGCACGAAAGGCACGTCAAATAGACGCTGAAATTTCCGCCGAGCGCATGCTGTGCCAAAGTTGGAGCACATGTCCCCGGCACAGGCGCTGACAGCGCGGAGGGCGCTGAGGGCGCGGAGCGCACTGAGGGTGCTGAAGGCGCGGAGGGAGCTGAAGGCGCGGAGGGAGCTGAAGGCGCTGAGGGCGCCGAGGGCGCGGAGCGCGTTGAGGGCGCTGTGAGGGCGCGGAGGGAGCTGAAGGCGTGGAGGGCGCTGAGGGCGCTGAGCGCGCTCAGGGCGCTGAAGGCGCTTAGGGCGCTGAGGGCGCTATATAAGCTCGCTGAGGGCGCTGAAGGCGCTGAGGGCGCGGAGGTCGCTGAGGGCGCCGAGGGCGCGGAGCGCGCTGAGGGCGCGGAGGGAGCTGCATTCTGACTTCCATCGCGCAACCCAACTACAGCGAAGCCACATGCAGCGCTGCTGCTACATTCAAGGGCTGCGGCTTGAAAACATAGCTGCCGAAGTGGTGGCGTTTCAGAATGAGCCTGTGGAGTCTGGATGAGTCAACACCGATTGTGCAATTTTTGTTCCGCGAAGGCCCTGCCAACATATTCTGCGCTTCGCATCTCAGAACTCTTGAATTTAGTGATGCTGTTCTCTTCGCACATTCAACCTCTTTGAGCCATGTCCCCGAGTGTCTGCTCGCACGTATAGTTTTGGGCAGACGGCACGGCCCAAGGCTTCCCCCAAGTCTTTACAGGATTTCACATTCTCTTGCTGATGTTATGTTTGTTCCCTTGTTCCCTCATCATTTCTTGGGACAAATGTCTCCTTGAAAAAAGACCCTTTCCGATTCTTAAGCACCATAAGTCTTTGAGCTCAATGGTGATATGTTCGGAAATGAAGTTCCCTGGCCGTCCCCGTTTTGATAGCACGATTTGAGTTTAAAGGAAGTTCCCTCACCGTCCGCATTTTGATAACACCATTACAGTTTAACGGCATGGTGCAAAACGGTTCCCTCGTCTTCTCTTGATGCTTAGCACAGGGAAAATTGGATTTTGGGGAAAGTCAATTGGCTGCTGTGTCTGCATCCTTTACAACAGGTCCTGAGAAAACCCTGTAAACTCCAATACGCCAAGCAAGCCTAAGCCCTGAAACCTAAACCCTAACCCGAAACCTACCCTCAACTCTATAAACCCTGAACCCTATAGCCTGAACCCTAAACCCCCTTTGTAAAGCCGTACGCCCAATCCCTTGACCCCTAACCCTACAACCGGAATCCTAGACCCTAACAAAACTGTAAGACCTTAATTGAAGCCCTTGAACCTAAACCCTTAAGCCCTTAAACCCTTAACCCTGCGTAAACTGGTCATGCTCAATAATAAAAGCAATGACGACCCGTTTTTGAACCCAGACTCTGCCGATCAGCTGGGAAGCACTGCAAGACTTCAAATGACGACCCTTAACCCCCCAAACCTTAAACCCTAAAGTCCCTCAAGCCTTGAATCCTCAACCCCAAACTTTAAGCCCCTCAAACCCTAAACCCCTTCATAGCCCTAAAGCCTTAAATCTCTAACCCTTAAACCCACACCATTGCAGCCCAAAGCCCTTGAAACTCTTAGAACCCGAAGCCTTGAAACTGTTAGAGCCCCAAGCCTTGAAACCTATAACCCTACAACCATTAAAACAAAAACTTGAAACCCTAAAGCTAAAACTCTAAAACCCCAAAGCCCTAAAACTTTAAAATCATAAAACCCCCAAAACCTTCAACCCCCAACTCCCTACACCCCTACAGCCCTGCCCTAAACCCCAAAAGCTCTAGAGCCTTAGAGTAACGCTTTGGCCCCCTAAAGGCTTAAACCTGAAAGCCTTAGGGACCGCGACCAAAATGCTTTCACCCACGTATTGGCACGTCCAAACACATTTTCGCCCAAGTACCGGCGGGATTCAGAAGCACGGCGCTTTGCTTCCCCACATATCTTTTTTACTAGCTGGATTCAGGAAGCCCCGCTCAAAGGTTTGGAAGGTGGCAACTTTGGGATCCACATATTATATAAGAAAAACACTATTGCGTCAAATGGACGCCAAGCGTCCAAGGCACCCGGCCGGCCCCCCCCAAAATCCTGCAAATGTGAAATCCGCTGTTCTCGAACATGTCCACCAACCGGAAGGACTCCCAGCGGGTTTTGGCAGCGGCAGTGGCAGTCGCTTCTCGAAGCCAACATATGGTGCCATATGGTGCCAGCAGCACACCAAGCTACGCAATGCAAAACATCTTTCCATGAGAGGGCATAACCGAAAGAACAATGTAGCGGTGGTAGTGGTAGCGGTAGTGGTAGTGGTGGTAGTGGTAGTGGTGGTGGTAGTAGTACTAGCAGCAGTAGCTGCTCAGCAGCCGCATCAGTGGCAGCGGCACTCGTGGAAGTAGCTCACGGCGAGTCGTTGTGGCAGTTGCATCACCTTGTCCCTCAAGGTGGGATGCGGGATCGCGTTCTCGATATTTGTCTCAATGATGTGCTGGAATAACCATGCGGTTTCCCCGAGGTGCCAGCTGCAAGATGCGAAGTCGCGGGAACTCTTCGACATGCCCTCCCTGGCAATGTCCTCGCACATCTGGCGCCACGAGGAGTTTCGCAGTCTCACGTTGGCGGCAGACCGAAAGTCGTTGTATCCTCCGAAAATGCTGCTACCAAACACTCCTCAAATTCTATCTTCCACATGCTGCAACGACACAACTACAGGCAACACTGCGTGGTATATGGACAATGGGTGGCATCCTCTAGCCTTGTGACCGCCGATGGCGTGGAATCATTGGGAATGATTAAATCATTTTCTCCTGCGAGAAACCTGTCAGAAGCGAAATCCAGTTGCTCAGGGTCTGTGAGAAACGCTGTAAGAAACTTGTGAGAAACCTGTGAGAAGGCTGTGAGAAACCTGTGATGGAAGGGATTCACCGGCCGGACCCAAACCACAGCTGCTCACAGGTTTCTCACAGCCCGGACCTGGGTCCGGCCGACAGGCCTGGCTGCTGGGAATCCCCCCTAGACTGGGCTGTGAGAAACTAGTGAGAAACTTGCGGGGGAAGGGATTCACCGGCCGGACCCTTCCTCACAAGCTTCTCACAGGTTTCTCACAGACCCTGAGCAACCAGATTTCATTTCTCACAGGTTTCTCACAGGCTCCTCTCACAGGCGGTTCCTCCGCTCACAGCCCCCGCTCACAGAAATAATTCTTTTACTCCACTCCAGTCATTCCAAGACCCGGCGGTCACAACTCTAGCCATAAAACTGCATTGTCATCAAAGCCACCCCGACTTGCTAAGCCAAAACAAGCGAGCTGCTGAAACTCTGTACCGAGCATTCCCCGATAGAGGCTCGCCCTGCCAATACTGTGGAGCTGTCTTAGCCCAACCACGGGCACACAAACCGTTTTGCTGGCTCCTCTGGCAGGTTAATCTGAACCACACGGCGCATTGCGGCGCAAAGTCAGCATGTCCGAGATGGACGTGGATGTGGCGGACGTGTCCGGCAATCTGGCACAGGAGTCCCAGGAGGGTGCTCAGCTGTTCGGCGAAGCGCTCCAAGGCAAAGCCCCGGCCTCCGAGACAGAGCGCCGAGAAGGCTTCTAAGGTTTAGTTTGGCGGAAAAGGAACAAGGCCCCGCGTCATTCCAAGCTCGCATGGGAGATTCGGGGCAGACCTCTTCCAGACAATGCTTGGTTGCCTCCAGACACCGAGCACAGATACAGCACAACAGAAAGCAGTGCAGAGCAAGGGTTGGATGACAAAGGATGGCAACTGGAGCTACCGAACATTGGACGTAGACGAGGGCCCATCTGGCCGACTGCACAGGCCAAGGATGTGATCCATCGGTTCAATGCAACGCACCCGATCTTCTCTACAATGGTACTAGTAGCAGGAGAAGTAGCAGGAGGAGTAGTAGTAGGTAGTGGTGGTGGTGGTAGTTGTAGTACGGAGTAGTAGTAGTAGTAGTAGTAGTAGTAGTAGTAGTAGTAGTAGTAGTAGTAGTAGTAGTCGTAGTAGTAGTAGTAGTAGTAGCAGTAGCAGTAGCAGTAGCAGTAGTAGTAGTAGTAGTAGGAGAAGTAGCAGGAGGAGTAGTAGTAGGTAGTGGTGGTGGTGGTAGTTGTAGTAGGGAGTAGTAGTAGTAGTAGTAGTAGTAGTAGTAGTAGTAGTAGTAGTAGTAGTAGTAGTAGTAGTAGTAGGTAGTAGTAGTAGTAATAGTAGTAGTAGTAGTAGTAGTAGTAGTAGTAGTAGTAGTCGTGGCGGTGGTGGTGGTGGTGGTGGTGGTGGTGGTAGTGGTAGCGGTAGCAGCACCAATAACGTGTCTATCGTCCATACAATCATCCATCAGCTGGATTCAGGCTTGCTTGCGATAGGACTGCAAGGCACCTTGCGGGAATTCCGAGAATGCTACCTGCATCTCCATGCATGTTGGATATGCTTACAGGAGGTGCGTCTCTTCCTTGCTTGGGGCCTCTCCTCGAGCGCATCCTCAACGTCTAATTGCGCACTCAGGTACAACAGTCTGACCCTGCTTGAGCCCCACCCTGTCTTTGTCGCGAAAGCTGATTCTGCAAAGAATCGTGCAATCGGAGGCGCAAGCTTCAGGCTGCCAACTGCTGCCACTACCAGGAGTTGGTGAGCATGTATTGAACATGCGCATAAGCATGAGCCGACAGCCCTAGGGCCCTATAGTACCTGTCTGCAGGGTGGCCAGTCGAAATGTGACATGGTGTACCTTCCTTCACGTGCCATGGCCCCCCACTCACTGTGTGTACAACCCGTTCTGTGTAAGTGTAAGTGTAAAGTGGCTCTATACAGCCTTCGCCCAGTCATCGGAGATAGTCAATCGGACCCAAACCGGCACCAGCTTCTGGCAAGGTAAGCTCTTCACTCCGTGATCGCCGATCCGGTTCCCAGGAAGCCTCTGTGACTTGCTGCTGTTTGGAGCAAAGCATGCGAATACATGTGTCGGTTGGCTCTTCGGAAGACACATTCTAAGCCACGCGCTGGAGCACTTGTAAATTGCAGCACTGCAATGTCAAAGCACTCAGAAGCGACGCTGTATCATCGCTGATGTCCTGAAAGCAGCTTGATCTGAACCCGTGCGCGGTCAGAGTCCTACGATCAGGCCCAATGAAAGGCTGGACATGTGAGTTGCGTGGCCGTCCACCGACATGCTGCATCGCATGCCACCATCGCAAATCCATGCATTCGCTCAAACCTGTAGAAGTTTTCCATCAGGCCCCAGGCAGGCGCGGCGATTACAGTAGTATTACTGCAATGACCTCTTCAATGCCAGCGGAACTAGACTCTGTTCGACTAATCTGTTGCGAAGCATCCCTGGGCAAAGCTTCCCTTCCCGATGTCCTTGTGAGGCAAACAGATCCGCATGGTTTTCGCCAAGCGAGATGGCCTCAAAAACTCCGTGTCTCAGGTTAATGTGTCTTTGCGAGCCGTCGCAGGCACAACTCTCCGAGTGGTGGCACTGTGCAAGCCAGCGCTGCACCGTGGAGACATGGACTGCATGGCCCGTCTCGAGAATTGCCATTGCAAAACGAGTAGGTAAGGACAGTTCATAAAGCTTGCCTAGCCTAAACATGTGCCACATGATCATACAGTCATCAACAAATCCTGATTCTGCACAGCTTGCATGGTGGTGATGCCCTCTGTACTGCAGACTATGTACTCCAGATTCCCACTCGTGTCTGTCAAGGATCGCGTGGGGTGTGCAAAACGACTGGCTTTCGAAAATTTACGACAGCTACGAAGCAGCTCAACATAGTGGCATTGCCTCAGCAAGGTATTCAGCACGCAGTGCACTGGGTGTGGCCAGAAAATCGAGAATGGTGCCATCTATGCATGGCTTCTCTGCGCATCATGCTCCGCTCCTGCTTTTGCCACCACTTGCTGTCAGCTCCACTCAGGACATGCGGGGACCTGCAAATTCACGTGTCATCATGTGTCAACAACTACACTGGATTGGTGTTGCCATCGTTGCCCCTTGACCGGGCCGTGCCGCAAGGAACTAACACTCACCGGGCTCTTTTTGGGTACAGTTCTCCTCACTCCACAAGCGTCGAAGCAAATCAGCGATAAAGCCACAATGTCACCCGGCATGCATGCATAGCACCATGTCAGTTTGCAGTTCGAACTTTGCTTGAAGAGCTACAAAGTAAATTGTCAATGCCACAGTTAGCTGGGTGGACAAGTTCAACAGCCGTGAATCGGGTGACTAACGGAACATGCTGCGGCATCTCTTCTCGACGCCGCTCAAACCCACACTTTCCTTTGGGATCAACGCTGTACCAGGAATGTTCAGCACTCTGGAAAGGCTTTCCTCCGACCAAGGTTTAGCTTCAACATCGCTGGCCGGGCAGTCTAAGTAGTGTCCAGTTCCAGTTTCCCTGCAACCTAGCACAGGGATGCAGCGAGGTGCATGAATTACACGAGAAACACTCAAGCGTCACTTTCTGCACGATGCTTGATGCATGTAAACGATCTACATCGTGTATCCGTACTGCACATAAGTATCGTCATACCATTGGTCATAGTGCTGCTGGTCGTAGCACTGAATGTATGTGTCCTCGTAAGACTTCTCCAAAGACTCCCCATACTTTTCGAATCTCGGGTTGTACTTGTACTCGCAGAGCTGCTTCTCAAAAGGTTGTTGGAAGGCCTTCTCAGGAGGCTGACTCTGACTGAATGACTCCGTGTACGCCTCTTCTGCAGGCTCCACGAATCGCTTGTCGAAAGGCTGATCGAAAGTGTGGTCATACTGTTTCTCAAACGACTGCGTGTATGCATTCTCTGGGGAATCGCCATACTCCTGCTCGCCGCCAGGATCGCTGTAATGCCTCGGCCGTGCCACGTTCACATCTGGCAGGGTTACCTCCGCGTACTCCTCGAAGGGCTCACCAAATTTGTCCACGGGCTGGGTGTACGACTTGTCAAAGTCATTGTAATGAGCTTCAAACGACTCAGCATAGGGTTTGTCCTTTGCTTGGTTGTAGGTATCGTCATACATCTCGCCACAGCCATCCCCAAAGCCGTGGTCGTAGTCCTCGATATTTGCATCATGGTTCGCATCGGTGAGCTCGCCGCCGTGTCCGATGTGCTCTCCATACTGCTCCTCATAAGCATACCCCGCGTTGTCCTCAGCCCAGTAGCGCTCGTCATAGCGATCCAAGAGATTTGTCGGGAACCAGCCAGGCTCACCAACATCTTGCATGTCGGGGCCTAGGACGGAACCACCTGTCCAACCATTGGAAGCTGTCCTGTAGACTCTGACGAGATCACCCTCTGAAAGGGCAATCTTGTTCGGGTTGTTGTCCGGAGTGTAATCATACAGCACGATGCAGATGTCGTCCTCGGCTGGTGGTTACAACATCGGGCTCTCAAGACTGTCATACACACAGCGGTATGATTTGTCATGCACCTGAGCTGACAAGCCACCATGCTTTTAGGATGGTGCGACGATTTGACCCCACTCAAGTCCGGTTTGAACCTCCGAAGCTCACAAAAAATCCGCCGAGGCTCCGGCATCGATTTTGCATATTCCGTGTCCCTAAACTTAACACCCCTTCCCATTTGGTGGCGCGAGCGTTTTCAGCGCTGAACTCTCAATCAGGCTCCGACCCGCTTTTCAGACTTCCCCCGCTTACCCCCAGCACCTCCTCTAAATTTATATACATGCCACGTTGAAGCTTGCGACCCCAAGTCAGCCAGCCCCCACTCACTCACCTACCCACCCACCCTCCGCACCTTTCCTTGTCAAGTGACCTCCTGCTTAGTAATGGTCCCCTCAGTAGAGCTAAACTCGGCCAGCACAGAATACTAACTTACCCGTGTTAAATTCCCGTACCCGCTTTTATTTCTTTAAGCTTTTGGGAAGTGAGTAGACACTCCTACCAAAGACTGACGCCCTGGAAGAGGAGAAACAGACACAAGCAAGATAGAGGAGACACAGAGAGGAGAGATAGCCAGCCAGCCAAACGTAAGGCATAGGGCATAGGGTTAGAGGCTCAGAAAAAGCCCAGAAGAAGGACGGAAGAGGCCCAGAAGAGACCCCCGAAACAACTTAGATGCCGCCCCCAACAACTTTGGCCCAAAGATGATGATTTGGTGGCGCCAAAACGCACAGCCACTATTGCGGCTTAAGGTTTTTTTTTTTTTTTGGGGGGGGGGTTAGTAATCAGGAGACGGCATTACTATATGGCATTTCTCCTGCGCCTGAAACATGCTCTGCAGCTTACAGATCGGTCGAGGCGGGTCTGCGGCGGTTAACTTCGCATCGGCCAAAAAATCCTTTTGCCTTTAAGCAAACCTTAATCCCATCCACGATGCCCTGATTTCTGTGGAGGGTCCACACACCCCCCAATGCACCCGTGCCCTGCCGTCCTTCTCGGTCACTTTTTCTGCCTGACGGTATGAAAGTTCTCCTTCTGGGCAGATTGTGGCCTTCCCAAGGTCAAATCAACAGCTCCGTTCCCGGTGTGCAGGGTCGCGCTGTTCTTCCCCAGCTCAAGGTTTGCTGGCAACAACCGACCCAAAGCACAAACCTCTGCCAAGCATCTTCAGCAAAAACGGGTGCAGCCTCAGCCTCAGCGCCGTCATGACTCTCCCCGCCAGTTGCCCAGCTGTCACCGTTGTCATAGTTCTGAACTGGACAGTTGCTTATGTGAGACACATAGTCGCACAAGTTCCCAAGCCAGGAGCACTCAACACCAGTGTGGTGCGACAGCTGTTGGGCATAGTATCCGAACGGATGCTGAAAATGCTGAGGGTGATGGATGCATCTGATGCGAACGTTGCTCCAGCAGCGTTGCAACACAAGGGCGGCTGCATGACGGGCATGATGCAAAGGAACGATATCGCACTTCCTCAATCCTTGACCACATTGTGGGCAAGGAATGTTCTGCATCGAGCAGCCGGCCTTTGGCCCGGTCTGGTTCAAGTGCCCCCTTACTCTGCCCATAACCCAATTCTGGAAGCAGTCGCTGCAAAAACTGTGAGAGCACCTTGTGAGAGTTGGATCGTGAATGACTCCTTCGCAAAGCATGCAAACGAACTCCTGGCAACTGTCCGGATCCACAAGCTGCTCTGGGTGAACTTCCTTTTGTTTTGGGCCGCGGGGCGGCCCTGCAGGAAAGCCTGCAAAGTCCTCCGGATCTTGGTCGGAGACCTTATCTAGCCATGGAAGAATGCAACGACAAGACAAGACACATCAAGACACTTAGGGTCTCTCTGTAGAGCTAATGATGTGAAGTCAAGCAGCCTCCCTTGTCCAAGAAGGTCTTCGATCGTCCACCTGCGCCTCGAAGGGTTCGATGCGAGGGTCCCCCATGGGCTGTGCACGCATCTCCATCCTCTCCGTTTGTGAATCGATCTTGACTTTGTCCTTGTTCTCACGCTCCAAATCGGCCCGAAATTTGCGCATACACTGCCCGAACAGCGAGTGCTGATTGGCATGTGTCGGGGACCTTTTGGGCTCCTGGTTGGACTCTACCTGGGACAAGCGTTGCAGGCAAAAGTGCGGAAGATGAACCCTGCACCTGTGGTGGCAGGTGCGAGCAGCGCACAACTTGGCATCTGTCCGCCTGCAAACGCTGTACCGGTTCTGAAGGTTCTGGAAAACCCTCTCTGCATCTTCTATATAGTTGTGCTCCAATCGCAGCCACAAGGGTACTGTGTCTGGTCTGCGATATTCCTCTGCCGCCTTGATGATGACAGTGGCGCCAGCTGCTGTGAACATGTTGTGTGACAGGTGAATTTCTTCGAGACCTGGGGCAGACCGGCAAAGATCGGCCAAATCCTGAGCTCCATGATCATCGATGCAGTTCTTGAAGAGCTTGAGAACACGGAGTTTGGGGCACCGCTTGCAAATCTTGATCACCTCGGGGAGCTCGTTGGCGGACAAAGAGTTGCCGGAGAAGTCTACCTCCTCGTACGGAAGGATGCCTTGTCGGATTTCCTTGAATGGAATGTTCTGCGGACCGCCTTCGGCTCGGCGAGAGAAATCCAATCTAGAAGTGGGAGACTTGGGAGGCATCGTCTTTTCCCTTGCACCCCGCAGCCTCCAGCCGATGCTTCTGGCTTCACATGTTCACACTGCGCATGATTCATGATGCATGTACTCCACAAGCTAGAGTATTTCACCAAGATGCAGTGCGGGCTGTGTGCTTGTTCGACGCGGCCTTGCCGCCTCCACCCTTGGACTCAAAGGCTATGAGCCACAAGTGAGGCAAGTGCAAAGATCAAAAACAGACGAGCTGGGCAGCTCACGCCACGCGGCTTCCGGACGGCCCGGTCCACTTCAGCCAGCTTAAATGGCGGCAAGAAGGTCAAGATCCGAGCACCGCTTGGAATTCCCAAGACAAAATCTACACGTTTCAGATTTCATGCAGCACTGGCATTCACGATACAGTTCCGACAACCCGACTTGCCTGAAGAGAGGGCTCCCGGTTGCCACATTGAGTCCAACTACCTGCGTGACGAGGTATTCAAGAGCTGTTACAGGCGAGAGGCAATATTGATGCATTGTGCCAGCCAGCATGCTTCTAAATTCGGCTCGCAAGTGATCCGACGCTCCAGCCGACTGGCAATGATGGACACCACCGTCCAGCACTCAGTCTTGCTTCCCCGGCTTGGCAGGAAACAGCAAACACTGGCACATCAACAAAATTCGGCTGGGCGGCAACTGAATGAAGTCAGAACAGCACTGGCAATGCCGCATGCAGCCGCGTCTTTTGGGCAGCAGGCAGCACTGAGTAACTCCCTCAGACTTAAACATCCTGTGCTTGGACCTTGCAGCGGATCGACATCGAATTGATGTGGTAGTAGCTCAAGAAATTGTCTGGGTATCTGCCTCAATGGAATCTTGGACTGTCACCTCTGAGCTCCCATCGCCTCAGGCAAGGCCACATGCAAACAAATTGCAACTGGGAACGTGGCGGTCTCGGCTTTCTGCTGCTTTGCCAACGGTTCCAGTCGTCGTCAGTCCATTCCCAGTCGCCGGAGCCTGAGCAAGGGATGCACTCGGAGCGCTTCAAAGACCACATCCACATCGCCTCGCCTTCCATAGCTTCCCCTTCTGTCCATTCGCTCCAATCCTGGTACTCAGACATTCCAGATTCTACTGCGGCTGGAATGGGCAAATCCGAAAGCAACGGGTGGGTGGTTCAAAACAGCGATTGGCCCAGTCGGCGAGCACTCATCAGGTTTGAGCTCCCGCTGCAACACACTGGGTCGATTTGCTTCTCCAAATCTATCAAGCGCGGACATCCCTGGTTTCAGGGACAGCTCCGAAAGCTGCTGCAGTGCTCGCACCTCATCACCAACGACCCAGCATTCTTCTGCACCGAGCCTGGGCGATGCGCGCGCAATTGTTGGCCTCGGACGCCTGGGGGCATCCTGGAACATCGAGAGCCGAGCGAGCCTACTTGGACCGAGATGCGGGCCCGCTTGCGTCTGAGTAAAGGTGAAACCTGCGCAGCGAAGCGGAAAATGCTCGAGATCGGATAGCTTTTGAGATCTGCGAGAACGACCGGCGCAAAGTATGGTCTCCATGCGTGCTGGTGAGCCACCACTCACCACGACTGCCATCGCCACGGTCGAAGGCTCGTGCCCACCCGGCCAACACATCTGTATCAACACACATGAACAATTCGTCAATTCCACCCACGCCCAGCCCGAGGGCCGAGCTCGCACACCTCACCTGGCCTTGGCCAGCGGATGCCAGTGGCTCTGTGCTGATGTGAAGTGAAACATCTGAAAAGCTTCTGGCGCCAAAGACTTGCGGGTGATGAGGTCTATCACCTTTGCATTTGCTTGCCCCTTGTCACGCCATCCGCGTATCGAGTGTGCTGGCACCACCAGGCTTTCAAGTGTGAGTGCAATCCGCTAGCCCCACAAGTCCGGCGCGTTTATGTAGATTTTCCCTTGGCGCTTCTCCGCCATTGGGTGAACAATGTCGTTGGATGCCTTGATCCATCCTCCAGCGAGTCTTGGCCAGGTTTACCGACTGACACGCGGAGCGAGAGAACGAGACACGGAGATACAGAGAGAGAGAGAGAGAGAGACACAAAGCCCGCGGCCAAATTTGGATTTCCACTCCAGCACCTCGCCTTTCAGAGGTTCTTTGGACACCTCAGGTCGTTGGAAGGGCTTGTAGCGCATCGCCTTACAGGGTCTTGGTGGCTGGCTCGCGTGCGTGGAAGATGCGGGCCTCTAGCCCAGGGGATGAGGAACATGCGACGCTTCCGAAAGGCACCTTCGCCCGGAGAATCTATTCGGTGCTGGCCGAGAGGCCACTGGGTTTCTTTGACTTCCCTTTGCCCTTGCCTTTCACTTTGCCCTTGCCTGCACAGCGCTCACTCACGTAAGCCCTTCAGTGCTGCAATGTGGGTCGCAACACACTAACGAGTGAATGCCACACATCGCGCCTTTTCCCTTCTTCAGAAAATCCTCTCTGAAAGTTCAATGGTCGACATTGCCGTTTTCTGCCTTCTTGCTCACATATCTTCAACCCCGGCGCGTCCTTCTGAACAGGTTGTCTCTCCTTTGTCAACTCGTCCAAGCTTTTCCTCGGTATGCGCACAGTCGTTGCCTCCTTCTGATTCCGTGGCCGCGGACATGCCGAGACCGGGGCATCTTCCTCAGGGTTCCGCCAGTCGAGCTACCCTGCGGAAATGTTGACTTCGCTGATGCACGAAGTAGCCAGTGCGTGCTCATGTTGGTGTGCAATCTACTTATACATTCGGTCTCTGGACATATGGGGCGCCTTCAGTTCCACAACGGAAGAAGCTTTGTCTCCGTTTCCTCTTCACCGAGCAGATCATGTACTTCCACTAGCGGTACACGCATGTGTCCAGACACCATGACCTTGAGTTTAAGTTTCGTCTGTCGGTCAAACTTACCGCTGGTAACTGCGGGTGGCCTTGTGACGCTGGCGACCTTAGACCATGCGGCCGTTTTGCAAGTCCTGGCCGTCCAGTGGCCGTGTGTTCCGCAAGCCCTCAGCTTCCGGCAGGGATGTGGCAGAATTGGAGCCATTTTGAGGCAACTCGGTTCAGCACAAGTCGATTTAGCTCAGCATAACTTCGACATCAATCCACATCAGATTCTGCATAGCACACGAGTGGGGCGGGAAAGGCCTCAATTCCAGTGCTTTTCACCTGAAGTTCCAGGGCTCGCTCGAAGATGTAAGTTCGGCTAGTGGTGCAACTTGTGTCGTCTTCCACGACATGCTGGCTTGGTCTGAACGGCAAGCAAAGGGCCACAAGCGGTACACTTGACAGTGTGACGGTCTTCGCGAAGGGCTGTGAGATGCTGGGAGCGAAGCAGCAAGAGTAAAGCGAATCTCCCGCTTCACAGCCCGAAGCCACATCTGCAAAGCCACATCTAGGCCTCGGTGGCCACACGCAAGTGCCATGATGCCACAAGTCGCGTCAGAAAACTAAAGGAGACTAAACTGCCTATACTCCATCCCACACTGATCTCTGAACACCTGTGCAGGTACTAATGTACTTCAAAAGCTCTCTTGTTCTCTTTCGTAGATCATTTGGCGGTCTTCCTCGTCCTTCGGTCCATGCTTGTCTTGGTCCAACTTTACCCCCTGCATGCTGATGCGTGGAACCTGGAATCGTGCTACCGAAGCCCGATTCAGAATGAAGCTGAAGAAGCTCGAGTGTAAAATGTTCAGAGCTTCCACTTTGGTCCACAGCCGACTGCGTCCGTGGGAAGAGACGGTGGCAACTCAGTTAATTGCAGCTCCTTGATCATTGCACACGGCAGGGTTGCTGCAGGTCGCAGGTCGTCTACCAGCTACTGAGTCTGGCATTCTTCCCAAGCATCCACGGTCGCATCTGCAAGACTTCTTGCAAAAAACATGAAAAGAAACTTACACCACCGTCCTCCAAGCATCCCACACAGGCTATTACTCAACTCAAGTACTGTGGGGCTCTTCCTTACTGCACACGAGTTGAATGCTGCACGCGCTTACATATCCCCTTCATTGCATAGCCGGTATACCGTAGCTTTAACCACGTGGCCGCAAGTTATTTACATGTTTGCCCGAGCTGATGAAAATCGAATGCGACGTTGAAACTTGGCATCTGGCCCAGCGCTTGACGCCTACGTTGGAAGTCGCATGCCACACAAGGTGGTGAGTCAAACCTGCGCTCGCACGAGTGCAGCCCGTGCACATCCGCGCACCAAGAAGCTCACTGCATACATAATGTTACACTGGTCACTAGACAGCAGTGGAATCCGTGTGTCACTGCCCGGCCCTGCAACACAAGCTTCAAACAGTAGCTTCAACTCCCATGCTGTGCAGCATGCGCAAAAGCCATTGCGGCCGCAAGCCCAGCAAGTTCGATCAAACTGGCACGGCTCCGACCGGTGAAACCTTTGCACACCAAGGGGCAATCATAAGAACAAGGAACATGTGCAACGCCTGCAACATGCCCCCAAATCTGATGAAGTCGGCCCAGTCGTAGCCACCAGCCGCCATCACCAAAGTGTTCGTTTGATATCCGTAGGGTGCCATGTAGCATGCCGATGCTGCGTAAGTAACGATCATCGCAACTTCGCCGACTGGCATCTGCATTTCCTCTGCGACCGACAACGCAACTTGCCCCATTATTGCAACATTGGCCGCGCTGTTCAGGAATTGGCCCAATGCAATAGTCGCACAATACAGTCCGGCAGACACAGCCGTGTGACCCAGTGGCCTAGCGATGACCACCACAAGCTGGCCGACACAATTCGCTAAACAAGATGCTTCCATTGATTTGCCCAGGACCAAGGCGCCCACGATGGTAAGCAATACGACTCCATTGACCTCGCCGTAGGCCTCCTCCATCTTGAGACCTTTGACTGCTATGATGCAGCACAAGAAGATGATAGACATCAGGGGCATGCTCAGTCGTTTGTATCCCAAAGATGCCAGGCAGATCACCACGATCAGTCCGACAACAATGAAAGCAGCGCGGAGGAGATCTGCCTTTTGTCCAGAACGTGGCGGAGCAGAGTTCGGTTCCACGCGTGCAACTCCAAAGTGGTCCAGCCAAACGTCGGAACCGACCATGTCGCGGAATGCTTCCACCAGCAGCACGTTGCCAGCTTGCAGCGTGTAGTTATGAAAACTACACGGATGCGGTCTTCTCGTTGGGTCTGACTCCTCCTGTCCTACACCTTTCACAGACAGAACCGCACAGCGGAGCTCCTTCCTCCACCGAGTCACGTCTACATTGCTGCCAACCAGGTCGTCTTTGATCGTGACTTCGCAAAGGGATCTGGAGCGCCGCTGCGCGCCCAGCAGATGCACCTCTGCCTCGTTGCTGAGCTCCAAGCCTTTCACTCGTCGTACCTGAGTGCAATACATCCACAAGATTCCGGAAGGAAAGCACGAAGCAAGCGTCGACTGCTCGACTCTCGACTCTGTGCGGCTCGAGACTCGGCAGACGCACCAGCAGCACTGCACGCGATCTGCAAAAGGTCTCCTCGATTTCAGCATAGAGCGCACATCTAACATTGAAAAGACGCCCTCCCATGAATTTGCCGCACTACACACGCAGGTCTTTAATTAGTCTCACTCCTTCTTGAAGTTGCAGATCTGCCAACTGATCCCAACCTTTGTATTCCCGCCGTTCAGAGACCTCTTGCATTGACTGCAGGAGCATGTCGGAGAACTGCTGTAGCTCAATGCTGTCTGGGCTGTGCATGCGGCCATCATCCCCACGCAGCAGTGAAACTATTGCCTGCACCCCAGGAATACGATGCAAACCAACATCCCTTACGCACGCACCGATTAATGGGCTCGTGCTTTGAACGCGCAGCAGTAGCATGAAATGATCTTTAGCAGAGGTCTCCCTCCGACCTGATGGCTCTGCCTCTGAGTGTGATGAGCTTTCTGAGCTTGTCAATATCCGGGGGCCAAGTAGCGACGTCACCGCTGCACCGAAGCAAACAATAATTGCACCGCCCGGTGAGAATGTGAAGAAAGCGATGTGGTAGCCCTTGCCTGCAAAGACTTCCTGAGCTACGAAGTTGAGGGAACTTCCCATCAAGGTCAGACTCCCTCCTGCTTGGGCTGCGAAGCTCAAAGGCATGAGTAGCGTCCGAAGGGGCAGCCCACGACGTTGGCAAAGCGATTGCAGGACTGGTATCATCATGATCACAATGGGTGTGTTGTTGAAGAAGCCCGAAAGCACCGCAACCGAAGTAAACATTACAAAAAGCATCGGCCGCAGCTCCTTCGTCTTCCCCAGAACATAGCCTATCAGTGTCTCAGGGATGCCGGTGTCACCCATTGCCTTCATGATCGGAAACAACAGTGCCAAAGTGACCACCTTCGTGCAAGCTTCGAGAAACAACTTTTATCAACCGTTCACCCTGGCTACAAGCCCTCTTCAAGCTCCTGACCGTGCGTGGACCGTGCGTTATTTGTGGCTCGCGGAGTCTTTGCCGATCTGTCGCGTGAGAGTGCTTGTGAAAGCGCGTTGATCCTGTATCCTGGCTGCCCTGCTGGCTTGTCGTGATGATTACATAAGTGTAGATGGAATCGAAATGGACCCTCTCTGCTCGATCAACCGGGTTCCACGCTGCATCTGACGCACATCCTGCGAAGAGAGCTCCCGGTTCGAGAAGGCCAGTGAAGCATGCAACAGCTCCAGCTGCGAGCAGTGTCAGCTCAACTGGTGCTCCGTTGAGGACGAGCCTTTGTAGTTTTGGCGGAGCAGACGCGATGCAACTCAGATCTCGGCAAGCAGCAGCACGTTCATCCTTAGCCAAGCTACGTAACGAAGAACACCATCAAATTCGCGTCCAGCACGAGGTACGAAAGACTCCTGGGGCAAATCCAAGAGCAGACGGGTGACGTTAGGACATATTCAATAACCCGGAAGCAGCCGAGTTCCCGGCTTGTCCCCTAAACATGTCGGCGTCGGTGAACCCGCCGCAAGCGCAAAGCTGAGAGCTGCAACGAGTACCAGAAAGGCAATGGAGCGCCAAGGAAGGCGGTCTCTCAGTTGTTGGGTAATTTCCTCAGAACATGTTTCAATGGTGGCCTCGGCAGCTAAAGCCCTCCCAAAGACTTAAACATGGCTGAACGCAATCCCAGGATATCCCAGGCGCCACATAAGGGACGGCAAAGCTCTGGCGAATCTGGCCGGAGGCCATGGCAGGCACGGCAGAGCAAGAACACAAGTCCAGCTGATTTCTCTGGTCCTTCCGGGGCTAGTAAGGATGAGCCTTGATGCGGAGACAGGTCACAAAACAACTGTGGCCAAGCACCAATAACAAATATGCGCTCGTTAGTTGGTTGGTGCTCTTCCGACCGGACGTGCAGCATCCCAGAACTAGTCGAAACTGGTTCAGATCAGGATCGTCTGTGTTGCCTCCAGGCATGCTTGGGGTGAGGGAGAGCGTTCCGATCCAAGGTGTGCATCTCTTGTTCATCCGGACGACTTCAAGCCCCCCACTCCAACAGCTACTGGACTTTTGTTTGGGTGTGGGAGCCTGCGTCAGGGGCCAAAAAGGCCTGGCCACAGCCATAGACATGCCAGAGGTGCTCTTTGCTGTTCTTGTGGAGGCATGCTCACGGACCCACCCCTTCACCACAGTACAGTTCACAGAAGGGCGTCATTGGTGCCGAAGCTGTTTCTTCGTCTTCAGGCTTCGGTGGCGGCTGCACAAAGACGACTTTGAAGGCTTTACTCCTCGTGCAGCACGAGCAACTGCTGAATGCGAGTAATAGATTCTAAGAGAAAGGAAGGGATCTGTCCATTGTTCTGCATCGAAGGAGCAAGGGCAGTACGCCTGCGCTGACTTAAGCTCGGCGCGACTCTTCTAGAAGTAGTTCACCCTTAATTCCCTTTCTCAACACTCAAAGTTCGGTCTCATCGGTCTTCGCTGATTCCGTGTTGCTTTCTTGTGTTGCCTTGGCAACATTTCAAACGTACCAGAACGCAACCCAACCGCCCTCACACTCATGTCAGATCCATGATGTGCAAAATCCTGCAAAATGAGCACGCATGCGCGAAATGCAAACGGTCGGACGGCGGCGGCAGTACCAGCGGGGTGACGGCGGCAGCTCCGGCGGCAGTACCAGCGGGGTGACGGCGGCAGCTCCGGCGGCAGCTCCGGCGGCGGCAACGGCGGCGGCTACGGCGGCGGCTACGGCGGCGGCTACGGCGGCGGCTACGGCGGCGGCTACGGCGGCGGCTACGGGGGCGGCTACGGCGGCGGCTACGGCGGCTACGGCGGCGGCTATACGGCGGCGGCTACGGCGGTTTACCCAGGAACCTTCTGCCCACACGACACTTCTGAGATCGAGGCTTTCCCTTCGAGCCGACTGAATGAGGAGGAGTGGCCACAGAACACCTGTAGCTGCAACGGCTACACGCTTCAACACCGAAGAACGGAGGGACTGCTGGCTGCACCGGCCTTTATCGTTCTACTTTCTGGCTGCTGAGGTCCAAGCGCATTCCATGAGTCGCCTTTGGAGAGGATTCGCTCCTCCACCCCTGAGGTGGACAGCTCGGGCTGTGACAAGGGAGAAACACATCTCAAACAAACACCAATGCCCCCTTGAAGGTCGAGCTGGAAGGTGGTTCGCCATTCATGGAGATGATCTCGTCACCTTCGAACACGCCTTCGACCTGAAGTTGGAAAGCAACATAGGCTAGAGAGCACGATTACGAATCGTATGCAGCGAAGTTGCAGCAACACAATATGGCATTGCTGACGCATTGGCAGTGCTACAAAAGCGAGTTGTATGCGGCGCATTGTCAGCGTTCAGAGAAACAAACGAACGAGCGAACAGGCAAGCAGAGGGAGAGAGAGAGAGAGACAGAGAGAGAGAGCGCGCGAGCGAGAGAGCGAGATAGGGAGGGACGGAGCGAGCGAGCGCAGGCAAGCAAGCAAGCACGAGAGCAGACTCATGCAAGCAGGTGCTGGTACGCATCCACATACTCTCGTTGATGCAAGGTCGGGCCTCGGTAACCTTGTGGACTTCAAGAGATTGGGATTTTCTCTCTCTATACGAGCAGTTCGATCCTGCCGGCTGTGGGGGGCCACCGCTTCCCTTTACCTGTGCCAGAGCCAGACCTCGAGTTTGCGAAGTTCGAAGAGCCTCTGTCTCTTTCATGAGCTGGCAGCTTCTTAGCTTCTATCTGGAGTCACCTTTAGGCATGCATCTTCTGGAGCAGAACGGGTTCCTGGCCTGGGGTTTTGCCCCGCTCTCGAAGGATTTAGAGGAGAAACAGGCCTCTGGAGCTCACACATTTCACTCGCACACCTGTGGGCATCTCTCTGGGCTGGCCTTCGGGACCTCAGAGACGAGAAGCTTGCCAGCATGTAGCTTTAGAGAGAGGCCTAGGTCTGAAACATGCCACAATCAAGAGTGGGTTTCTGCTGCAATCAGGAAGTTTACATGTCCGTCGGTCTCAAACCTAGCATCGTCCGAATACCGCAAACGTGTGCCGAATGCCCTACCCCGCACATGCCAACTGGCCTTCCAGTGCAACAGTCGGCGCGACTAATTGCCTAAAGCAAACCCAGCCTTCCCAGCCCACTGGCAGCTTTACCTCACACGCTCGATCACAGTCCAAAGCGTGTCTTGCGTGAACTATAGCATACCAAGTCAGCTATGGTACAGGGCATGTCTGGCTTTGTTTGTTCTACAGTGCTGCCTGCAGTGCGAGACACGCGCGGACGCTCAACATTCCATTGTGTAGGGGGGCCGCAGGGGCCGCGTGGAATGCAGGGGACTCGTGGGACGCGATCGAGCGACGTAAGCTGGGAGACTGCCTGGACATCTTGGGCGTGGGAAATGCCGAGGATTTAAAACGTCGCCCCACTCAGTAGAACAAAGAGGAACTATACTATACAGTAAAGATGCACCTTCTTGAACAACAAATCGCTAACAGTAGTAGAAAATGCCTTCCTGACAGTGCCGCACAAAAAGCCTGATCTGACAATAAGTATGGAATCATGGAAGGACAATTCACACCAATAGTCGGTCCAGATGTCCAAATCAAATCCAAATAAGACAAGCCAACCCCAAGACGAGCGGTGCACAAAGGCGTGGTGCCGCTGGGACGTGCAAGACCCGCCGGATGCAGGCAACACGCGACGTCATTCTATAGGTTCGTGGTGTTGCATCATCACCCATAGCATGCTTCCAGGCTTCCCAGTCTCTGAAAAATGGTTAGCACGAGGAAGAAGCACATGCAAATGATAACGACAAGCGATGCAGCGATACTCAGCAAGGCAGGCTGCATGTCTTGTCTCATTTGCAATCTCCACGTCCGGCACTTCAGCCACATCTCGCGGCTTGGAGTCCTGCCAGGCGAGAGCCAAACCACCGCATCAACAACAATGTAAACAAGCGCTACTCTCGATTGTCCCCTGCGCCGCTGCACCTGGCAAAGCCCTGAAGCCCCTCAAACTACAGCAGCCAGGGTTTGCGCTTCAAGAATCAGGTTTCCAGAAACCCCATCGCTACAGTATCTCGCTTGGCTACAATGACATATCGGCAGGCTAGGAACCGTCAGGAACCGAAGCAATCTCTCGCCTTACCCGGATATCCGCGTGAAATTGCAGACCCAAAACATCCCAGAAGCCACGGCCACCTTCAGGTACCCTTGTTTGCATGGTGGTTGGATGTGGCTGCCGACGGCCCCGCAGGGCCGATGGCACCTGAGGGTGCGGCCCTCGGTTAAAAACCAGAGCTCCAAGAGCCGGCAGGAGGCAGCCACAACCGAAGGTGGCTGGCCCTAGCCACCCCAGCCCTCTTGGACATGACTGGGCGTAGTTGGTCCTGGTTTCGCACATGAGGGGACATCCGAACGGGTCCCGTGCCTCTGCCCCGAGGGGGCGGACTTCACGACAAACCTGAGTCGAGCTGCTTTTGGAACCGACGACACTTCGCGTCTACATCCAGCACGGGAGGCCCCGGTCGAGGAGGAGGGCTTGGCGATGTTAGTCCATGAAATCGAAGAGGAGAGCCTTGGCCCCTTCCCGCCGGACCGCCACAAGTCATGTTCCCTGCCTTTTGACCTGAACCGTCGAAGTCGTCTTGGTCTGCTAGGCATCGAACTCGCTGGTGTGGCCACGCGAGACAACGATGCTTTCAATGGCCTCAATGCTAGAAGCCATCGCATCCGCGGAAGAAGCAGCCATGGCGCCAAATGGCGCCAAAGGGAAACGGACGAGAGTAAGCCGGAAGATTGAGATTTTTTCAGGACCGACGGTCCGAATCTAGAGCAAAAGTCGTCTCCTGACATGACTCTTGCATTCTCTTGCCATTCGGCAAGCTCCTAGCACGTCGCAATTGTGTCCGAAATGGTGGCGATCTTGAGGGATCGTAAGCTGCTTGGTTGCGTTGCGAAAGGCCCGTTTGGCTCAAACGATCGTGGGCGGGCTCAGTTGGACGCCCGCTGGAACAAACCCAGAGCATCTTGGAAAGGCTAAAAGTACGGAAGTACTCCAGAAAGTAACCGCTCCCACAAACAACGGAGCATCGTGAGCTTTCTGTCGGAGTGTGGCCTTTCGCTCTCACTGCTTGGCGGGATTCAATTATCTGATTTAAGAAGTAGCTGAGTAAGCCGACTATGCATTAGTTCCGTCGGCACTTTTCCCATGATTGCACTGACACGCAGGTGCGCATCATCGAAGTATAGCTTATCAGGATCCTTCGTGAACCCAACGTCTGTTCCACTGAAGTTGGGTGCTCCGTCACATACCCTGACATGGAACTGGCTGAAGAAAAGGCACCTGGACGGCGTCGACATCCATGACCACTAACTGCTGGCTCACATGCTGAGCATTGTCATGCCAAGGTGAGTGTTGTCTTACATGGGTCTCCAAGGTCTGTTGTTGAAACGTGGAGTGCCTGTTCCGCTTCAAGTGCTTCTTCTTTCGCATGCTGGGACAAGCAGTCACGTCGGTGGAAAATGAAGGTACAGGATGGTACAGGACATGATGTTGCTGAAACTTCGATGCCTTGAAAGCCCTTGAAGTGCGTTTAACCTGCGCAGCCGCGCATAGAAAACCTTGCGACGTCTGTTTCAAGCCCACATCGTTTCTGTTGCTGGTACGAGCTGGGGGCACTGGCACCTGTCGGCATCTGCTGCATAATTTGCTTCACTCGGCCGGCGATTTGAGTCGCGCACTCGCAAATGCGCTTTGCTGTCTGGGCATTGGTGTGAATATCCGGAGGCGAACAAGGTACTCCGCAGATCTCCGCAGGCTGACAGTGCACTGCATGAAGAAGCAAGCGCTGTTCACGGCTGTTTCGAAGCGTTGATCTTGGCGAACACCTTTGCTGTGCTTGTTTACTATCAACACTCGCATCCACAGACTGGGAGGTCCGTTTCCAAAGTACGGAATGGCTTCCGCACCATGCCTGCAAGTAATCTCCTCGCAGAGGTCTGCGTGTGCTGCATGGAGCATGTGTCCGAATACAGTGTGTGGCCTCAGGGAAGACTTAGACCAAAAGGCCGCAGAATGCCAGTTTGAAGCTCCAAGCATGTGCTTCATCAAGTCTTCCCAGTGAATACAGTACTCTCCGCATTTACAGGAAGAGCGGCGCAAGACCAGCAGTAGGCACCGCACGCCCTGGAAGACGACGTGCCACGCGCAAGTATCCAGTATCCACCAGTTTGAAGCTGTCACCCGCTCATTGACCGAAGTTCCCGAGGGCCTGTGTCGATCTCTCCAAGGAGTGAGTGGATGCTTTCCTCGCACGGGATGCTCCGTCAGCTCCCGGTATTCATGTGGTTTTCCCTCTGTTGCCTGAATCTCGCATATACTGCTCTAGGGCGATGAGCTCGCGGTCGCTTTCCAAATACCCATCAGCCACAACCAAGTCGCTGTCATCACCCAAGGATTTGGACTGGCCCAAGATGCCTTGCCGCCAAGAAGCGAGTTCAAGAATTTGCATTCTTTTGGGCTCTTTTTTGCAAGACCAATAGCCGCTAGCCTAGCCTTACGACAAGTGGACAAGCTGCACATGGCCAAACCAGAGAGAATGCCGGTGAACGTCCCCGACCAGTAGCCCAAGTCCCGTGCCATTGTGTCACCCACTGAAGATGCCACGAGTGCAGCCTCAGGGACCATGTCCACGTTTCATCACAGGCTTATATATTTGCTCAAGTGATTCTATGGCTCCATGGGTTTCTTTGTGTTGCCGCGCCTGCTCTGCACCTTGCTGCCTCGCGAAATCCAGAATCACTTGCGGCACATCTTCCAAATCCCATGTCTCGAACCTCGGCCTGCAAAAGAAATGGACGGAGATGCTGCGCAGCTGCAAAGCGATTACAACTCGTGTTTCCCTTCAGTGTACCAAGACAGGAATGTCAGGCCTGACATACTTTCGACGCAACCCGCTGCGAAAGCCCTGCCACCACCGAGTCATGAAGCCACGACCAATGCCACTGGCAAGCGGCAAGCCAATATCAGGTACCCACTTGGATGGCAAGAGTTGGAGGACCTTCGGGTCGTTCTGATCGTACTTCGTGGGCAGTCTGCCGAATCTGGTGAGCACCAGGTTTCTCGCAGTCTGGCCTTTGACCACGGACTCCTTCAGAACGCTGCCAAGCCGGTCCCATCGAACACGAACGCTTAGGACGCGCTTCAGTCTGAGTCGTCCCATTGCAATCAGCTGCTTGAGAAAAGAGCCACAGAAAGCATCAATCCAAAGCCGTTTGAAGTTGACGGCTCGGTTGCCTCGCTGCGTGGGATCACACCGCTTCTGTCATCAGATCTACAGGCCTAAGGGCCTAAGTCTAAGAAGATGCCACGCGGGGCATCACATACAGTATGCATATATAACACAAGGTGAAAGTTGAAATAGTCGTTGCACCAGTAGCAGAAATGCAGACAACTTGCGGCCGACAGCAGAGCCGATCTGAAACCCTGCCGACAGAGCGGGACGAACAGAAGGCAGCACTCGCGGTAGTGTCCTGGCACAAAGCTCGCTTTCAAAGACCATGGACGCCCCAATTCGCCAGCGTGCCAGCAGATTCCCATCTTCGGCATCGCGCACGAGCAGCACGGGGAAGCGCTGAGTCCGAGTTGGGTTGCGGAACATCCACAGAAGATCCTTTGCGAAAAGGCTTCCATACAGCTCGCCAAACAATTCCCCGGCAACTTGGCCGGCTCCTTAGCTTCCGCACATGCAAATCCCGCATTCTAGCTGATCACACGCCGTAGGTTTAGACCGGCTAGTATCCGTCCAAGAAATGCCTGCGATCGAGTCTCTCTCTGTTGCCACATTTGTCAGCTTCTCCCACTGATCCAACACAGTTGCTCTGGCTCGATTTGACATTTGAACGGCGCCAGATGCCGCCATCGAATCTTGCGTGAGCTCGAAAACCGAGCGTGCACTTTGCTGAAAGTCACTGAAGGTCTTGCCCACAAAACCGAATATGCTCGGCCTCACCATGGCAAGGCTTGAAAAAGACTCTGCTTGACACCTGGACCACATGATGTCCTCTTGAGACTGTAAGCACAAGCAGCACTGAATTCAAGCGAGAGTCGATGCCTCGGGCTCGTCGACTTCGCTCCGACCCTCGGAAGCAATTTTCTCCCGCTCTTCCAGGCAGACCAGTGCCTGTGAGAGTAAGGCGTGCCTGCAGCAAGACCTAGCAGAAACATGACGAAGTCTTTCAATGCGGCCTCATATGCAGGAGCTCGGCGGACTATGAGCTGAATGAGAGCAACATTTCGCCAGTCCTCAACCATCTGCATGACTTGTGCACCGTAGACGATGCCAAAGGCTACAATGAACTCAGCGGGGTTACACGGGATGCTACATGCAAACAACGCTGGCAACTCTCCTGCAGCAAGAAATAGAAGCTCCCGATCTCGCGTGCTGCTACTGCATCCAGGAGCGCTTCGACGGTTCGTGCCCTTTTGAGCCTGCACAGGTGTCGTATTAAGCGCGCAAGCAGGCGCTGGTTTACATAAGCGGAGAAGCGAGTCAACTCTCGAAACGTCGAAACACAAAAGGTCGGACAGTATTAGACTTTTCGGTTTCCTGCGCTTTTCGAACCTTTCGGTACTTTTCGGGTGTTTCTGCACTTTTAAATCTGGTCGGTACTTTTCGGTGTTCGTTCTAGTCGGCAGCAGCAGTAGTAGTCGCAAGTCGTGGCGGCAGGTTTCAGCAGAATCGAGCTTGTAAGCTGCCTGCCCCAGAAAGACAATATTGCTGAAATGGTATGTTTAACTCTTCAAGCGTGCTCTTCCAATTTGTCAGTTTTGGCTTTTCCGACAAACACTAAGGAAGCCAAACCATGTAGACTTTGGGTCGGTTGTTCAAACTCTCAAGACTTGTTGCCCGTCTTGTTTTTTACAACTGCACGGTTTTGGGATGCTTTGGCTGATGTTTATCTGGCCTGGAAAGAGCAGCCTCGCAAATTTCAGTGATTTGTCATCCTCAAGGCACACAAAATTGGCGGAACGCATATCTTGGTACAACTTTGGACACGAGTCTGGAGCATTTCGTATGTCCGAAAGCCATTTGGTGTCCAAGACACTGGCATTTCGGCCTATTTTTCGCGCCTGAGGAGCCAACCACGAACAGCACCAGCAGCAGCAGCCCCAGCAACACCAGCAGAACCTTGCGCACACGCCAAATTCTATTTGATTTTGATCCTCTGGGGCATCCTCAAAACGCCTTACAGAAGCGAACGGCACAGGCACTTTGGCACTTTTGTGTGGCTTGGGCGTGTTTGGGCAACCCTTATTTCCACCCGAAAGCACCCAGAAGTGGAATGAAATGCACAAGACATAGGCATTTGGACCGATTGCGTGGAATGTTGAACGATTTCGGGTCGCACCCAAGCACTAAGTATCCATGCCTGACGCGTTTGGCTGGGTTTTCGGGTCAGGCGAAATCCCATGAAGCGCTCGCCCAGTGATGTTTGATCGGACTTCTTGAGTTGTCTCCTGCCGTGATTAAGGATCTTTCATGTTTTCTATGCTGCGACTTTTCAATTCTGTTGTCTTTTCGCATGTCGCCGCATTTCTCGACTTCTTCGCTGCTTTAGACTTTGCTTTTCGCGGCTTGTGCTGCCTTCTCGGGTTGTCTGGTTTTTCGCACAGAACCCTATTTCCAGCTCCGCTCTTCTACTTTCCCAATGCCATTTGGCATTCTCCGCTTATCCGCGCCAAAAGCCATTCGCAAACACAGAGGTTTCGGACTCTACCAGAAACAGCACATCTTTGTGGCAACAGTCGGTGTCGGCCTGTACATGGATAGAACCCGAGAGCTTGCCATTTGACACCAAAGCAAGCCGGCAGCAAAGACGTCAGCATCGGCCGGCTCAACTGACTCCTCTGGCTTCTCAAGATACCTCCACATACAGGCGCTTGCAACTGGACAGGGGTTGAAACGATGTGATTCATGACGCGACCTCCATCGGGTCGGGCCGACGATGCTGTTCAAAGGCCCTCCAGTTTTCAAGTCCTTCCTGAAGAACGTGTGGTGCATTCCTGCTCGGAGCAGTTTGCAGACATCACGTCGAAGGACGAAGCTAGCATTTCGAACCACATTGAACTTGTGCTCAAACTCGATATTAGTTTCCCGCAGCCTGTTGCTGGATTGGAGACGCTATTAATTACAAGTTTCAGACGGAGAAAGGTCCCAGAAATTGTCACAACGCAGGAACCTTCTCCTGCCCTGGGTGGCACACCGGCCTGAGACCTCACCAGCCCTCCTGACTACTGAGATCCGACGTTGCGCTGAGGCCATTCTTTCGATACGGTCGCTTGATGCAGCTGCTACACACCTGCTGTCTGCTGTTTTCTTGTGTCGTGGACATGCCAAAATCATCCGAAGTCGTTTGAGTCATGTCCATGTTCTAAGTCCAAGGGTCGGAGAACCGCACAGCCTGCTCCGCCACGCGCTGCCGATGCCGAAAAAATTCTGCGGGTGGGTGCAGGTCCAAGGAGAGCCGTTTCTCCGACGAAGCCACCACGGCGGTATCTCCGAAGTTCTTTCTTGCCTCTCCGGGAAACGACTTCACCAGCAAGAACGAAATAAAGAAAGTCTCCGATCTCCCCCACATCGAACAGGGAAGATCCCGGAGGGACGAAGAAAGGCCCCTGAAATTCACGTGCAAGTCGGCGCAGATCCGAGATTTCAAGCTCCGCGAAGATGGGGAACCTGGCGGGGCCAGAAACCGCAAGTGGCGGCAAAGCGATGACCTTACAAAGGTCAATGTCAAGGCACTCCTGCAGCAAAGCCATAAGTTGTTCCCGGGCGACACCTTGCCGAGCCCCAGTCTGGCCATCCCTTCGCAGGCTCGGCAGGATGTCCAAAGCTTTTAGCGGCCCGAGTACCTGCGCGCACCACTCGTCGCCGCGTCTGCAACACACTGCTCTCGTCGAGTCAAGAGTCGAACAGTCGAACTGTTCAGCCTGGCTGTCGGCAAGCTTCGAGGCTTTCGGCTTTGTACCTCTGTGGTCAAATAGCTGGGCTATGCCCACCGGCACATGGGAAGTGATCCCTCCAAAGCAAAGGAACGCGAGCGACGTCAGTGCCGAGCCTGACCTCCATGTGCTCTGTCCCGACAACGCTCTGCCATGAACTCATGCCGATTCAGCTTTTGCTCTGGGCCACAAGTGACTTGGATGCCACATCTAGTGATCAGGGAATGGCGGACCGGGCCTGGCGGATGTCAGTTGAAGTTTCTCGGCGACCGGCAATTTCCTTCCGCCGGCGTTCATCTTCCATGCCGCGCGTGTTCTTCACAGAAGGCAGCAAAACCGGGGCACTGGGGCCATCTGGGGTCGAAGTCCACACAATTCACACAATCACGAGATGGCCAACACAAAGCCCGTGGCCTTCTTGCATGGTTCCATCTGTCTCTGACACGAACTGGAAGGGCTTGCATTGAGCGCCGGTGGAACAAGAAGGTGCTTCTGGCAAACCAATGCGGCTGGTTTGCCACTCTAGTGAACAACTGGAATAACTGGAACAACAGGAACAATGCCGACAGTATCGCATGTCCGACCGAGTACGACAAGCGAAGAAATTACTAGTGAATTGAGCTAGGGCACGTTTGGCCAGCGTGCGGGCCACAAGTGCCTCTGCCGTGGATCTTGACTCTTGTAGCTCCTTGGATGCCAGATGATGCCAGTGTCTGCCAGAAGACTCGTTACTTGTACTGATTGAATGTGTCATGAATGCTCCCGCACATGGGGCTGACTGAAGTCCATACTGCACGCAGGAGTCCGGAGCCATGTAGGTGCGCCAGCCTTGAACAACACGAAAAGAAACGGATAGAAAAAGCCTTTGGTTCCTAAGAATCATAAGTGCCATCACGCCACCCAATTGGCGAGATCTGCCTTTCGGCCACGGATTGGATGGCCGCTCACATATCCCCAAGTCTGCCAGCCTCGGTATGGCGTCACAGTGGACTGAACAGGGCCTGGCCAGCCTGAGTCCCCACTGAGCATGCAGGTGCATAACATGACTCCTGACTTTTCTTGACCGAGCAACTTCAGGCGCATGCGGCCCATTCCTGACACACCATGGCAGCATGAGAACCGAGGTGAGCACGAGCCGTACACTTAGCGTTCCAAGTCTGCAAAAAAAGCTGGAGCTCGTTCCAAAGCTAGCACTACACGTTACAAGTAGAGCTGACCACTTGTTTTCGAAGTCAGCCGCGCCGTCACGTCGAAGCCACACGCTTTCTGGTGATAGGGCGAGGTGGTGCAGGCCCTGCGCATGCAAGGCCGAAATCGCTGCGAGCAAATCCTGCGCACCTGAGGCAAGGACGGAAGCAACGCACTGCAACCTTCTGCTGAGGATGCTGACCATGTTCGACAGCCTCAATCATCGCCAAGCTGCACTGGTCAACATCATTGGCATCCAGGAAATCGGAGCTCTTGCCTTTTGAACTGCTTTCACATTACATCGCAAACCCAAGCACGGCTTCTACTACCACAGCGACCAAGCCAAGCCAAGGGAGCTGCCCAGCATTCTTGAAAGACTTTCCCCGAAGTCTTCAAACAGCACCAAGTGCGCTCCAGTATCAGTTTTCAGGCTCCCTTCGAAGCGCACGATTGTCTCGGGCGGTCCGAAAGCTCCAGAAATTCGCTGGTGAGCTTGGCAGATCTCCACCGCGGCTTTTTCGCTCACAATCTTGCCCATGTACATTGTGCCCTTGTGCAAGAACTTCGTCCCAAGAAACCTGAAGAAGTCCGAGCCCTGAACTGCACCTCGTCAACCTCGAGAGTGGTAAACCAGGTTGAAAAATCCGAATACTAAGCCTTTCCAAGGAACCCGGCACGAATAACTCGCATGCGGGCAAGTGGATGCCCGCGCCAGTCCCTGCCCTCCTTGCGCACAACCTTGAAACTGACGCGCCCCTCCGACTGCAGCACCGAAAAGACCTGAAACTCAACATCCTCAATGTTCCTGGGAAGTCGCCAGAATAGTGGGCCTGCCAAGATTTCCCACGATGAACCAGCTTCCCATGTCGCTGAAACATCAGCAATCTGAACCTCAAGCTGGCTGTACTTCTCCGTTCTTGCCTGCACGGGTTGCAGCGTCAGACTTGAACCTCGTCGGAGCACGATCATATGTGCCGAGTCCTTTCGGCGAATAGCAATTTTGCTACGCATGCTCCTCGATACGATGTCGAGATGGCTGCTGGGTTCCAGCACAACTGTTTCCCCGCCCAGTGCATAGATCATGTTTTCCTCAGCTTTCAACTTTCAATCACTTCAGATCTTCCGACAGGTCGGGCCTCAGCAAAGGGCGCCAGAAGCTTGCAGCCGAGATGCACGGGTAAATGCAAGCACCACTAGACGCGTGTCCGTGCGGTTCCAGATGCGCACGCACTGTGGATTGATGAGCGGGAGGCCGTCCGGCCCGACCTTTCTCACCAGCTATCGCCAACTTCTGTGAGCAGTTTGATGGTTTTGTCTTGCAGTCTTTGGTACATGCTTTTTTGTAAAGTGCCCACCTCCTGATCTCCGTCTTCGCGTGAAGGATGTCGTTTGAACCAGAAACCACTTCTGGTTTTGTTGACCCTGGCACGGGAGCTGCACCAGTCACGACGGCTGCCCCTGCCCGAGAAGCGAGATCTCCATGCTGCCTGACAAAGGGATCGGAATGAGTCGTGGGCAAAATGCACCATGCGTTCAAGCCTATTTTGTTGTCCTGGTAGCCACTGGCAACCCCTTCGGAGGCTATACGGGGAAGACATCAAAAGAAAGTCCAAAACAGTGCCGGCAAGGGCCGCCTGCTCGCATCTCGTTCGGTACTAGTAAAACACCTGCCTTGACAACAGCTCCGACGACGGCCGGGACCGCTGCACTCCGGATGTAAGGACTTTCCTTGCAGGCCCACAGGGGCGCTGATGTTCTGTTCTGGAAGTACTTGCTTCCTGGCGGAGAATCTTGTGTGCATGAGCGTGCCTTAGCTTCCTTAAGAGGCGCTGGAAGTCTCAGCTTTGGGCAAATTCGACAAAACCAATCCCTGACTAAGGTGTGCGAGGTGCAAGTGCGCCTGTGCGGCCTGCGCAACCCATGTGATGTCCCCACAAGCTGGCCATGCTCTGATCTTGCGGATTTGACTTATCAAACATTGCCTGCGGTACACCAGTTTGGGTTAATCTATAGGAATCTATTATAGGAGACTGGACGCTGCCGACTTGGTTCGAGGTCTGCGTTTCGTGTGCTGCTGAGCCAACATGCGGACCAGCATCCTCACTGGCCATTCGTACTTACACGCAACAGGTGCTGGCTGAGATCTACCCCAACCCAGTAGATTCCGTTTGCGGTTTAACTAAGCTACACCAGGCCTACGTTTATATCATCCAAACTCACTCCTGGAACGTCAAATCGAAACAAAAAGGGCCAGCAGGAAAAAGTGTTGTAATTTAAGGTGTTCATGAGTGAGAGCAGGCCCAATGTGCCAGCACCACAGAGACACCGTGAGGTTCAAGTTCGACATGCAAACCAAGAACCGAACTTCGAGGGTTATTGGCAAGACCTTCTCAACCTGCTTCTTACCCATTGTCACCGGCAGTCACTGACTCGCTGCTCTGTGCAGTTTGCTCCAAGTCAAAATGGCTGTCTCGAAAAGCTGCTGGTCCTCCTGAGCAGCCATGCTCAGGAGATTCATCTGTCTGGCAGCTGAACCAGCCTTGCTGATAATCTGGTTGTCGACGAAAAACGTCTGCAAACTGTTTTGGTGGAGACCTCGCGGTACAAGGTATCCACGCATTAAGCTGCGCTGACGCGGGGGCGACTTTGTTTTGACACTACAGACCTGTTTTGAGCAACTCATCTCAAGCAACACGAGCACAACAGCCATCTGCCATGTGTCTACACGTTAACTGTAGGATGCTCACTGCAAATCTGGTCCACATCATCGTAGTTGTTGATCAGCCTAGCCTGTCTGAAGCTGGGGTTGACAGATTGCTGCGCACAAACATGCGCTCGCGTGCCAAAGCACGTGCACCTGGTACTTGCCCAGGCCCCATGCCACAGTCCAGCTGGCTAGATCGTTCGGATCCTGCGCGAGAAGCCAATGCAAGCGACGCGACACAAAGCAGCAAAGGCAAATTGGTTCAACACTCACCTCATGCGCTCACACTCAGACTCTCCAGGTGAAGCAATCTGGTCCTGGGCACTTGCTGTGACAGGTGCTTGCGATGGTGCAGCAGCACCTTCTTCGATGAATTCAGAAACACATGCACAAGCAGGCGTGCGGAAGAGTGACAGAGAGAGCGAGAGAGAGAGTGCAAAATACTTGCAAAATTCAACAATATAATCTATGTAGGGATACCGGGCAACCAACATCCATCACTTTCCCCACCAAGCTTTCCAGTCTTGAGCCAGTGCCATTCGACATAAATGCATCATGACCATTAGGTGCATTACTGGGCTCGTGTCATTTAACACAGTCCCTTGATCCTGACTTCAGTCGAGGACCACTCAAACATTTAACGAGCACAGGTGGAAGCATTTGCGAAGCGATCAAGAACCATTCGAAGAAACAAACAATCAAAGCTGCGAAGGACCATTGGCCTCATTCCAGACATTTTGGCTCGACTCGGGATGACATTCGGGTCCTCGTGAAAAGCATTCGGAGGCCAGTTTGCACTGCACAAAGCAAGCTTGCAAACAGTCGGATCATGCGTCATCGACCTTGAATCCAAGAATTTCATTCTCAGCAAACCACTGAAGAAATCCATTTAATATTTCAAACTAAACTACACAGTGCAAAACAGTTGCAGTCGCAGGGCACTCCAACATTAATCGCTGGGCTTAGTGCGATCACTTGACAGTGCCCTTGGCATTCTTCCGCAGGACAATCTCCGCGCCAGGCTCGAGAGCATTGGCAGTCTGGGCGAGAGCAGTCGCCACATTGCGATCATTCGAGCCTTTCGCTTGGGAAGGAGCATTCCAAGCATTGGCGGCCTCATTGTCCTCATTCTCATAGATCTCGTCCCAGGTGGAACAGTCGTGCTCCAATCCACCTCCGACGGCTTGGCAGAGGGGGACCATTGTGTGTCCCATCAGTCTCCACGCGATGAGGCATCGTCCGCTGGTGGTTGCCAGTGACCCCCAGTCCATGATCTGATTCAGGGACAGCAGCAGTTTGGGGCTGCGATGACACATTGGATCAGTCATCGGCATTCGCACGATGCTGGCACTGTTCAGAGACAGTGGCTCCAACGTCCAGCGCCAGTCATCGGGACCATGCGATCCAATTCATGAGTGCTGATATGGCCAGCGAATTGGCGATTAAAGTAATTCGCCAGTTTCATTCGAGCATGTCCTCCTGCTCCGCCAGCGACCCACCTTCTCAATGCTACCGTCTTTGTGCCGCGGAACGCAATGAAGGCCATCGCTTCGTCATTGGCATTCTCCTCAGACACTCCCTGGTTGGCCTGCTGCACAGTCTTGCGCAGTGCGCTCAGGGCATTGAAGCTGCCATTCAACTGGTGGCAGGGGAACCTTGAGAGGTCCAACATTCCAGTGGTGTACAGTCCGTTGGTGACAACGGCAAGCATAGCCAGTCGCACACATTCATCAAGGAATCGGTGGCATTCTCTTTCGCCCATGCCGGGCATTTCCATTCCACACTCCAGTTGCAGCCGCCCGGCTTTTGTCATGCCAGTCCAAGTGCTCTCAACCATCCAGTTGTTGGGCCCATTCATCTCAGGCTGGCTACCCAACGAGTGCATGTTCATAAAGAGCTCATTGAGTGGACCATTCCAGTGCTGATCCGAGTAATAGAATCTGCAGGCAGTCGTGCCACCTCGTCGCGTCCCTGGCAACAGGACACTCAGCATTGGGGCCGTATTCTCATCCCATTCTCTCTTGAACAGTGCCTCGCCCAGGTGAAATCATTCACCCTTTTTACCACTCTCGGGATCATTCTCGACCGTGGTGATGTAGAGGTCAAGCTTATTCCACACATGGGTGAGCTCAACTTCGCAGTCCATTGCTGTGAAGGCATTGGACACCTCCACACTCACAGGACCTTTCCTGCTCAGCCTGTGCTGCACCATTGTTTCATTCATCAAGTGGCGTGCCTCCCAGGCTGACTCGCAGGGCACAGCATTCAAGGCGGCATTCGGCTCATTCGAAACACTGGGCACAGGAGGCTTGCTCAGTCGGCATGTATTCCCAGCACCGCTCGAAGCAGTGATGCCCAGTCACAGTCGCTGCAAGTTCAGTCTGCCTTCACGCACTCCACCGGACTTGTACAGTGCGACCAGTGTGGTCTGCACTCCTTCTAGCCTCACTTCTTGAATAGTGTGACCAGTCAGGGCGGCCACATCAATCGCCAGCTGCTCTCCAGTGATTGCCTCAATCACATGCTCCGGCACTGGCTCCAGTTCCAGTGGCACTCGGACCATTGCTGCGCTCTTCGGGGTTGCCGTCTTCGGGGCCATTGCAACGGTTGGGGCGAGCAAAGGTCACAGTCTACACTACCCGCAGTCGATCGTCACTAAGAAACATTCAAAGGAAACATTTCGGGGGAACACACATTGACCTCAGTCGGCAATACAAAGACTTAAAGCAGTCCCTTGCAGCGCACGCTGTACATGCAGATCGTTTGCAATCGCAATCACTCGGCAAAACATTCGGCCTAGTTTCGGCGAAAACTGTTTCATTTGGGCGACATCGGCCAAAACATTCGCCAAATAATCGGCCAAATTCCATTCGGAATTCTGCGCAAATGGGAACCTTTCGGGGAGTCCCTTCGGGACCAAATCGGCATTCTACACTGGGTCGGAGAAACCATTTTGGCAATCGGAGAAAACTCAGCACTCATTCTCTCATCTCTCTCTTTCTTTTTTCCCTCTCGCATGGCTGGCATCAATGTCCACAGGCGAGGCAGTATAGGAAAGCAACGGTGCTTGCATGGCTCCATTCCGGATAGCACTGCATTCAGTGATACTCATTTTAAATGAGTGTTCTGCTTCAGGAAGGTCAAGTTTTGACGGACTCCAAAACGCAGACAAGTGAGCAAACTATACACTATACACTATACAGAAACATCTCCTCTTCAGACTCACACTCGACACCAGTGTTTTTGACTCGGTTCCAAGGCTAGGTTGCAGATACAACCATCGAGCTACACTCAGGGGCGGGCACAAAGACACCTCTGACCGCTCTGATACTCGTCTGCAGCTTTGCACCAACATGATCCCGCCATCGTCCAGCAGTATCTACAGCAACGGTTCATCAGGAAACAGTAACCTAGCAGCATCGTGTTGTGGCGACCTGGAGTGTCGTCAAAGGCTCCTGCCAGTTTACTGTTTCCCAATAAACCTCCACAACAGCAATTCCAAGACTCCAGAGAAGTATCAAAGCCACTCCACTGCTCAGAGAAATCCTAGAGCAAGAATCGCTGGGAGCCACGTGCCAGATTGGCGCAGATGACAGGTGAAAGGTAAATAAAAATCTACAGCCTGATCCAAGTTTCATCCGGAATTCATGAAGACGTTGTTTCGCAGAACCTCCTTCTTTTGACACTGTCTGCAAAACGACCAGTCTCCACTGTCCATGTGTACGACCCACATAAAAGATGATAGCGCGCTGCATCCATGGTAGCTTGCCCACCTTGGATGTATTGGCCTGCTCTGTTCTGTCCATAGATCCTGATCTTTTCACTGTGTCCAAGCTGTCCCGATCGTCAGCATCAGCGAAAGCCATAGCAGTGCACTTCAGTTGCAGGTGTTCATTTTTTCTGCTTTCTTCTTGGTTTTTGCAGAACACTGTAACAGGTGACCACTCTGGTACTTCCACAATCGCGACACGACAGCAGCAGGGAAAAGTGATCCAGCTCACAAGTCAGCCAGAAGTTGGTTGTTGTACAAGAGGCATGGCGCAAGGAGTCGACCATTTCACCGAAAGAAGGCCCTGAACAATGACCCCATGTCCGTCATGTCCCTGAGGACCCCCGTAGTTACGCGCAGTGTTCGGTCGGAGTGGACGGTGGCACAGCAGGTGAAGGGAAGGTGAGTTGCGGTGGAAGGCAGGGTGTGGAGATGAAAATCGAAAGTGGGTGATGCATCCGTCATCAGTGTAGGGCGATCCCTCATCATTCACCTCATGCATGCACTAGTGCAGTCCAAGCGGCAGCCAAGAGACCCAAATGCAGCCAAGGCGCAATCTAATTACCAATTAAGGGTGTGCAGTCCCAGCGGCAGCCAAGAGACCCAAATGCAGCCAAGGCGCAATCAAATTACCAATTAAGAATGAAACCGAAATTACACGCAGACCAGAGTGCATGATTATCGCTAAGCCACAGCCAAGCAGCAATTACACAGTCATTAAAGAATTAATTAGGATATTCCCAGTGCAGGAAGTGCAGGAAGGACATTAGTCCAGGCATTCAGGGACCCTACGGGAGTACTCAGTAAGTCGTTGTTGTTGTGGGCATGTCTGATTGGTGACAGCAGGAAAGTTGAACAAGGTGTGCAAGCGGGGTCGTAGTTCCAGAGATCTGAGTGGTGTAAAAGCCACTAGAACCACTCTAGCTGCTGCATTTCTATCCCATTCCTCAGTTGCATGAAGGGTACTTCGGGCAGAAAAGATGAAAGGTGTGCTGATGTCCTGTATCTTGCCTTTGATTTCACTGCCTTGAAAGTTCTTTGTAATGTGGCCATCGGACGTGGCAATCCACATGTGTCCCCCTCTGTCATGGCGAGATAGCAACAGTACGAGACTCTCGCCCAAGTTACGTGTATCACGATGTGGCCCTCGCAAACAATTAGCCCGCAAGCTATTGCACGTAAAGCCAAAATTAGGTGACTCCTGTTGCACAAATGTGGAAAGTAACTTGGTGCAGTTCGGGAGTTGTTCCGTACAGCTAGTTACAAGAGAGGCCTGACGGGGATTAGCTCCCACCAAAAAGATAGTTGCTTGAGGTTGTTGAGGATCACGTTGTTGGAACCTTCTAGGTAGCGAGCTCCACATCTCCAGGATGTCTTCCTTTGTGATGGCTCTACCCCTAGAGTGTTTACACAAGAAGGAATAGGCCAGGGTCTCAACCGGCACACAGGCAAAATCAACCCCCACAGCCCTGGCCAAAACCAGTTGACTAGCCCGATCCAAGCCTAAGGTGGGTGTTGTCATAGGTTCATCATTGTCATCAATTCGCATCACCTCATCGACAACACACGAATCTTCATCAGTGGTATCCTGTACTTCAATCTCAGGAATCGAAGGGGGGGCTTGGGCTCGAGGGGCTCGTGAATGCTTGGGATGGCTTTGTTCAGGGGAGTTCGGGGCAGCGACAGCACGTTTCATTTGAACCCAAACACACTACCTAAGCAAGGTCAAGCTGTTGAGCAAAAGTCTCAGCAACAAGTATGATGAGGGTGCCAATGAAACTTTTTCTGAGTCTAAAACAGGTGGGGCTACTTTTCAAGTTGACATACCAGGACATGTACATGTCGTGGACGAGCGCGCAACGCTGCTACAAGTCCATTTTGCAAGACTGCCTTCAGTATGCCTGTGCGGATTGTACAATACATGGCAGCGACGGACACACATGTTGCAAGTTGCAGTAATTATAAATTCAGCGTCAAGCCTGGCTATGAGAGCCTCACATTGCATCAATTAAGAGCGCGTCGCGCTTGCTACGAATTAGAAATTTGTGGTGCATGCTCAGAATTACCAATTAGTGTGTCAGAAAGTCTGCCTGAGGAATGCAAAGAGCCGCCGCACTCTAGCCAGAAGCAAACTCTAGGTTACCAGACCCCCAAAAGCAAGGCATCAAAACCAAAAGCGGTAAAGTACCTATAGACTCAGGGCGGCGGTCGAAAGAAAGCTTTGAGGAGTTCCTCCTGTGTCAACTGTACGACGGTGGGCCCTTGCGATGCCTGGGGCATCTGCTGGGGCGGTTGAACCATATAGATCGGACCTGTATGCTGCCGGTTTGGCAATGGGACTGGCATGTGCTCCCCCGCAAGCCTCAACTCGATCGTCTGCGCTGGCGGAGTATGCGTCGTGACTGGCGGCTGGTGGTGCTGCGAGGGTCCAGGAGGATCAGCGGATGATTGCGCTGGAGCCGGTGTCGGTGTCTCCACTGGCGGCTTTCGCAATGGAAGTTTCGGCAGTCTTTCCAGCACTTGTTGCAACATCTGTGGTGTTTCTTTGTGGATCACCTGCACTTGTTCGCTTTGTTCATTTATAGCATCGAGGGCCCCCATGGAGGTCGACTCCACACGACCCATTCTGGCCTCCAGGCTTTCCACCATATCCCAGAGACTGTTCACTGTCGTGCGAAGCTCGGTGTTGAGCTGCTCGAGGTGTGCATTCATCTGTTCCAGGTGTTGCAGCTGCTGATTGTGCGACACATGGTAGCCCATGGCATCCTTGGTGGAGTCGCCGATGTACTTCAGCGTCGGCACCAATGGAAAAAGAGGCCGGAAGCTAGACATGCACCAACCCTGATGGTCCTTGAGGTCTTTGGCGATTTTATCAATCTTGCTCTCAAGCACTGTCTTGCACACGTGGAGCTCGTTGGAAAGCGTCTTGTGAAGATTGAGACTTCGATCAATCCCTGTTTCGAGGGCGATGGCCTTGTCCTGAACCGCCTTTATCTCGGTCTGCACCACGGAAACGGTATCTCACCCTTGCTTCAAGATGCTGTCCTGTATCGTCTCAGCCGCTGCGAACTGCTGCATCATCTTCAGTAGTTCTCCTTGCACCAGCTTTTTGAGCTCATCTATGTCGGTGGACTCTACTTTGCTTGCAAGCATCTTCATCATCTCCGAGAGGTGATTTTTCTTGTATGATTCATGCAGCTCCGTGATGCGGTCACAAGATTTGGTGACGGGATCTGCCAGTTGCTCAAGGCTTGCCTTTGCTGCTTCCACATGCTGTAGCAAGTCCTGTAGGTCTTGCTTGTATGTAGTCACTTTGATCTCAGCTTGGAGTTCATGAAGAGTGTTCTCCATGGAGGCAACACTCTTATTGAGAGACGCCATCAAAGGTTCAAGGTCAACCGTCGGTCCAGCAGGCAATGGCAGGAAGGAACCTTGAGGAGGGGCCTGTGCCTGAGCTAATCCAGCTCGGAGCCCAGCCACCTCCTCTGTCAATTCCCCAATCATTCGCAGCTGACTGGTAAGTTTGCGCAGCGAAAGAGAAAAGCTGTAGACCACTCCCAGCAAAATCACAGTGAGAGTAGCAAAGGCCTTCCAGTTGGGCTCATACATCAGCCACCAAAACTGGTTGCCTTCGAAAAAGCTTTCCATGGCTCGAAAAGGTCTACACTGCAAGTCAAGGTAGGGGCTTCGTGCCAATGGTCTACAGGAACATTTGTTGACCGTCCTGCCCCCCCCCTGCATTTTTTACAGCCACTTATGGAAGTCAGGTACGGGTTGCGAATCCTGCGTGATGAAGACTTTGGAATACCTCACTGTTCTATGTACTCTACGGAAGTGCTGAGCGCGTAGGGATTCAGTAGCAGCACGATCAGTGAGGCTATTCTGCGGATGACCGCAATGTCCCTTCACATGGACTGCCTGCCCATATTTACAAAGATCCCTCCAAAGGTGTACAAGTTCATGTACTGTATGAGGATGGCAAGTGGTATTGGCATACTCCTCCAAAGCTTGTAGGACCAACATAGAGTCAGTAAGGTAGATAAAAGGAATATGGGGATAGAACCTAAGTATGGTCCTAATGTGTTTAAGGGCCTGAACAGCGGCAAGTAGTTCAGCCTTGTTATTGGAGCATGGCCGGGGAATTTTCTGCTGGAAAATGATTGCATCCTCCAAAGGAGCATACGGCGCAACGATGGTGACTGCAATGGATCCTTCATTTGACTTTGAGCCACCATCCGAGCACACTTGGAAGAATGGGGCGTCGGTAGAAATAGTTGCTTCCGGGAATTTTTCGAAGGAAGAGCCATAGGGGGTTTCAATTGGAACATGGCGGAACGGAAGCAAACGAAAATTATCACCGACTTGAAGGAGACAACGTCCATTTAAGTCAACATCATACAGCGAAGGATAGAAAAGGGCAGGGTCGAGATTTTTAGCCTGGAGCCAAAAGGAAGAGAACTCAGACCATGCATTCCTGTCGAGAGCTTTTTGTTCCCAAAAGGGGGGATCAAAAGGGTGCCGAAAGTCCTCGTAAGCAAGTTGAAGAAATCGATAGGCGTTGGGCCAATAGCCGAGTTGACGACGAATAACCGTGCCGAAATCAGACAACCATGCAGTATTTCGGATATGCATCGCAACAGTAATAGGCGATAGACGAAAATTAAAAATACGGGCAGCGTGGCCCCAGTAACTGAAGAAGCAAGAAGCCTGAGTGCCTTGCCAGCTTTTGTGGCCAACGGCTTGTGCCGTCATTTTACTCGCACGCCTACGACAAATCCAATTGGAAGAGCTAGACACAAAAGGATCCGAAGCGAGCCCGCAAAGGGAAGTGAGGAGCGTTGTGTGGGCGATCTGAAGCATCTTGGGGATATTACCAGTAGGGCGAATGCAAGGGGACAGCCAACGCCACTTTGAAGTTACGAAAGTGTTGAGGAGATTAAGCCGAGTGCGGATAGTACCACCGGGGCGCTTCAGGATCCGAAAGTACCCCCAGAACGTGTTGTGGGTGAGGGAGAGTCTGGCAGACAAGACAGCCTGACACGAAACTCCGAACCCAATCAAAACGCCTAAGAAGAGGTAAGAAGGGACTCTGGGGATGGAAACGCCACGAACAATCAGAGACTGAGGCAAGATGTCGGGCGAAGCTATGAACTTACATTTTTCCAAAGCTAAAGAGAGTCCAATAGCAGAAAGTGTGTCGATGACCTGTTCCAACATGCGCGTAGCCTGTGAAATGGACGTGGATAAGAGAACAATGTCGTCAGCAAACAAAAGATTGTAGAGGTGACGATGTAGGCCATTTGGGTCCGTGGATTGAATCCAAGTAGGTTCCGTATCATGCCAAACAGCGACCAGGGAACCAAGGAAAAAATCAACCGTGCGAGCGAAAATTTCTGCACTGTATGAGGATCCTTGAACAATTCCCCGGAAGAGACGTTGCTCCCACGATACGTCCGCAATTCCAACCAAAACACGAGACAGGACGATAATGCGAAGTAAAACATGAGCTTCAAGACGAGGACCGCACTGAGCCAAAAATTTTGCTACTGCCGAATGCGATAAATGGTCAAATGCGGAAGCTACATCTAATTTGATTGCGATAAGAGGAAGTTTGTATTCTTGACTAAGGCGCACAATGTGCTGGAGGCAAGCAGAACCGTCTATGGTTTGGCAGCTGGGGATGCAGGCGAGCTGGTTGGCAACCGGAGGGGGAAAACAAGGACGCAAGCGGAAAAGTAGAATTTTGGTGAAGATTTTTCCAGGTGTAGAGCTGAGAACGATTGGGCGGAGATGCTTGGGTTCCGAAGGGAGAGCATTTTTGGGAATGAAAGTAAGATGTGAAACTAGCCACGAATCGGGAAGAGGAATGTTACCGAAAAAGACCGAGTTCAAAAAATCAGCAAAGTGCTGAGCTAAATCAGAGCACATAAGGGCAGAGAGGAACTCATAAGAAATCCCATCACTCCCACAAGATTTACCAAGTTTGCAGGTGTTGATAACTTCAGTTATCTCTTTAACGGTAATCAAGGGCGGACTGGGGAGAGGGGCCTCAGAGGCAAGAAGGCGGAAAGGAAGGTCTGGTGGGTCGGGATCAGGGGGAGTGTACTTAAGAGTAAAGTGACGACGAAGATCAATAGTGGCTTTTTGCTTTCCACCATCCCTAACAATGTAATTGGAATGCGAAGAGACGACAGAGTTGCGTCTTTTAAAATACGAAATGGCATAGAAATCACCACGAGAAGCCCTGTCCAAAACTTCGGTTAGCCAGACCGCCTTCGCCTTTTTTCGAAGTGCACATATTTCTTTTCCCAGTGCTCGAGATTCAGCACCCCCGAGAAGTTTACGCTCTTGAATTTTGGTGCGTGTAAAATCAGGGTCAACATATCGAAGAGACTTGGGGCGAAAGGAAACCGAAGACGACAGGTTGTCAAGATGACCGATATCGAGATCCTTGTCAGACAAATCTAGCGTTTCAGCTAATTCCGCGGCCTGCTCCAATAGCTTAGAAGAATCAACACGCCATTTGCCACATCTGGTCTGCCTTCGTGATCGTTTACGACCTGTCCTATGTGGAAGCCCCCAAAGGGAAAAGGACGCAAAGACAGCTCTATGATCGCACCCAAGAAGGAAGTCCGAGTCCTGAAGAATCCCTTGTGCTTCAATACCAGAAGACGGAGCACTGACCAGAACAAAGTCAATCTTTGACGTGGATCCTCTTTGATTGGACCATGTGTGCACGTGGGGGGATGTGGAGATCAGAGAGTGCGACTGCAAAATGGCACCCGCTATGAGACCTCGTTCATCAGACTGATTGGGGTCAAGCATGCACTGAACGGGCCCTAGTTCATAGTTGGTGTCAGTCAGTATGACAACACTGTCATGATAACGCCGATGTCGCAAGATTTTATCAAGCTCAGACTCAAAAGTTTGCCATACGTCAATGCAATCCTCTCTTTGTTTATGAAGAAGATGTGCGCTAATTAGGAATTGCTTGCAACCTTGCAGTTTCAGGGTGACACAAATACCACATGACAAAGACGTGACATGATCAACATGCATGGCAATCCTAGAGGGGACTCCCAGGGCAACAGCTCTGAAGGCAAGAGGGGGATTGGTTACATAGAAAACCCAATCTTCATCAAGTCTAACATCTTCAATTTTCCAAGGAAGTGATAAGGCAGAAAATCCACCCAATTCTTGAAGACCAATCACATCGAAGCCTTCCATGTTTAAGGTGGGCCACGCCGTGCGAATGTCCTCAAAGCCCTTGCCCTGAATATTCCAAGACAAAGAGTGAAACTGCTGAATCCCTTGTCCTAGTCAGTTGGCGGCCCGCACATGAGCAGATGTGGGCCCCTGTGACAACCAGAGTTCCTGTAGATCTTCGACCGGTCTGCCCGTCACCTGATGAAAAACCTTGGCTTTAATGTACCAATTCATATGGTTGCCTTTTGCATCTTCAATACAAACATCGTCTGCCTCGGGTTCTCCATCCCTATAAACCGACCCCAGCAACTGAAAGTTGTCAATGTAAACCTTGCCATTCCAAGAGATCTCAATGTCCGATTCGTTGAAGCAAGGCTTTCCAAGTCCAGGTGAGAGCTGCTGATAGAAAGTCTTGGTTAGAACGATTGCTCTCGTCTTCGCGCGTTCTTCGGGAGTTTTGCTCTTCGTGGCCCAGATCTTGTCACCAACGCTTCCTGGAACACCGCTCTGAAACTTCTTCGCTCTCAATTTGTCAAGAATGTTGAACTGGAATTGTCTGCGAATAGAAATGTGGGCCTCAGGCTGGGGAAAGGTAAGCTTGACTTTCGCAAATGTAGTCCTACTGAATGGGACAAAGACATCTGCGATTACATGCTCACATTGAACTGCTTTAAAGATGTTCTTTGTTTCATCAATTGCATCACTCTTGCGGGCATCATTCCATCCGCCCACGACAATGTCGAGATCTTCGCCATCAAAGTTTTGTGGCGATGCATCACCGTTCCGATGATTCTGAAAGCGAGGGGACCTAGGGGACGGGGAGCGATGGCGTGTGCCGAGGCCAGTGCGTACTGGAGACCTATCGCCTTCACCGCCTCCTGTTTCCTGCAATTCAAGAATCTTGCGCTCAAGTGCTCGGATCTTTGCCTCGACATCATGTTCAGTGATCTTGTGTTCCAAGTCTTTGAGGCGCTTTTCTGTCTCTTCATGTTTGATGGTATGCTCACTCGCAACTTGTTCAAGATGTCAAACCCTCACGCCCTGCATCTGCACTTCAGCACCGAAAGCCAAAATGTCCTGATGTTGACGATCAGCCTTGGCAATCAGGCTCTGAAAGTTCCCCCTTATTTCCTGCAACCAAGGTGGCATTGAGGAATCAACTTGGGGTTCCCCACCAGTAAGTGGCTGGTTTGCAGGCTCAGGAAAGGCCCAGCGTGAAATGCCTGCGCCTGGTTGAATCGGTTGCTGCTGACCACTGCTGACCGGATTAGGTCCTGATGTCGGAGCTTGCAAAGAATTAGCTGCAGAAATAGGGGCATGCAGAGGATTAGAAGCATCAGCAGCACGCAAGGAGGCAGGAGCAGCGGCAGAATTAAATGAATTAGGGTGGGCAGGAACCTCAATTCGGTTGAGTTCGTCCTCAGCAGCTTCATCATCCGCATCTCTCTGAGTGTCATGCCCTTCTTCATCAGAGATATCAAAGTGGGGGATATCCCTAGCAGGATTGAAGGAAGGGGAGCAGGGAATCTCAACGTCCCTAGGGCTCTCAAAGCTATCTTCGATGGAAGCGCCCGGTGTAACATCTCCATTGGCTGTGGGGACCTGCATATCCGCATCCTCAGATTTTACAGGGACGTCAAGTTTGGGTTTCTTGGTCTCAGGTGTGTTGTTGAGGCTGTTTTTCCGCACCCTCGCATCATTAGGCTTATCCTCACGTGATGGAATGTTTCGGGCAGGGAATGTTTTCTCCAAAGCATCGGTGTGTCTTCCTACCGGAGGCAAGGATACCAACTGAGGTCCATCAGCAGGCACCATCGTGCTGTTATAGGCTCTGTGCGGAGGAGGAGCAGTATCGGAGGGGATACGCAAGTCCGGTTGACCCCAAACTCCCAAAGAAAGTTGAATGTTAGGATCACCCATGCACTGGAAATAAGCACGTCTTGAGCCAAAATGGCTCTTTCTTTGGTTTGGAGGGTTTCGGGCAACGCTGAAACATTGCACATGCAGTCATGGCAAAACAGCTGCATTTACTTTGCACTAGACAAGACAGCAGTGTGACATGTCGTGCAAACACTCAAGAATATGCATTGCATTCGCTGCAGCTCACCTACTCAGTTCTTCTTCGTGGACTTCAGACTTCAGTCCAACGGCGTCCAGAGAAGCAGCGTGCGCAGCGGGTGCGTTCGGGATGCGCACGAGGGCGGGCGCGGGAGGGGTGCAGGGCTCACGGGCCATGCCCAGTAGGGCGGTGGTCGGGCAAGAGGAGGCCACTGAGCAATCACCACAGGAGCAACATGATCATCAGTATCATGAGCATCAGTGGCAAGGTGCTTGAACCAATTCGACACAACACCAAGACGTTGCCGCAGTCGCTAGCCGCTGCAACATATCTGGAGTAGGTCATTAGATCCGCGGGATTCCGCGGGCCTTCAAGCTCGGCCATCCTCAGTAGGCCCATTTGCACCAGATTCTGGACACACAGCAACCGCCGTTCCACGTGTTTTGTTTTCTTTCCAGTTCCAAAGCGGGTCGCCATTGATTTACCCGCTGTGCTGTCGGTATGCGCAATCACATTCACCTTTTTCGCCAGCTTTGACTCCAACAGCATTGATCGGACAAACAGTGCTTCCGACACTCCTTGACGAATCGCACACAACTCCGCTTCACCGGAGGACAGCGCCAGTGTCCCTTGAGTCCGGGCAAGGCTAACCATGTTGCACCCCAGGACATTCACAATTGATCCGCTGGTGACCCGCTGGTGCTTTTGCGCGTGAGCGCGCATCCAGCCCATTCTGAGTCCACATAGACATTGATGTCAACGGCGCAGTTGCCATCCGCAAGTTGATGCGACGGTCGCAGTCTCAGCACACACCTTTTAAAATTCGTGCCAATCAAATAGTAGCGCAGTAGGTGTTTGCACTTTGCGACACTCTGTCTGCGTTGTCGGGGCAATCACATCCCGACTCAACTCTTTCGTCGCGTAGGCAATGTCACCTCGCACCAGTGTAAGCCAAAGCAACTTGCCAACAGCCGTCCTGTACACTGAGTGCTCCTCAGGACTCAGTGGCGTGTGTGGAAGATTCTTGGTGATCGTAGCAGTTCCAGTCGTTGCCACAGACTTGGCATCTTTCAACATCTTTCATTCCATACAAATCCAGAACCGTATCAATGTCGTTTTGTGACATGCAAACGTCAATGGAATCACCTTTATGTAGCAATCGTCTTCCAAGGAGGAAAGTGTGCTAACTCTCCGGCACAAGTTAAGTTGGCCAGTCTCTTTCAGCAACACTTCCTCAGACAGTTGGGGCATGAGCGACTTCCTCATTTCGTCAGTCCCATTGGCAATATGCAGGCGCATGCAGTTGACCCGGTTCATGACAGTACAAATTCGGATCACTCTTGCATCTCCGAAACCCCAGTTTCGTCATCAGTGTCTCAGCGACGCGTTCTAGCCAGAGTCGCGGCGCTTGCCGCCATCCATACGTCGCCTTCTTCAATCTCCAGAGGCCTTTGCCATCTGCATAGACCTCCTTCGGCGGCCAAACGAACACTTCTTCAGTCATCAATGCGGGCGAGAAGGCAGTGCTGATATCACTCAGTGTGATGCCCTGACTTCTTTCCATTGCCATGCGCAACGGCAATCGCATTGTGACAATATTGTGACCAGTGACGGTGTCGACGCAAACAGGTTGTCCTTTTGTCTCTTCTCGACATTCTGGAAACATCCAGTGACAACCACTCTGCACCTCAATTCGTCATCATCTTTCCAGACCTTGACCGTCATCGACAGTCAAGGGCCTCATCAATCTGCTCTTGGGCGCAGTCCTCAACCTTCACTTCATCATACACATCAAAAGTTCTTCATTGAGTTAGTTCATCTCCTTCATTCCATTCCGTTCATCACTCTCCCACAGCAGTGGCTCGGAGAGTCGCATTTCTGGGTCGACTTGAAAACAACCTCGTCAACTCCAACAATCGAAGCCTCGAAGCAAGCCATTTTGCAAGCAGGAATCCCTCCGGCAATCACATGTGATGCACAGCAGAGAGTCTCATTTGATTCGTAGAAGGCTCATTCGCTGGAGCATCAGGATCACTTTTTCTCGGCGCTTCACCAGTCGCCTCAGGTGCTTCATGATCCATTTCGGCAGGAACCCGATCAGTGCCATCTTGTAGCAACAGTTCTTGCACGGTGACCCTTTCACTCGGGCCAGGTGCCATGTCTTCAAGCTCAACATTCCCTTCAACTTCCTCCAACCCAGGAGGAGGCCTCACTCGGCCTTTCGCTCCAAGATCTGGTGGCCTTACAAATACAGTCGGCTCAACTCCATCTCCACACGCCTGCCAAGGTCACACGTGGAGATCATTTTCATGACATGCGATGCATTCCGTTGTTGAGAAGGCGATCTTCTCTTCACAGTCCTGACCTTGAAGACTCCTCTTCGGCCTCAGTGTCCTTTCCAAGGTACACGCCAGTGAACCATTGGGATCCGGCCTTCGGAACACGCACCTTGCTGCTCAGTGGCAGTTTCGCATCAATCAGTTCACCAAACATGCACAATGCCCCACTGTAGTCTCGACTCCATCTGCGGTTGTAGGCAGTCTTGCTGTCAGTGCCAATCATGTAACGATTGATCAACCATTTCGCATGCTTCACACACCAGGTGAAGATTGGAGATTCCGAACTCATTTTCACTCCAGTCGATTCCTCCACTTGGGACAGCAGTGTTCTCAGCTGTCCGTAGAGAGTCCGTTGGGCATTCCCAACACTCCCTTGACTTTGAGAATGTCCAGTTGGCGCTGCGAACATGACGATCCACCGATCGTCTTGCACAAGTCGCGCAATCCCAAACGTCCTGCCAATCTCGAAAACAAACGTCCTCAATTCGGCAACTCCGTATTTTTAAACACTTCCTTTCGACGGCAGTACTACAGCCCTTGAATATCCAGTCTGGACATCCGTGGCCTTCAACACCGTACGCTTCGGAAGGTCATTCTCCGTCTCCGTGAAAGAGAAGTCAACCTGGGTCACAGGTTGACGAACATTCTTCTTCTTCACTGCATGACTTTGTCGTCCTTTCGACCTCACGCAGTGTTCACACCAGTCCCGATACGGGAGATGAGTCAATTCGTGCAATCGCCGTTCACTTTCTGAGGGTTCTCCAGGAAGCTTCAACAGTTTCGGCTTCAATGCATTCCGATCCTCAGTCTCCTGCTCGGCATTTTCGCTAGCAGCCGGGCGATCAAGCAAACAATGTATATCCAGTCCACTTGTGTCCAGTAGGACTCCGTGGATCCTCACACTTCTTCACTGATCCATCAGGCATCTCGATGTCTGCCCATTCACTTTTATGGCCAGTATCTATCATTGTGGGATCACTCGAGTCGAAGAACATTGTGTACCTATCACCCACCAGTGATCACTCAACATTCCATCAACGGGAGACTTCGCATCATCTGGATGGAAGTAGCAATCACGCCATGCACGGTGCATCTCATCCAACATCGAGGGAGGATAATCCATCTATCTGCAATCCTCGGAGCCGCAGTCTCAGTATATCCGAGATTGAACAGTCGCAACAACACAACAACAACTCCATAACTTTTCACCACATTGAGGCAGTGAGCGCAAAGCATTCTCAAGCTCATGCTCTTCAACATTTCGACTCACTCACACTTGGCGATCCAGCTCTTCAGGCTCTCCATCAGCCTTGGCTCGGCCTTTGTAGGCGGATTCAGTCTGCTGCTCCATTTCCGCGACCTCAGCATTCGCATTCTGCGGAGGCGGCTTGCCAATCCGTGGGTCATGTGGACACGGCACACTCTTTTGCACACGCTTTCGTTGCGGTTTGTGCGTCAGTCCAAACTCAACTCTTCCTCGCCAATCTCTTTCATCACGCGGCCTGGTACAGTATTCGTAATTGCCAGAAAGTTCGCATCTCCGACAGTGACACTCGAACCATCTCGGTACACCTTGTGCGTCACTCTTTCGCCAGTCAAGCGTGGGGCATTCTATTCGTCACTTTGATCCGAAGGTCCAACATTTAATTTCGCCAAACCTTCGCATGGCGAATCAACTTCAGCTCAGTTTCATTCACCTCCCAGGTGTCCTGTCTGCCACACTCGAAGGACTTCATGCAATGAGCTGCGGCAGCCAAGGCGCCGATCTGGCAGAGGTGGTTTAATCGAACACACATGAACGTCCGACACTCCACGCAACTCCAAGGCACCAAGCTCTTCCTCAATTCCCGACATTACCTCTGGCAGACACATTGCTGCCGGCCTTGCCGCATTCGCCACGGCATAAGGAATGACTGTCGGTGTCAAGTACACCGGTGTGCATTGTCGAACAATCGGCACAGCATTGCCCGTCGGGTCAATCAAGGCCATGTAGTCTTTCGCCATCACAGTCCAGAAATCTTGCAACAACAGTGGGGCGACGCTGACCAGTGGAAACGGTATGCCAGTGCACACATAAAAGCTTGCATGTGAAACTCAACCAAGCAGTCGTCAAAACCACTCGGTTCATTTTCGGCCATTTGCGTCAAGCTTGGCACACTCTGAGTCGGCTTTGGTGGCACTCCGGAACTCAGTGCGCCAATCAACACGCACGCTCCAAGGAACAAGTTCGTCATCAGTCCGGGCTTTGTTCCCCGAACTGTCTTCGACACACTGGGCGCACTCTGATCCGACGAATCGACAGTCACAGCTGCCACATTCTGTGGTAGTTCATTCTTGGCGGCGTCCTGATGAGGGACATTTGAACCTGGGCTCACGGCACCATTCATTCGAGCTCTGCGGCTGAACCTCAGCAGAATTCCACCATTCCTGAGTGTTCCAGGACCAGTCCTCAGGCCAAGAACTCCAGTCATCCTCGTACCAAGACCAGTCACCGGACCAGTCATCACTATACCGGTCATCCGGACTCCACTGATTCCAGTCATCACCTCATTCGGTTCCATTTCCTTGCTCCTCTTCAACCACAGCTGACACTTTTCCTGTACCTTTAGGGCATTCCTTGCTCCAGTGGCCTGGGTCGCCACACAGAGAACATGCTTGTCCTTTCCCTTTCATTCCTTTCCTTTGTATCCTTTTCTCTTTCTTTTGCCTTTTCCTTTGTATATTCCTTTTCCTTTGTATCCCTTTTCGATACATTCCTTTACCTCTTTTGTAGCCTTTGCCCTTCATTCCTTTCTTTCCTTTCAGTGCTCCTACATCCATATCGGCTTGTCCTTGGTGGGGGTTGTCAATCCTACCACTCGCCACAATCAGGTGTCTACTCTAGATGTAGCTGTAGATATTGTGCAAGCGGAAGCCAGTGAGCTCATTCAAAAGATTCGTGGATCTCGCTCGCTCTGGCAGTGAAAACGGATTGTGCAGTCTACGCCAGATTTCGAATCCATTCTCCGTGTCCTCATTGCGAACCATCGCCCATGCGGCGCCATCAGTGATTTGCGCCAACATATACGCCGGTAGCTTACAGAACAGTGAAAGCTGATCATTCTGCGTGCGGTTTTGCTGAGCACTGAATTCACACAAATCATCAGTGATCGTGCGGTTGGATCCTTCAACATCGTCCATTAGCAGTTTGGCCAGTCGCTTGTACAATCCTACATATCGCTTCGCCTGCCATGACCAGTCTTCCTATTTCTCCAGCTCTCCGTGGTACACTGGTGGCGGGAACAGCTTGATTTCACCGCCAATCCCTCTGGTTCCGAACTCCATTCTCTCTCAGTCCCTGATTCCAGAGCCGAAGCTCCGCTACCATGCAAAATTCAACAGTACAGTCTGGGGATGCCGAGTAAGCAAGATCAATCACTTTCCCCACAGTCACTCAAGCAGACATTCCTTTGTGACGTCAAGCCAATCTGCCCAGTCTTGGGCCAATGCCCTTCGGCATCGTAGCAATCATAAATGTATCATGACTATTATTAGGTGCATCATTGGGCTCGTGTCATGTAACAGAGAGAGAGAGAGAGAGAGAGAGAGAGAGAGAGAGAGAGAGAGAGAGAGAGAGAGAGAGAGAGAGAGAGAGAGAGAGAGAGAGAGAGAGAGAAAGAGAGAGAGAGAGAGAGAGAGAGAGAGAGAGAGCGAGCGAGAGCGAGGGAGGGAGGGAGAGAGCGAAAAACAGTGAGGGACAAAGCGAGGTTGCGGCGAAGAAACACGATCTTGGCTGCACAAGCACAAGATAAGCACAAGACTAAGTCGATGGCAGCTCTTGGGCCGAAGATTCATTACTTCAGCACCTGGTATCTCGCCCACAGCATTACAGTAAGTCGCTAGAGCCGGATCTAGGGGCTCAGCACAGGCTAAGAACGAGTTCAATGCGCGTTGATGTCGTGGGTAGTCGACGGTTTTTCTCGCTTGCAAGGGAGGCACCAAGCTCTGTGTCCAGATTGATCAGGGATGTATAGAACTCCTTCGTAACATCAGCATTTTGTTGGAGGTCGAACCGAAGCTGCTGCAGACTGCATGTCAAGTTAAACAGCCAGCGGCCTGCCGTAAGGAGGGAACTCTCGTAGGTGGAGGTGGCAACAGTAGCGGCCTCGGTCAAAGCTCATCCTCTACTGATCATCGTTTCTGCGATTGCAAGTGCTACCACAAATGCAGAAAGATCACCCGGCTCTCCAGGGAGCTCGTTCAGATACCGCTGCGGGTGCCTTCGGTGGTGTGACCGGTGCTGCTGAGCCCAGTTGAGATGGAATCGCCTGTGCAATTGGCTCGCTTTCGATTGCTGGAGCTGTCTTTGCAACTGGCACCGACGCGGAAGTGGTCATGGCCAGCAAAGGTGGAGGGCTCAGGAATGCTGGGGAGCTGGGTGCCTTCGCGGATGCTGTAGCCGCTGTCTTCGGTGGAGGTGCTGGTGGTGGTGGTGTAGCAGAGGAATGTGGTGGGTATGTTTGAGACGAGGGTGGTACCAGTGCCTCCGTCCGCTCTGAGAGTTTGCGTGATGGCGCTTCTTCTTTGGAAGCTGTTGATTCGATGGCTGGCTGTTCAGAACGTCGCTGCACCTGTTTACAGTGCGGTGAAATCTCCGAGAACTACGGGGCTACTCCATGCTACTCCCATGTTTGCAAGAAATGCGTCTTCGTGCCTCAGCCTCCTCTTCCTCCTGTGCGGCGAAATATGCAGCTGCCAAAGCAGCATAGCCTGCTGCCATTGCTTCGGCCGAGTCTTCGTTGTCTGGACCGTGCTTTGCATCACTTGGTCGGGGCATGGTCTTTGCTGCCAGGATTTTGGCAGGCCGAGCTGTCTTGTCCGGTGCCTCTGATGTCTCCCGCTTTGATCCCTCGTCCGATGCTTTCAGAGCGGACGCCTTGGCTGCGGTCTTTGCGCGCTTTTGCCGCGGGCGTTGTTGGTGGCCGTCGTCACCTGATGCTTGTTTCTGACCCTGGCTTGCGGTGCTTTGAGCTGGCAGCTTTTGCTGGTGCTCTTGTCGCTCTGGCTGCACCTGTTTGGCACGCGCTTGCTCCGGCTGTGTGTGCCCTGCCACCACGGCAGGCACTGCAGGGGATCGAGGCTCCCGGGGCTGTGCGCTTGCGAACTGCGCTTGCTTTTGCTCCTCTGGCTGCACTGCAGTCGACGATCTGCCTGGCAGTGTTTAGCATACTTATTGAATAACAACGGCGAGCCGCTTCTACATGTTACAGCACAATTACACATGCTTCGTGCCTTCTGTGCATGAAGGCTTGCTCGTTATCATGCCTACTCTTGCAGACTCTGCAGCGAAACAATCCTTTTCAATGTTCGTGCTCGCTCAGAAGCCGGTTCAACCCCAACCCTGCTCGGGGTTATCGTAGAGAAGTTGCAGGATTGCGGGTGCGCAGGTACGCAGAGGCTTTTCTGGTGAAATTCAACATGGCCTTGGAGCTCACACCAAGCTCCGCAACTGCAAACTCCCCCTGACGAACCACAGTCTTCAGTCATGTTCGTGTGAACAGACGGGGCGATCGCTTTCACTCTTCGTGTCTCACGCATCCACGGCTGATGTTGCTTAGACTGGCCCATGAAGTGCTTTTGATGCGATTGTTGCCATGTTCTTGCCCTCGCGATGTATCTTGCGTCTTGCATCTGCTCTATTACCGAGTCTTCTGCTCAGGACCCTTTCATTTCGGCGCGCACACTCGGACAATCCGGGCGAGGCATATGGTTTGAGGTCTGTTGAGTGAGACTGCTACTACCTAGGAAAAGATGCCTAGTTCAATGGGGATAATCATAGAGGCCTGATCATTCTCTGTGTTTTGCTGCAACATCCACCGTCCCTTCAAACCAGTCCACAGTACAAACCACGTTCTGCTCTGATGTCATGCAGTGCCCAGGATGGCCTGGCTCTGGCTGCGCTGGTGGCTTTGTTCGCTGCGGTTGGGCCTGTGGCTGTGGGGTCGAGGAAGTCTCAGCCCGCGGTGCGCTCTGCACCGGTTGGACCGCTTTCGCCGGTCTCACCTCTCGGGTTCAGCAGAGCGACAGAAACGATTGTGACAAGAAGGTGTGTGAAGCCTAGGCTAAGCGAGACCGGAAGACCTGCGCCATAGTTGCGAGTCCCGAACGATTCACACCGGAACGACACGAGCTAGCTCATGCTGGCTGTATGAAGGGAGCTAATCAGCATTCAAAATCATCTCGCCTGAATTGAGGAACTGCGCACAAAGTTGACCCAGTGATGGGAACAGATGCTACGCTATACTCGAGCACAGCCCAAAGGGTGTAGATTCGGAATTGACTGCCGAGTATCTGGACCGAAACCCCGATAATCAGAACCAACTCGGCAGGTTCAGAAAAGGGTCTCATTATGGACAAGACGTCGGCCCGGAAGCGTACTATTCCGAACCTGTGTCCAGCTCCAAAGCGTTTTGCTGTTAACATTCCGAGGCATCGGTTCGTGAAATTCTGATCTATGCTTAAGAGCTCTCAAAGCAGGCATCCACTGAAAACCTGCAAATCATCATTTTCAAACAAAAGCAAAAAACACCCACTCGCATGTACATACATATATATATACATATGTACACAATTATACACATGTGGTATCCTCCCCCGAGTCATCCACCAGTTTTGGTGTAAATCCTGTGTATTCTTCCCCTGACCCTTCACTTATCTGCCAGTTTAAAAAGCTACTCTTTTTGTGTGTATGTGTATACTCTGAATCCTAGTATGTGTGCAGCACTGGAACAACACAATGGATGCTGAAGTACATGCCTGCGCAGATGTTAAGGGCAATGGGAACAGTCCCGATGCATCCAGAGTTTTGAAGTTCAATCCAGGCGTGAGGCCTATTGAACTGAATAGGGCTCGCGGATTGGTCAATTCAGCTAAACCCTGCGCTCTGAGTTTACCCACATGCTGAGCCCTAAATTACGCTCTGAATTAACCCAGACGCTGAACCCTGAACCCTGCAGCCCGAATGAAACCCGACTACGGTTTATTACGGTTTAACGTTATAAACGTTCGTTGCCAGGTTCATATCTAAGCTGAAGGGTAAGGTTCCTCAAACATAGGATGCCTACGCAAGGTGTAAGGTAGTAGCGATCCATACCTCTGGAATGAACATACCAGCATTATGTAGGAAATGTGTAGTACATGGTAACATACCAGAGAAGCCGACAAACCCTAGTGCAACTTCTCACCGTGCAGAAGCTACACCCTTGGTGCATGAACCCTTAGTGAGCAACTGCGTGATTCAGCACGGTAATCTCTTTCTGGCTACGGGAAATGCAGGGTTTCTGCACCTAACACACATAAAACTACATAGGTATTTCTCAACCATGCAGTAACAGCCACGGCAACGACAACATCAAGATTGCACCTGCCCTAACACACATATAACTACGTAGGTGTTTCTCAACCATGTAATTAGTAACAGCTACAGCAACGACAACATCGAGACTGCAACAATACTGGATAGTTCGCTACATATACACAAGCATGACCTTGTGCATTTGCGTCAGATACTCATGGATACAGCGTCGCCACTTAGACCAATGCTGAGCCGATGATCTCTGTACACGCGAGTGTTTCGACGCACTACAGCGCAAATTCCAGACAGCGTGGAATGTACCCGCTGCGTCTTAAAACCTTTTAAAGAAATATTGAGAAAATGCTTCTAACCAAATGCTGGTACAAATCTACCTACGTCTGGTAACGTTAGTATTGATGTGAATTCCTAGTTTGCATACAATGCATATCAGTACACGGTTGTTGTGTCCGTGTCGCACGTGAGGCCTGGGGATATACACAATGCTTACACAACTATGATGTACCAGCAAGAAGCTCGCTTTGGGGAAGCTAGGACGTGCATACAAAGCCTGTTTTTTTCATTGTGTTTTTGCCTCGGGGTGCATGTTACTTTAATAGCATTTGTTGCATAATTGGTGCCTTTTACGGGTTGCCGCAATACTATACAAACACGAGTAGTAGCAAAAGCCAAACTGACTGTCGAATCGAAGTCTTGTATAGTTGATTATATATACACTAACATGGTCGCTCGCATTTTCGCAAGGTCTAGGATATAGGGTGTCTTAGGGTGTTAAGTTTAAGGGGCATTAGCCTAATATTTCTGTCCTAGCACGGGGTGTAGTCCGGAGTTTGGACAAATCCAAGAAGAGACTGGATACGTCTTTGGAGGAGTCCATGCACCTACAAGAAAGGCTTTTGTGGGGACTCCATAAAGGTTCGATCAGGGTACCTTGTAGGATTTATCAGGTGAGATCTTGAATCCGGGATCCGTCGCAGCCCGGGACTATGGGCCAATTCGGTCATTTCCACCCAAAAAAGTGGATAACCCGGGCAAAGGGCATGTGTGTATATATATATATACATATGTGTGTATATACATATATGTGCTTGTACATGTATGCATACCACATAAACATGTACATACATGTCTGTATATTTACATATGAACAGATAGACACACGTACATACATACATACATCCGTGCATGCTTACATACATACACATGCATGCGTATATACATACATGTGTACGTACGTGGGTATACATATACATATATGCGCGTGTGTGTGTGTGTGTGCTCATCTGTATTACAGCATATGCTTACATAGTTTGGTAGTATAACCGTGCATACATCCGTCCATACGTATACATATATATATATATACACATCTTTTTATAATCTGCACAGAATCGGTGCGCGCACACGCACACACACACACACACACACCTACCTGCGAATACATTATGTTTTAGATATATATAAATATATATATGTATATATATATATGTATATATGTATATATGTGTATATATATATATATGTATGTATATATATATATATATATATCCCGTTCTGTATATATATATATATATATATATATATATATATATATCAGTTTCCACGATCTACACCGCTCGGCTCACTCGCTGAAAGCCAACGCCTCCCTCTTAACACTCTACTTGTTCGCCTGTTGGCTCGCTGGTGCAGCTTGAGATATAAGCTGCCTTTGTTCTGGTGCTGCCGGATGCCCTGCCTCTTTGTCCTGGGCGCAGGAAGAGCGACGTTGATTCCTTTCGGCTGTGCAGTACACTCTAGTGGGGCGGCGGCAACAGCCAGGATGCACACCTCCAGGATTTGATGTTGGTAGTTGTTGGCATATCGAGCTCTCGCCACTGGAGGGCTGTCTTCCATAGCTGGGAACTGCAATATCGTATGCTCGCAGACACGAGCCTCCCAGGTTGCGGGGTCTTCATCCAACTTGGCGATGGGTGCCAGGAAGGAAATCCTTGGTCCGAGAACTGTGAAGGCCAAAAAGCATTGCCTACACAAGCTCTGCCTGTCCCCAGGATGAAGTTGTTGAAAGCGGCCCGTCCTGAGCAAAAAGAGCCGTGTGACTCAGATCCAACCGCGAGAAAGCGGAAGCTGCCTGTGGATGTGGAATCTCAGTACCGCGCGCCATGCGCACACCGTTGACCCAAACTCCGTTTGAAGAAGAGTCAAGGAGTAACAGCATTCGGCCCATGCTGACCTGGTTCGATTTTTCCATGCGAGATCTTCTGTGGAGCCACTGCCGAAGCGCCTCAGGTGAGTCTTGAAGGACAAAAGTACCGTGCCTCACAGCAGGGTCTGCGTGTCGATTGGCGAGCATGTGAAATCACGTTCGAGATCACGAAATGACTGAGTCGCCGGCACCTTTGACACATACTGATGCCGCAGGACTGCCTCAAGGAACTTATTCTCTCTCCGGGGTCATCATCAGAGGCGGGACATCAGTAGGCCCCATACATCGCAAGTATCTTCGCGACCTCCCGCAAATCGGCATGTGCTCTTTCGGTGCTGCTAATGCTGTGAAGAGCCGGCATGAACCAGAAGTCTGACAGTCTGAGAGATGAACCGAAGACCAGTCGTGACTTCTGGGCGGAAATGCTGAAAGTTTCTGGTGGCTCCCGAAGGGCATCCGGCCTTGATCAACCATTCTGACGTAGTCTTTACAGTCTGCGCAACAAAACTTGCGACTAGGTTGTTGCCAATCCATGCGGATCCACTCTCCAGAAAAGTAGGCTCCGGACACAGGGCCTTTGCCACAACGGCGCAGAACATATGCCTTGGCGGTGGTGCCCGTTCAATCGGGCTCTGAAGACAACCGCTCGGATGGGCTTCTCACGGCAGGAGGTCCGGTAGCCTCGGCGACTTGCCGAGTGTCTGCCGGGGAGGTGCAGCCAGGGCCATCCTGGTGGGCACATAGAAACCGCGAATGGCCTTTTGCAGGATATGCTGCAGAGATCGAACTTGCGCCTGTGCTGCATTAACTTGGCCGCTAACAGCAGGTGGTTCGTGTCGCACCTCCTGTTAGGGAAGCTGCTGACTCCGTGACGATCCCTGACGAAACTTGATGTGTGTGCCGAGTATGCAGGCTGCCTCCCGTGGAGGGAGGCTTGGAACACCTGGAGCCACGGATGCGAATGGGATGATTTATGATGATTTGCACAGCCTAATGGCGATCGCACTGGGGCAGGAACTGGCAGAGCAGTAATATTCTCTGAGAGAGTAGCCTGGCCAGGTCTTCATCATGAATCAAAACTTTCAAGAATGCCTGGAAGTGCTGCCAAGGTCCACGCCGTCTCCAGGAGTGAGGGTGACGGGGTAGCAGTCGTCCGGAACTGTTTGCAAGGCTACGCTTCTCTCACTCGCCGCCTTCTTCGCTGCTCAAATGCTGTGCCGAAGGAGAGATGTGTTTTGTGAGCTTCGGGCCACCACTCTTGGTGTAGAGAAGGTAGCGATCGGTCAGGGCCTCCATAAGTGCCGCTGCTCCCTCGGGGTCCTGCAAGACTGCAAGACGTGATCCAGTGCTCAGAAGAAAAGACTTTCGTTGCTGTGCGGCATCAAGGGCACCTTGTAGGACACCAGCCTGCGGATGACTTTTGCCCTCCCACTCGACGGCCGAACACTCGGTCTTGCCACATTTGTCTTGCATTCCAAAGGGCAGCTGCACCAGGACACTTGCATTGGGACGGACCAGCTCAATTGTAGAAACCTGCCAGCGAGGCCACGTCACGATTCTACTCAGGTATTCGACGGCAAACACTACAGCGACATGCCTTTCCAAACAGAAGTGCAAACTGGTGCCAGCAGAACCTCAAATCAGGAGCAAAAGCAGGCAAGCCCGTAGCACCACTGTGCCACAGCCCCTCGTGCTGTCAAGTCCAAGATTCTCAGGGCCGATGTTGTTGACCTGCGCAGCATAAGTCAAAGCGCACGAGCACTGGAGCACCTTCGACGGTTTTCTTCGGGTCGAGCGCCTGTCTAGGAACTTGACCATCGAACCACCTGGAGGGCAGTTCCAAAGCCACGGTCTTCCGCCTTGCGCTCGCAGCTGGCAATGCATATCAGCTGCAAAATGAAACGCGGCCTCGCTTCTTGCAGCTCGAGCTTTGCCTGGCTTCAAGATACGCGCAAGGAGCCACGTTTTGGCAGGTTTGGCTCAAGCGAGCTGGCGAGGCCATTTGAGCCATTTGCAGGACATGTTGTGCCGACGATGTGTTCTTCAAGAATGTCCATGTCGCGGATATCTGAGGCATGTGCGAACTTCACGCTGTGCAGTCAATCGGCTGCAAAACGTCTGAGGCAGAAGCCAGGCCCCCACAAAGCGGCTTGTTTTGCCATGCCTCGGGGTAGGGGTGGTGAGGGCATGCCCCCCCCCTAGGGGGGTGGGGGGGGTGGGGGGTCGCGGAGAAATAGACGGCGCCGATTTCCAGACATCTGGGTTTAGATGGGGGGGGGTTAACACCCTGACGACTCGGTTCCCGCATGTAAGTACTCCAGGATGTGTGGACTCTGGTTTCTGCTCTCTCACGTGAAACGATCGGTAAGTCAGGAATTTCTGGAGTATCCCACTGCTGATCTGCTGCGCCCCCCCGCACGCCTGAAACACACCTTAACATCCAAAATGCGAGCATCAGTTGGGAGTGTTGCCAAGGAGCCGAAGATGAGACTTTGCCAAGCCCCTCTTGCAGCGCCGAGAATGGGGGTTGGTCAAAACTTCTCTGTTGGAGCCGAGAATGACGGTTTGTGTCACCCACTTTTTGGAGCTAAGAGCAGTTCCTTTTTGGAGCCGAAGTCCCCAACCTGTCCCCACCCCCGTTCATGATGCAAGGTCGAAGGGTTTTCTGAGTTTTCTGGCGAGACCGAGCATGATGAGGATCAGGATTGTTGCCAACTAGGAGCGGGTGTCGGTGCCGGTGCCTTGCCAGACCCATCCCTCCAACGTGGGATGTTGAGCCGGTCTTGGTGTTTCATCTGGTTGGATTTGGTGGCTTTGCTGGGATTCGCAGAGAAATACAGCTCCAAAGCAATAGGCTCGGGAGAGGGTTCTGATGTTTGCAAAAAAATTTGGCACACTGAGCTGCATATTGAAATCATCGGTGAGGAAAGCAGACAACTCCAGGTCGGAAATAGGCGGCTGGGACGGGGGTCTCTGGCGCGGTAGTCTAGCAAGGCTCTTTGAAGCCTGGGTCCCCCCCCTACATCAGCTCTTTTCCAGCCGTTCGTGGGCAACCCACACACACACACACCGGGGTCTGTCGCTGGGATCTGTTTCGCTTACGCTGAGCTGCATACGGGGCTCATCGGTACGAAAAACAAACAGTTCCAGGTCGGAAATAAGCGGTTAGGATGGGGGTCTCTCTGGCGCGGTAGTCTAGCAAGGCTCTTTGAAGCCTGGGTCCCCCCCCTACATCAGCTCTTTTCCAGCCGTTCGTGGGCAACCCACACACACACACACCGGGGTCTGTCGCTGGGATCTGTTTCGCTTACGCTGAGCTGCATACGGGGCTCATCGGTACGAAAAACAAACAGTTCCAGGTCGGAAATAAGCGGTTAGGATGGGGGTCTCTCTGGCGCGGTAGTCTAGCAAGACTCTTGGAAGCCTGGGTCCCCCCCCACCTACATCAGCTCTTTTCCAGCCGTTCGTGCGCAACCCACATACACACACCGGGGTCTGTCGCTGGGATCTGGTTCGCTCACACTGAGCTGCAGACTGACAGTTCCAGGTCGGAAATAAGCGGCTGGGATGGGGGTCTTTCTGGCGCGGTAGTCTAGCAAAGCTCTTTGAAGCCTGGGTCCCCCCCACCTAGATCAGCTCTTTCCCTGCCGTTCGTGTGCCTCACATACACACACACCGGGGTCTGTCCCTGGGATTTGTTTCGCTCACGCTGAACTGCATATTGGGCTCGTCGGTATGGAAACTAGACACTTGCAGGTCGGATATGACCGGCTGGGATGGGGGTCTCTATGGCGCGGTAGTTTAACAAGGCTCTTGGAAGGTCAAGGCTCCCGGGCGCCAGGCCCACCCGTGCTGTTGTTGGCAGGCCGGGCGGCAAAACAACGAAGAGCTCCGACAGAATAGTGGGGAAGACTATGCTCTTAGTTATCTGTTTCTCTCTGTCTCTTTCTCTGCTTGCGTTTTCAATCCCTTTCTCGGCCTTCCCTCTCCCTCTCCCCCTCCCTGCCATCTGCATGCAGACCCGGGCCTACGTTCGCTCTCTCTCTCTCTCTCTCTCTCTCTCGCTCTCTCTTTGCTTTGCTAGGGGCTTGGAGCGGGAGTAGTCCTCCCTCTCTCTCTCTCTGTCTCTCTCTTTACCTCTCTTTCGCTCTCTCTCTGTCCCTCTCTTTGTGTCTCCGTGTCTCTGTGTCTTTGTGTCTCTGTCTCTCGGTCTCTCGGTCTCTCTTTCTCTCTTTGTCTCTCTGTCTTTTTCTCTCTTTGTCTCTTTCTCTCGCTTTGGAGCGACAGAGTGATAGCAAGAACACAGGCCGGGTTGGGTATGGCCATATAGCGGGCTTGAGGAGATGGCTAAAACAAAGTAGACTGATGCTAGAATCAGCCCTGGATGTGACGATTGGTGACCCCTTCCACTGCTCCTGTGCGTCCTTCAAAACGCATTGATTCCCGGCTATTTATTTGGAGGTACCCACCCTAACATAAATAACCGCCCCGGCTATTCTAAATAGCCCCCGATTCAACTAACCCCCCCCCCCCCCATCCGGCTATTGCTAGGGGGGGGGCATTGAGGGCACGGGAAATTCAAAACGACTGGAGAACCAGCAAGGGAGCGGCTGGCTGCAGCTTCTGGCACCTGCCGTGCAGTGCGCTAGCACTCCCGATCACTATGCTGCAAGCTTTGTTCCTGAGTCGTTTCTGTTTCAATCTTCGTGGCATGCATTAGTGCATTAGTGTCAACCCCACACAGACATGCATGCACGACTTGAGCTTTACAGCTTCGCTTCTTGTATGTACTGCCACAGTCACAGGTCCCTGTCTAGCTGGTGAAACTTTTGTCTCGGATGCTTCCTACCGTCACAAACATGCTTCACTTGCTTGGCTTCCGGTGATCATCCAGAATCTTGTTCCTCGGCCATGGCATACTCGACATTGAGCTTGTGCTGACACGCATATGGCTTGAAAACAAGCTAAGGGGCGCAGTCTCTGGAATAACGTCGACTACGTACAAATTGAAGACTGCAAAGCCGGCCATGATCAAGAAAAAAGTGAGCCACGTGCCAGTAAGTTCAAAGAGCCTTAGATGGGATGCATGCGCAAATTCTCATACCTGTCCTAGCTTTGCCGATCATGGAAAATCTAGCCGAAGGCTAGATTCTAGATCCAAGCGTCCCTTCAAAGAGCAACGGCCCCAACATTGCTGCCAGCCGCCCACATGCCAAGCAAAGCCCGCAGCCCAAAGTCCTTGCCTTGATGGGCAGATGCTAACCAAAAGTCACGAAGCAGTGGCGGCCACATGCGGCCACTGTTCGAATGTTGGTATTGGATTTTTGCCTCTCTTACTCACGCCATAGCATCCGGGCAAAATATTCAGTGTAAGAGGCTCTTTCACTGCTTCCTTACGCATGTACCTTCGAAGCAGAACTCAAATGGACTCGCTTGTCCACTAGGTTTTCTGCACCTGGACCAGAGCCCACTAAGTGACCACGACAAAACTATAAAATAGGATAAACCTTCCCTTGTCTAAAAGATCATCACGGAAAACTAGCCCGCGCCGTTTCCTTCAATCGCCGAATAATTCCTTTATAGCACATCCCTAGTTTTCAGTGCTGCAGCATAGAGCGTCCTAGTAGCAGCAAAAACACTGAGGACAGACTCGGCATTGGCCGGCATCGTCATAAACTCATAGACTTTGCTCTTGCTCACTTTACAGTCAAAAGCTGATCACAAGAGAGTGTCCAGAACTGAGTTACTGCATGCTGGAGGTGGGAAGCGTGTACAAAGGAGTACAGTGCTGTAGCTGCGAATGCGATCACTGCGGCACGAGTGAGGACATGAGCACTTCAAGCCAACCTAACCTTCTGCACTCGCCAACTGCAACGGCGAAAACCGGAGCCTCGGCAGGGTAGATTTCATTGGCAACCTGTGCAGGACCGACGGCAAATCAGACGTATGAGGCGACTACGAATGCAAGTTCGCAAGCAAAGCTAACGCAAAATCACACTGTGGACAAAGCAGCAGATCGGAGTATACTAGTCTATGTGCTGCGACCTGGTAAACCAAGACGAAGCCAATGTTCGGTGAGAGCTTGATTCCGTAATAGCCCGCATAGAGTGCGATGTCAAAGGCCCAGTGTCTGTTGCGATTGTTCCCTCCGATGATGAAGAGCAGAGTTACACTGGCGGCTAGGGTCAGGTAAAACTTGATGCCCGTCTTCCTGTCGAAGCAAAACACGAATTTGCATCTTGCCAGCACATACGGATGATTTACTCACGGTCCTGAGGTACATGATCCCGAGGGCAATGCCAATGCAAACTCCGGGAATCTCCCACAATGCCCCAACGAGCAACTGTTGCGCAGCGCCCCTCGGCTGCGGCTGGACGAGTGGTCACCCGAGCAGTGCGTGAAGCGTGGTGCTGCGACGTTAGCCAGCCAGTCCGCACTGGATCCGAGCCGAGGACACATCTGTCGCACAAAGTGTGCAAGCGGTGCGACATGGGAAGGTGTCCAGGACTGGGCCCCACAACCACAGCCAAGGCTCTCTGCGACTAAGTCAGAAAGCACTTGCGGAAAGGCATAGATACATCCATAATACAGCAGGTTGAGCTCGAAGCATGTAAACCTCAGAAGCAGCCACTGCTTGGGGAGACTGTCAGAATCTGTCAACTGTACTCAACTGTCAAGCCCATGAAGCTCCAGTTGGCTTGTCAGCTTCACGGTACTAATTGGCTGTACGCTGTAGCCTTCCAGATCACGACAAGTCACGACACGACCATGGTGGGTAAGATCAGCTTTGCGCCCAAAATGGTCTTCAGGACAGCACGCAGTTTTCAACGCTACCCTGTTGTGCCAAATGAAAGGAACCACTGCCTTGCCCTGCTTCCACAACAGGTCCAGCATCCCTTCGGAGGAACTCGCAGGCGTCGGATTTGGGGGAAGCCTGGAAATCTGCTCGAGAAAACTGTTGCCCTGACAATGATCCCCAATCTCCATCAGGTTTCACAGGTGAAGAACACCACTAAGCTCTGCAGCTCTGCCTGAAATCAACTGAGACGTCGCTTGCTCGATTGTCTCTGCGCATGCTCTCCAGGACCTTGATCGCTTCGGCATGACCTGAGGACCACCCAATATCATGGGCTGCCTAGTCCGGGCCAAACAGCCAAGCCAGGCTCAGTGCCAAACATCCTTTAAGTTGCAGGTAGGTCGGTGATTGCTGCCTTAGCTGCTCCAAGGTATTCATTTTCGTAGTGGGAGATTTACACTGCGAGCATCTATCTCAGCCGGTGCTCAGGTGTTGATTGTTGCAGCTGGACCTGTTCAAAGTGCCACCAAGTCTCAGGAAGGGTATGGCCAGTGCCATCAAAATCAAGGAGGGAATGGCACCGAGCTGTATGACACGACGCCAGTTCAAATGTTTTAGACTAGGGTCATCATTCATAAGAAGGAACGCAGCATAGAGCTCCTTAGTTGAACATGCCGGAAGCTCTCAGACGCAAATCTGAACCGTCGACAAGCAACTCATGCACCAGCACGAGTTATGGGCCTCATCAAAGTGCCAAGTGTCGCCGAAAGCGAACATTGTCTGCGAAAACCCGGCAGTAACGACTCTCCAGCTAGAGGGCGTGATCTCAGCTGCAATCGCCATCCATGCTGGCTGCCCAATGCCGATGCTCCAACCGACGATGAACCTCCAAATCAGAAGTACCTCGAGCTGCTGGCAAAGCTAGACTTGCATGGCCCCACACAAGTTGTCACCAGCACAGGCGCGGCTATGGAGGCAGATGTCGAAGACAGTATGCTGAAAATGAAAATACCTCAGGTACGCGAAGGATGCAAGGCCGTCGTGGCCTTCGAAGGGCATCATCTTTTGGGCACACGGCTTGGTGTGTACCACTTTTGATGACTCGAAACGACTTACGTAGATGCTCGAGTGTCAGAATCCTGCGTTTGATGAGCCAAGCGTCCCGTGTACGAAGCAATGACCAACTCCCGGCGACCCAGGTGTGCGCCCAAAGGTCCACTGGAAATGTTTCCCACCATGACCCCTGTGTAGACCACGGTGACCTCAGAGCACGACGAGCTATTACGAAATTATTACGTGCAGAATCTACGAAAGGCTGCGTCCTGATGAGAGGATGTGCCCGAAAAGCTGCCCAGCGCAAACCGTGCCAGCGGGGGTCGTGCAGTGGTTTTCGCTGCGTGCGGTACTCGGGCTAAGGCTCCCGTGCACCCGGCGCACCCCGGGTTTTTTGTGTGATAGTCTGTGCTTGGAATCCTCGTGTGCGGCATTGCTTCCATCTGCGTCTGAGTCTTCTGTGCTGACTCGGGTGTCCCTTGCTGAACCCCCACACACACACATGCATAGGCACAGACGCAGAGTCCAACCTACATTGCCTGGCTGGGCCATGCTGGGCCCTTACTGACGCCAAACAAAACCGAACTTCGGGCCGGACTGCCTGCGATCTGCCACTTAACCTTCTGGCATGGTGCCCTGCACGGCACTGAGTTCACATTTCCAGACTTATTCTCGCCCTAGTGCTTGCTGCGACTCGAAGCGAAAACCAGCTTAAAACTTTTGGGGAATCGAGTGCCGCATGAATCATCGTGTCTTGCTGTATGCACGTGCTGATTCTGGCAGAGAGGCGACCAGGCCCTTCAAAAAACGCGAAAGATGCCAACTTCTGGCCAGTGTGTCTGCTACCTTGGATTCAAGCACCTATCGTATATGGGCATAGAAACAAGGCAAACGCTTCCCGAATGCTTGCCGTCCTTCCAGAATCCCAACGAGGACAAAGCACACTGCCAATCAGGAGCAGCTCAGCTCCATCTGCTAGCCAAACTCCACCACCGAGGAGGCTTGCACGCACCCTAAGCTGGCAAGCATGCTATCTAACCTCACTATGATACCAAGCGGCAAGTTCGCAGTCTTTCTGGTGGGCCTACTATGTATGGAAGTTCCATGAGGTTCCACTATGTCCTGTTCCAGGCACCGTGGAGACAGACGGCTTGGCTTTACGGGTCCGAGCAGTGTCAGTTGCGGACCAAAAACCGAGTGGGCCAGCAACCTGTCGGCACTTTAGGATTCTAGAAGAATCCGCCGATCCAACTAGTCTCAGCCATTGAGGTACAGTCCAGTCAAACCTGCCAAGAATCTGCGCCGGTCCTAGTCCAATTTGATCGATGACCTCACCCAGTGTCGGTTTCTCCTGCATGGTGCTTAAGATATCGGAGTGCGACTGGAATGCAGATTGACAGTTCTCCTGATCTCTGCTGGCGGCGGACATAGCTTTAGAGCTTGCGGAATCCTTGGACTTTGCAGTGCTGCTGGAAGGAGCGTCCATGTGCACCCTCAAGGAAAGCCGCCGAAGAAACTTCAAAGTGCACAGGTAGACAACTGATATGCACATACGTGACCTGGAGATGAATAGTGCCGACCAGCATCGGTAAGATGGCAAGTGCGGGAATCCACTCGCTATGCCACTCGATACGTTCTCAGATATCGACACTGGCACATGGACGTGAAAGAGGAGGCCGTACGCCATCTACTCTCACAGTGAGCCCGCAATGGCTGAAGGTACGCTCAACATGCGCACCGAATCCTCAAGAAAGATTTCCGAACCAAGCAGGCAGGCATGTGGTTCTGATGGGCTGTGTCACGGCACCCTGCAACAAAGTCGGGGGCACGTGGAGTTGGTGGTGACTATGGCGACTTCGACCATGTGCCCACTTTGCTTTGGGCACTCTTTCGCCTTGACTCAGTCTTGAACTGCTGCTTGCCGAGAAGACTCGCTAAGTGCACTTGGGCACTCATGTCGGGAGAGTCACAATAAGCAAAGGGCCCATGTACAGCTGGCGAGCACGTGATTGCCACCTGGCAACGAATCCTCCGGGAACCGGCTTCGCCGAGCTTCGTGCACCGACGCCCTTCAAAGGACTTGCTGCCTACGTGAACATTCTCCTGCAGCGTCCTGCGCACTTCCTGCATGGCAGCCTTGTATAGCTCCGGGCTAGCTCCTGCATCACATCGTCCGCTCGCATACTTTTAAGTAAAAGCGTCGCTCGCCGCCTAGCCTAAGGTTTGAGGGCAACTGCATTCTTATCATCAAGATACATCTCCTCCGATGCTGTCTAAGTGGATGCGTCCGACCTCAGTGAGTTGACGCCAGAGAACACTCCGTTGCATCTTGATGGCTTTGGCTTGGTCAATTTGTTTTCGTCCCAACTCGCCATCGGGGCTATGCTTCTGGGGCGGATGAGCTCGGGCCCGTTGTAGTACTTGCCCAAATGTGCTGCTTGGCGTGCACGCTGCATCAACCAGGAAGGCAACTTGACAAGTGTCCGCATGTATCGGTGGTTGTCTATGGTCTGCCTGTCCTATGTGGCTGCGACAAGCAGTCGCAAGTCACTGACCAATCCGTTGCGCTCTGTGGGCGAAGCCTGAATTGCCAAGACGTAGATGCCAATCTCAGGAGACGAGCATCCTCGCAGCTTTGCGCGTTGAAGGCTCTGCCCCCAGGCACTACATCTGAGTCTTCGGCCCCAGCATCCGTGCCAAGTCAAACCTGCAGCCGCAGAACCGCAGTGTAAAGCGGATGCCGCTCTATTCATGGTGGCATGGAGCTCACCTCGTCCGCAAACTGTCGGAAGAGGGTTTGCAGGCCGGACTAAGTCAGCTTGGGCTTGCACTGCTCCACAGATCAACTCAGCTAAGACAGAAGCCTAAAACTTTGGACTCCGCAGAGTCCTGGTCACGGTGCTCGGATTTGGCCTGGGCTCCAAGCTGCGCACTCACACACTCGCCAGGTCGTTGGCAGAACGGTTGCAGTCTCTCATTGAATGCCTGACGCAGCCGAATCAGCACTGGGTCTCAGACCTTGAGCCGTTTATTTGGCGGGTTGACCTTTGCCACGTCTGAATTCTCAAGGTCTTCTGGCACTCTTGAAGAACTCTTTTTCAACGAATGAAACTGGAACCTGTCCCGCCGAAGAGCAATACAACGCTGGCAGTCCAACTGGCCACACTGCATGGCAACATTGGCCGTTGGCTTATGTGATTTCCCTGGCTTGCACCCCTGAGCCATTCACGGGATCAGCAAGATGTTGTACATGCTTCGATGACCTGCACAGGTTCGAGCCGTTACATTTTACAAACTGATGAACTGAGACAATCAAAACACACCTCCTGAATACAACTTCAAACATACTCTTTTACAATTGATGATGCAGTGTAGGACAACTGCATATTCGGTGGTGCTCTGACCGCCCATGCAGGTGATGAGCCGCGACATGCCGCCAGATGGTTTCATTCAGGTAATGAGCCGGCACAGTTTGCTGCTTCGCGTTCATGTCTCTTCTGCAACACGCGCCGGATCTTCCTGTCGCTACCAGCGAGTATGGGGCAGCATGACCGTCATCTTACTGTTACTCGGGTTGTACCTGCTTGCATCCGGAGTGCAATCTTGAGAACGGAAAGTTGCATGTGCTTGCTGCTACCGTTCTGGGACCTTGAGCTGGCCCGAAGCCACCAAATCAGCTTGAGATCAAGGGAACATGCTAACTACACTCCGAAGTATCTCTGCACTGTGCCGAGGGCCCCGAAACCCCACATCTGACATTGGCCATCTCGTCGTGTGGGCAACTGGCTTTTTCCGTCGCCAGAGCATCATGCCAGCATCTGCTCGGCAAGGGCCTGTTGCTGGAAGAAGGCCAGATGCAGACAGACTGCTTAGCTTCTGAGAACGGCACCAGCAGTGTCGTGGTCGCCACGTCTGATCGCAGGATTCTTTGTCCAAGCGACATGCTCTGGAAGCCAGAAGATGACAGCCTTGGCAAAAGCTTGGCGCATCTTGGCGCCGAAGCCTCCTGGCTGACTCGCGGTAGTCAGCAGCTGTTGCACTGTAGTAGCTGTATCACTGTCGAGACATCTAGGTGCCTCACATGTCCAACTCGGACCTTAGTCGTGTCACGATGTGGCTAAAGAGCATAGGGTGACAGCTCGACTTTCCGTTCGTCTCGTGTCTCAAGCCAGGGAGAGCCAAGCCTACAAGATGATGTCTGCAAAACAACTGAGCTAAATTGTACCGACGACTGCCACCCGTGCAACGGCTGAGCTCTGCACGGCTCATCTTCACTCCAGCCGGCTTCTGGCCCTCAAGTTCTGTCCCACGTCTGCGAGTAGGGAACCCATAATCCTGTAAGTATCGGACCGACTGCAACTAGTGCCTCGCGTCGCCCCTGGCTGAAAGCCATGCACCAGCATTGAGATCTTTCCGGCATTGCACGGCTGTGCCTGTGTCAGGGTGTCACCAGTGCTCAGCCTGTCAAACACCAAACGATGCTTCGCTCGATGCCGGCGCACTGTGTTGAACGTGTAAGTTCGAAACTCAGGTAGCTTTGCGCCACTTGGATGCCCCACCAAGCGGAAAGCCTTGTCGCCTGCAGTGGCACCAGCCCCACGCCGAACTGCAACGGCCGGCCGCGCGAAACATGCCATCAACTCGTGTTCTGGAAAATCCTGTGTATGCGTAAGCTACTCCTGACATGCATCGGCTTGCTTGACGGCCAGCACGGGTGGGATTCCAGGTGTCTAACCAATCGCGACTTCGAGAAACGTCGTTGCGACAATGACAATGAAAACTCCCAGTTTCGTAGCCAAGTGATGTGGGACATGGCTTCCAGCTCGTGATCGCCGCATGCCAAATGATGTCCATGAAAAATGTGAAAAATCGGTTGCGCGAAACTAGTTGTAATCTGTAAACAGGACAGGACGACTGCCGAACTCACGCGAGCAGGCCCCTATTGAACGCAAAACTTGCATTTTCAGGGTCAATGGTCAACGAACTTTGAGCAACACTGGCACACAGGGCTGCTAAAGACGTCCAGTTTTCCAGTAGCGCAACTGGATCAAGGCCTGAATGCTGGCCCTCTGACTCTGATGAGCACTGCCGCCTCTCGTTCGGGAGGTGCAATACAGCTGCCGTGTGCCGTGTTCATCTCGAGAACTTCCTAGTTGCTGTCATCATGGTACAAGGCAAAGGTCGTCCGATATGGGTACTCACTTGCCGCAAAGTGGGGTTCAGGCTTTGGGAATCTTCGCGCTCTTGATGGCGAAACGATTTCGTTTGTGCTATCCTCTCAGCGTGGCCAGTCACTGAAGAAAGGGTAGAAGGGGGTCTGTCGGCATCCCGGGTAGGGTTTTATTTGGTACGCCCCCCATAAACCCACCCTTGTCCAAATGTTCCTAGCTCGCAGTATCACATCCAGGCGTTCAATAGCCTTGGAAAGTGGCATGCCCACCCATCCTCCAAAACCCACCAGTTACGGGCCGTGTTTATTAACATGGGCCTTCACACAGGCTCCAGGATCTAAGAACCAAGATTCCCAGAAAAGATTTCTGGCGAATCTTGGTTCCCAGGCTTGGGCCCGTGAGGAACCATCGAAAGTCGGGCACAAAACGTCATTAAGAAAAGCCTGAGGGGCTCCACCTCCGCGTTCTCGTAGCAAGGCGGTGGGTCCAGCCCCAGCTTCTCTCTCTCAGGGCACCAGCCCACCTCTCCGGTCGCGATCGAGATGCCCTCCGTGCGCTGACTGAAAACTGGTTCCTGAGCTCCGCCTTGCGATCCAAGGCAGACTACTCGTTGATGCTCTGCTGCCATTCCGGCAAAAGCAGCATCCTCCCTGCTAACCGCGATCTCAACACCCTGGGTGCTTGTCGTCCTCACCTCCGCCAATTCCTCAAGAGTGAACTCCTCACCCCGCTGCCCCACTACCCTGCTTTGACGCAGCGTTGCGACCAGCGGCCAGGGAGGTAAAAGCACCCTTCAGAGCTCTAACATTGCGCTTCTCACACTTCGCTTTCATGAAAGCAGAGCGGCAGCTACAGGTACAGGGCCACGCTCTTTAAACATCCGAAAATTGAATTTACGCGACCTCTGTGAAGGCTTCGCAGGGGCTGTCAAGTCCTGAAAAATCCAAAACGATGAGTCGTAGGTGGAGGGCTGGAAGGTTGGAGGCATCCGATTTGCGTTGCTGGGTGCTTTTGCCTCTGATCCACGCTGACTGTGCTACTAGAAATGCAGGAAGCAGACCCGACTTCGATGTCTTGCTGATCGTCAATGATGCGAGTTCACATGCAGCAACTTCTGCAGCCGGGCATCGCGGCAGAAAGTGGTCAAGTTGCGACAGTAATTCCTGCGCACAGCTGAGAGATGCAAGCATGTGCAGTAGCATCGTCACGACGAAGTGTGCTCCTGCAGGTTTGGATGGACTATCACTTTTGGCATGGTTGTGTCCCGTGCCTGGGCAGGAGGCGAACCGGAAATGGCATGTCATCAGGTCGCGGCACGTACTGAGAACCTGTCTGCCGCCAATCCCTTGGCCAAGCATCTCTTCAGGAAGGGCATTTGAAGGATATGGCTCCTGTCCGTAGCTTGCAAAGAAAGCATCGCAATACTTTACTTCTCTTCCCTATCCACATCACACATGCCATTATCTGCATTTAAGTCGCCCGACAGCAAATAAGGGTATCTTGCATGTACTTCCTTACATGCAGAGAGAGAAATGTAGTTGCTGAGCCTGCCTGTCGCGAGCTGGATGGTCTTCTTCTTTCGTGCGCGTGCATGACCCATGAAACCGTTCGAATCGAGAACACGAGGTAGCGATCAATCCTGTTGTAGAACATCAGCGAGCTCGTGACTGGCATCGGCTGTAGCTTGTGTCAAACTCTTGACATGAATACTACGGCATACCCGGAAAGGCAGCCTCAATCAACCCACTGACTGACTGCAAACAACGACGGCGAGTAGGAGCCGTGCTTTGTGCAAGGTGGAGAAAGCCACCAAGCTCAACACAGGCTGACGTTAAGGAAAGTCCCGCATCTGCGCAAGCTAAAATGCGAAACCCTGAAACATATCATGCAGCTGTGCCATGATGCGATCTACACCTCCTGCAATCAAGATGAGCGAGACATCACAGAATCATCGTGCTCACAAGCCGTAAAAAGCTTGCCGACAGAACGTTGGATTGGCATTTTGCCACGCTCATTTCACGTTGTTCGGAACTTCAATCGAATTTTATCAAATTCACTGTGTTTCGTTTTCCGAAGCCATGATTCGCAGCTAAGGGTTCTTAACAAACCGTGCCACATGCAGGGGGCAGCAGGGAATACTTCAGTTCTGCTGCCAGCGAAGACGGCTGAAGTACTCTGAGATACGTATGCCGGTTGTCCTTCGTCCTTTGGACATAGCAAGACGCAAAGCCAAGGACCGCACCTTTTCAGCACCAGCTTAGGACAAACCACCGAAGATTTAGGAATCCTGCTTTCAGAACCTTGAGGTTGCGGCTGGATCGTGTGGATTGTTGTTGCTTGTGTCACTATGTCAGTCAATCGGTGTCAGCTCCTGAAATACTTCGGGTCCACTTTGGAGGCACCACACAAAAGCAACGTAGCGACCTCGACGGCCCGCACTTCCATGCATGATTTGCGAAGACTTCCTGGAGCAGGCTGAGGTGCCCACCCCCATTTGAGCAACTTGTGGCCTGGAAGAAGCCGAGTGGCTAGCAAATGCAACGACGATGTCAGCTGACGGCGTTCGCACCAAAATGCAACAAATATGAGCTGCAGAAATTCTGGGTTTATCTTCGATGGAGGGTATCCTCAGCTTGGTCCGTCATCAAACTCCTTATCCCGAGAAGGAGACTTGAAGAGGCTGGAGCGGCTTGCATGGTGCTTGCTTGTGGTTTGGAAGCCTCCAAGCTTCTCACGAAAGACCCGGCCATTCGAAAATGAAGGGGAAAACTTCTGGGCACAGTCAACTAAACGACAGCTAAAAACTTGAAGTCCTGCCCGAATCAACTTACCTGGAAGTCCCAGCTGGGGAGATGTGCAGTGGTCGGGCTCGCGTATGTAGTGACAAAACCGAACTATTGATGCTTGTATTCCGGTCAGCACTGCTCCCCGAGGATGCCGAGGCATGGGCAATATGCGCTCAAGCTGCTGTGGACGTGGAGTGGCCAACCTTGTTACGGTTCTGCTGAATCGGTCAAATCAAGTCTTTCGCCACGACACGAATCAGGCTCGCGCCTGCCTTGGAGCAGGCAGCAAGGGTAAACATCGCAACCAAAGCTTCGTGCTGCAAGCGAATGGTAGTGGTGATGGTAGTAGAGCAGAAGCATCAGAAGCTGTGCGAGTAGGAGTAGGAATAGCAGAAGTAGAAGTGGAAGTACGTAGTAGCCTAGTAACCTAGTAGTTCTAACAGCAACCATGCGAGTACAAGTACCAATTGCAAATCCAACCAATAACAATATTATCAGTATTACAGAAAGGACTGCGCCTGTCCGCACCCATGCCGCACAAGCATGCAAATCCACAACCAAGGCCTTTACAAGGGGCTTTGAAAGCCAGGACCAAAAAAACAAAAAAAACAAACACCAAACACACTGACCCCATTTTCCTGGGGCACCGGGGATATTGCATCAGCGTTTTCGATTTTAAGACATGTGTTTTTTGCTAGATTGCTTCGATTTGATTTGGTTTGGTCTTTTTGGTTTTGGGCATGTTCTCGGATTGTTCGTTAGATTTGGACTAGTTTTTACTCTCGCATTGCGAAGGATCAAAGCATATCAAAGCCTACGGGCGAGGTTGATTAGGGACAGATTGTTGAAGGAAGTTTCGAAAATTGAAGCAACCATGGTACGTGCCTTCAGCATTTGCGAATCTTGAACGGGCCAACCATTATCATGTCGGAAACTCCCCCTCACTACAATTGCAATGCAGCGTATCCTGCTTACTGCATAAGTGGTCCGGCTCCAGCATCTCAAACATTCCGCATTGGCGCAGCACAGTCATGCCTTTCTCAAGTTGGCCACCCATCTCCAAGAAGTATGTCACCAGCCATCTTCGCTATTCAAGGCAGTCGGGGCAACGAAAAAAAATCGAATGAATGCTTTTCTGGGAACTCAGTGGTTCTTCTCCTAAATGCTGCAAAAACGGCGCTCGCAGATCACAGGAAAAGAAGCCACAAGTGTAACACGGTCACAGCAATCAAATGCAATTCCGTTCCAAGTACCATCCCGCTGGGCACACAACGTGCTGTCATCAACGATTGCAAGCCGAAATACTCATACACATATATATATATATATGTATATATGTATTTATTTATTTATAAAAAAGGGACGGTCTGGGGGGGGGGGGGCAGTTTTCCCACGAGTTTCTTACATGCAGTGTCTATCGTCTTGAAGTACCATTACGTTTACTGCTTTCTGTATTGCTTCATTGATAAACCGCATGTCTGTTGTGTTTGCTATCAATGAAGTATTGTGTGTTATCGTCTTGAAGTACTGTGACATACTACATGTTTGTCTTGCTTGCTATGAAGTATTGTGTGTAAAGCAAGAGTACAAAGAAAGAACACACTCATTATAATTATAGTCAGCATCTTTTGGCTTCGGTGATGGCGGCCGCCGCTTTGCTGAGGATGGTGTGTGGGTCCCCCCCCGCTCAAGGATCGAGTGCATTTGGTTAACCTGCTTGTGGCCGGTTCTAAGCTGCCTCGCCCCCCAGTGCGGTTTGGCTTTGGCAGGGGCCTCAACCACAAGGGTGCCGACGACTGGTTCATGGTCACTCCCCACAATGTCCCTGACGTCTCCCACTTCCAGGTTCTCCGCGGCTGCTCCCCTCACCACCAAATAGTCCAGCCGTCTCGGCTCCATGCGCCTGTTGTACGGGAAGTGCCACACTGCCTTCCTCACTGCCCCCATCTTTTGCCTCACTTCGTCCAACAGTCGCCTGGCCTGTTCCACCTTGGCGTGGTGCGGGACGTGCATGGAGATGAGTTGGAGCTGGAAGCTTTCTCCCCAGGGCGTTGGGAACATGCCATGGGGGTCCGTGTTCCCCCACATGCAGCTGGTAGGCTATCCCCACTGCCCGCCACTCTTGGAGCCCAATAATTGCCATTTTGGGGATCTTTTGGTGTTTCCCAGCAGTAGCGATAGTTCTTGCAACAGCCAAGTATGAATTCCCACCAAGGCCCCGATCTGGTCGAAGGAGTCGAGCAACGTCAAGATCTTCTCCACAAAGCCTCCCCCCACGTTCCAGGTGCCCGCTCTGGGTTGGTTTTTTTTGGGGGCCCCCGGCTTGGTGAAACTGTCGCCGTGGTCGGTCTAGTCAACGCAGCATCGAGCACAAGGCGTTTAGTCTTCGCAGCCAGCTGTGCCCGTTTGCGTTTGGCTGGGCTCTGGCTTATGGCCAGCCAGAGTCTGCCATAGTCACTGCTTCAAGCCCCCCGTCGCCATGGTGCTCCGCTCGGACTCGCTTCGGGATCCCCCTGCTGGAGTGCAGTTCTTGGTGGAAACTCCGTGGAGCCTCCCCCTGTGCTGTCCAGTCCCCTGAGAAGCTGGCGAACTGTTGGGCGTGGTGGTGGCATAGGACGCCCCCGAGCGACTGGGTTCCCTGTCTGTCCATACATAGTTGTGGATTGCGTTCTCGGTGTCCCCCAAGTCACGGACTTTCCCTGCAAGTAGTTCCCCGCCCAGCGGTGTTCTGCCGGTGAAAGAGGTCCGCCTCCTCCGTTACTGGGCGGCTGCGGTTGCCCTCGTGCTGCGTTGCACACCGAGCTCTCCCGCAGTAGCGATGGGCTCGTTCAGCGCACAGTTATTGATGTCCCGGTCCCGCTAAGAGACGGCCCTAGCGGGGGTTGAGAGCCTGTGGTGGGCAAAGCAAGAAAAGAAAAAGGAGAGAAGGCGGGAGCCCCCACAGGCCCTTGAACCACTCACGGCTTGAGCCAAAATGGCCACTCTCTCTTTCTTTCGTCAGGGCTATGGGCAAGAGGACTGTCTCTCTCTCTCTCTCTCTTGCTTGCTTGCTTGCTTGCGAAGGGGTATGGGTGCAAGCACCCCGGCCCGGAGGCCAACCCCCCCACGGTTCGCAATCATCCAAGGTCTGACAGGCCCCTTTCCGGGGTGAGAGATTGTCTCGTTCCCCCACCTGTGCTTGTAACCCATCCCCCCAAAACACCCCTTCTAAGACCATCACCATAACATACCAGCAAGCACCAGGTGGGTCATCCGAGGTCCCTCAGAAACAACTACGCGAAAGTGGCCTGTTGCCGGGACGTTTACCAAACCAGCAGCTAAGTATTCAACAGGATCCAGTACCCTAGTTCACATTGATCGTCCCTTCTTTCGCTGCCCTTCGAGCTCCACTCTTCAGGGCTGTCCTGTGGGCACTGTACCCCCACTCTGCTCTTCTGTGCTACCTAACCCCACCTCGCCTGCCTCCCCACCTGATTTTGAACGGAACCTCGCGCGACACTGCCTCAACCTGCCCACCCCCCCCTGAAGCCTGGTCGCGCTATGCAGGGCACTTTTGGGGCCTCATATGCCCCCACTACATGAAACACCACAGCCGATCACCCGACTAAAACATGGTTTCGCCAACGTTGTGCCCTGCCTGGCGGGAGGCTATGCCCCCGAGCTCCCCGACTACTCAGCGACCCCTCATGCTACGCTTCACTCGGCTTCAGAGTGCGTCGTCTTGGTCTAGGGAGCTGGGGTTCGTGAAACTGCGGCGGCGTTCCCCCTTATTCAGGTGTTGGTTTGTCAGGCGGGCTTTCGGCGAATCGGGTAGGCAGTCTGGTAGAACTGGCCGCCGCGTTGCCCCCGTGCTCGGTTTGGTCTCCATGCCCCCACGCGTCCAGCTGCGTCATGCCCAGCGTGTTGAGGTCGTTCTCCCCCACCAGTTCCACTTCCTCCCCCCAGTGTTGCACTGTCCACGCGACCAGCTCCTGCAGGGCCTGCTCCACTTCCCGTTGAACGTCCCCCACCAGGAACGGGGTGAGCCGTCGGAGCCGGGCTTTGGCTGCATACACCAGCCTTGGGTCCGGTGGGTCTGTTCCCTCCCGCTGCGTTGTTTCGGTCCCCCCTGCTTGGAGCCCTATGACGTCGGCTGGGTGCGTTGGCCTCCCCAACTTCTCTGCGCCACCTCGGAATGGGTACTCCCCCACCAGCACTGCTACCCCCTTTGCTGCCTCGTCCAGCAAGTTGCGTAGTGTGGCCAGGCTGCCTACCCCCTTTTCTGGGTCCATGGTGGTGATGAGGGTGTGCAGCAGTGCTTCCGCCTCCTCCGCCGCGTCCTCCGCCCAGTGTGGTGTTTCGGGTGCATACCCCACGTCACATGCGACCGAACAACAGCATCCCAGCATGACATGAAAGCCCCATCCCCCCCACCCACAGGCCTTCTGGGGGTCGAAGGAAAAGCTTGCATTTGTTGTCCCGCTGTAAATATCTCTCTCTCTCTCTCTCTCTCTCTCTCTCTCTCTCTCTCCCGGGCATAGGGGCAGTTCAATGCCCCCGGGCATCAAGCCCACCCGTCGTGTTGACGGTCACGGGGGTGACAAAAGAACGTGGGACATTGTCAAGGCTAAGGCTCGAAAGACAATGTCCCCCCGTTCTATGGGACAAGTAGCATATGCCAGATCCCCCATTTTCTCACAAAGATATCGCTAATCTAGAACATGTAGGAATACAAATTATTCACCGGTTGGGGGATTCTCTGGCGATGCATCAACGACGGCAGATTGAGGTTTCAGCACAAGGTCAGTACGTGGCTCGTACACAACAGGCTAACTTTTACGGAGATTTCCTCAATGTCCGCCATTCAAAAAGTCACAAGGATGCTCAGGCCTTTTGTTCAATTCTAAGGATGATCTCCAGCTACAAAAAACTAGCGATACAGACTGAGGCCCAAGCGAAGTCCGGTTTTGGCCGCTCCCCCGTTTTCGCTCAAACAACAGCGGAAGATGGTTGCATAGGTAAAGGTGTATCACATTCGGAGAGAGCAGCCACCGACTTTCGTGCTACAGCACTCAACAGCATCACGCTTTGATATGCTCAGGCCTTTTGTTCAAGTCTAAAGATGATCCCCAATCACATAGAAATAGCGATGTAAACTGAGGCCCAAGCGAAGTCCGGTTTTGGCCGCTCCCCCTTTCCTTTCAAATTAAAAATTAAAGGCCCATGCAAAAAATTAAACGGATGAAGGTATTAACTACAACAAACACTCCACAAACAACACACACATACGAATACCTCCCTCGAGTCACGGAGAAAGCCATCACCGAACAGACTAAAGCGGCACCACAGCGGAGGTAAAGACGGGAGCCTTCGCTGCAGATGTACACATCTTCTTGTAAACTTGCCAATTCTTCTGAGGCAGTCGAGGTAGTACAGGTAGCAGTGATGGTAGTTAGTAGTCGTGGCAGGAGCAATAGCAGTAGAAGTGGGAGTGGGTTTGGCAGCCTGAGTAGATTCGACCAGTAACTGTATTGCTGCTCGAACTTTGGTCAAGAAACTGCATACTCTCAAGCATCTTATACGTCGGCCTGGATACCCTTCCCCACGTCAAGCCCCAACGAATCTCGTCGGTTTTCGGTGATGTTAACCGCAGCAGAAGCGCTTCCCTGCGCACCTCTCAGCCTTGAAGCTCGCAGTACCTCCTACAAGTGGTCGTGCTCCACTAGCCGTACCTTGCCGCTGTGCAGAGGACTGCATCTGAGGCCACTGCAACAGATGCTTTCGGGGAGCAGCCAGCGTCGTCCGACCTTGCATTGCCCAGATTCTCCCTGGTGGTCTTGAGGCTTCTGGATGTCTCAGGTTCGAGTCTGTTTCACCAGAGGAGCTAGAACAGATGCTTCAGATGCTCGTTTCAGCCAACCGGTGGCCAGAAAAAACAGGCACATGCCGCGTCACTGGAGGCACATGCTCCCGTGAACGCAGAGCCCGTTGCATCGTACAACTTCACCCGTTGCATCTTAGCAGCAGGCGCAGTGATCCGAGCGTGAGGATGAGTTTCACTGGTTTTCGCTTCCTGGTGCGAGACTGTATACAGGGAGTATTGCCTGCTTGTCGGGCTTCCTGGGTACGTATGCTGGCCGGCTCGTTTGGAGTTGGAGTGATACATTAAATAAGTTTGATATGACAGACCCTCTCTCCTTTTCCGCCTTCGGAGGTCTTCTGAAGCCTCCTGAGGAGCTGAAGCGATCAACAGAACGAACTGAGACACTCATGTTTGAACTACTCAGACTCCTCCGGCCACACAAGCTCCACCTGAAGCAATGCCAAATCTCTCTTACTGACCCCATCGAAGTGTGCGAGCCCGTGACTGTGGCGGGTGAAACGAATCGAGGACACATGCGGCCTTGGCGTCTTCGCAGACCCCTTCATCGACCACTCCACATGGGAGCCTCTGGAGGCCACATCCCACTTCTTGGTGGCATTTACAGAAGGACCGAGCGAGGTGAGCCCCTTCAGCATGGAGGACCTCGCACTTTGCTTGCGGGCATGAGGCACGAAGAACTTCGGACAGCATCACTTAAGGGAATCTGGCGAAAGTGATTGCAGCCGCCGGTCCGAGAAGGCCAGAGTGGCTTGCCTTCAGCAACTCCGAAGTGCTGCAGGGCCTGCAAAATACCTGTACGGTAAGTACGGTGCCTGCAATCAGCTGCAGCCTGCACTTCCTCCTTTTCCAGCAGCACAAAGAGCCTCACAAACTCTCCAACGCCACCACGATCAACAGCAGCAACCGCAGTGCAGCACCCAGGATCCTGCCGAGGGCTTAGGGGTCTAGAACATCCTACGAGGGTACTCAACACATCACAAAACTCTTCACTTCGAGCACAACCTGTGGTGAAAATAAGCGCAGACTTTGGCTCGGATCCTGCCCGCCTTCCACCTCAGAGCCTCTGGCCTGTCCGGATCCAACCAAGCCCGAGCCCGCGACGAACGCACTTCGGGCTCGCAGGGTCAACGCTCTCCGCCGCTCTCCCTTCAAATCCACCTGAAGCCCTCTCCGTGCCGCATCGAAGCGTGAGCCAGAGCCCGGAAGCGAAGGAACAGAAGCCAAACCCGGGAGAGGGGGGGCAAATGTCGCGACACAATGAATCCTTCCATCTCAGCACCTGTCTTAGCCGCTTGCCATGTGACGGGTGCCACGGCCGCCTCTAAACCAGGACAGCAAGCGGATGCTGAATCCCTGTGTTTGCAAGTTCTTTGAGGCACAAGCGACCAATCCGACAGTTCTGAGCCACTTGAGCCTGCAAAGAGAGCCTGTGCATCACTTCAACGCCTTTGAGGCTTCGAGCTCAATCCTGCTGGTGCCTCCGCGGCCTTCTCGACAGAACATCAGCCATAGAATAAGAATTAAGAGGCGCACAAACTCTTGCCTCTTGTCTCTTGTCCTTGCACTAACGTCCTTCAAGTGATAGCATGTGATATTGAACTCCCTGTGCCTGAACGGCAGTTTAGCTGCGAGCTGTACGTCTGCAGCACTCAATATCACTCAATGGTCAAATTGAATGCAAATGCAGGTGGGGCTTCTTGTGCTGGCTTTCCACGAGTTCTAAGCCTGTCTGACATCCCTTTGGGAGGCCAAAGCTTCTAACCTAGCTGCCTCAGGCCCACCGAGATCAGCGCACGTTGTCACCGCATCGGTTTGGATCCGTCAGACATCAGCGTAGCGGCGGAGCTTGTAGAGGCAGAGTCTCCCATCTTTCTCTTTCCATGCCAGTCCAAACCATAGTCCTGGACAAACCGACGGCACGCTAGCAGCACCGGCCAGGAACTCTGAAAAGCTCTCCAGTCTAAAGCTTGTCCCAGTCTATGGACGAGGGACGAGGTTTCCAGGTTAAGCTTCCAGTCGGCTAACAGCTGAGTAATTTTTCTAGCTGGTTCACGATGACTTGCTGCATGTCCTCGCAAATTGAGGGTTTAGGATTCCCCTTGTTGGTCGTACATCCTTTGAACTACGTCACGTGGACATGTGCAAGCATGCGTAGCAATCTGTGGGACATTGTGGGACCTGATGTACACATCCTAATGTTGTCTAACTGGCCAGCTCTATTACCTGGGAACTGAGGCACAAACGTCTGCAGCTTCCTGTCCGTCCAAGACCTTCAGCGTAGCACAAAAGACTCGCAGATTCAAGCTTGAACGCAAGATGAACGGTGCTCAGTTGCGGGCGGCAATATGGTGTTTGCTCTGTCTGGAACTTGCTGCGACAGCAGAGTCCTCAGCGCGTCACGACGATGTGGCGATTGCACTTATCCCCCAGAAGTCGCGGGCACCCTCGGCCCTACTGTTACATGCCTTTTCTAAGGATCCCGCACAGACAACTTCTTGGACAAGTGGGACTGACTTCACCATCGGTCCTTAGGCCCTGACATCCGTGGTTCTGCAAACAATTCCGATGCACTTCGGGATTGAGACATCCTTAGCTTCAAACCGGCACACCGGGCACAGGCTGACAGCATCCTGACAGATCGGCCAGCAACACATCCAATCCGCCAGGCACCGCTACCCCGAGATTTCAATAGAAGGCTGACACAAACCATCAGCTACCAAACAGCAGCCATCTTCATCATCCAGCATCAACGCTCGAATTTGCTGCGTGTAGGAGTCTGGCGGTCTGCCAGCCATCAGCAGTTTAGCATATGTTGGCAGGCTTTCTCAGCCGCAGGATTTCATGCACCCAGAAGACGGTTCTGGACACGGCCAGCGAGACAAGCCGCGCCACACAGACCGAGAGAGGGAGAGAGAGAGAGAGAGAGAGAGAGCGAGAGAGAGAGAGAGAGAGAGAGAGAGAGAGAGAGAGAGAGAGAGAGAGAGGGAGGGGGAGGGAGAGAGGGAGGAGAAGGACAAGGACAAGGAGAGGGGGTATGGCACCGCGAGCCAAGGCAGGGGCCGATTGGGGAGGCGGGAGGGCAAAGTGCCCTTGGCCCGTAGGAAGTCTGCAAACTGCGCACTTCGCTGTGAAGTGACCTGAGCTGCTCGGGCTCGCTGAATCGATCCAAACTCCGAGCTGTCCGGGTGCGAGCTCCCAACTCCATGAAGCGGCGTGGAGAATGTCATCGCCATTCGAGCACGACCTTCCGGAACCGCGCAGCCACGCAGCGCATCTTGCTATACTTCCTGGACCTATCGTGCAATTGACGATGCTAGGGAGAGCACGTTCTTCCCTGCGACTGTGAGTAGGGAATGCATAGTCAAACGGCCTCCGTGGGTTGACTCAGCAGCAGCACAGGCCCGCGCTAATGGCTAAGAATGTCAGCGTCCTGTCTGCTCAACATCGAAGAGCCACATTTTGGGAATCACCTCTTGTGCTTGCTCAGGCTGCAGCCGTGTGGGCTGCTCAGGGGCTGTTTCACGACCTCAACTGCCCCGAGCACACATTTCATGTGTTGTGACCAGACTCCAGCTTTGGGCATTTCCCTGTTTGATTGGTCCATAGTGCCATAGACTCGGGGAGACGGTGAAGCGGAGCAGTGGAGAAGAGACAGTGTCTGGGTTCGCAGAGACCGATGGTCGATTTTCCGGCTGGTCCGCACAAAAGGCTGACGGAAACATGAGGAGCCAGCACTGCAGCGATCTGTGCTCTCCCTCCTGCACATTGGGCCGCCGTCTCAATGATTTGCGGGTGACCAGCTCAGCTGCTCAGCTCGGCGCTCTCTCCAAAAATGGCACGACCACGTCCTGCACTTTACAACTGGAACTGGGAGTTCGGGTATGCCAGCCATGGGACACCAACAAAACCACAGGCTGTCTTGGTCGAACATGTGCACAGACGTGCAAAGTAGGCAGGTAGGCTATCCCATCCTGTGGAGGGGAAGGACCTTTGAAGCGCTGGAAGTTCCTCGGCCCATCTTGAGTTACGCATGGGACCGCAAGACCAGCTCAGCAGGTTCTCAGCTGAAGGCGCAAAGCTGGATCCGAGTCGCTCCAGATCACCGGATGCCGCCAAATGGATGCTGACCGGACCTGTCAAGTTGCGTGCCCCTGCGAATGCGACATTGACATTTGCTCCGGGCCTTTGGCAAATTGCTTGGCAGCTATGCGGAAGGAGTGCTGCTGTGCACATGCCTTGCCATCGTGAAGCGATGCCGCACACCCTAGCGAAGTGACAGGGGAGCTTAATCGCCCCGACTCCCCACCAGACTTAGTAGAAAGCTGGGCCTGCCTTATGCGAGCTCGTGGTTGTCGGATCGTTGTCAAGACACATTGCTCGGACCGCGGCGATAACTTGAACCTCCAAGTTCAACAATGCAGATCTGCAAACTGGCTGCTGACCACGTCTATGCTGTGCCCACCCGCATCCCGAATCTCTGCAGAATGAAATCGTACAGGAGCCTTTCGTCAACAGGCATTTCACTGACGGCCTTCGGCCCTTGCAGTTGACGAAACGTGTGGAAATGGTGTCTGTCAAGGCCCTGTTTCAGCTTGACACTGCGAAGTCAAAATGAATTCAGTGTGAGACAGGTCCAAGGACCCAAGCCCTAGCAAGCCCTAGCAAAGCAAATGATTACAACACTGTTCCAACACTGCTACCCTTCACGATGACCGACTACGGTCACCGCGTCGCCGCGCTCTCTTAGCCTCCATGGCGGCTCATAAGCTCACGAAGCGCAGCTGCGGTATGTCCTGCATGACCTGAAAGCATCGACATAAGCTGTGCAACTTCTAGCTGCTGCTCCGTTTGCAGCCTTGGTGAAGTCGGAGTTTTTGCAATACCTGGCCACAGCCTCAGAAAGAAGCATGATGGATTCCGCTAAAGCCTTTTGCTTAACGTGGATAGGAAAGCCACCATTACCGTGCTATAGTTTCATGTGCATTACTGCAACCATCAATGCATCGATGAGTCTTCCATCGCGACGATACCGATTTCCGAAACATCATCGCCTGTCGTAGCCTCAATAACTGCCGAATGCCAGTGGCCCGCCTCGCTAGACCACGACACGACGAAAAGTTGGAAGACGTGGATTTCTGTGGAAGCATCACGTAAGGAATAAAACTGAATTCGTTGACGGATCCGACTGTTGTGTTTCAGACATGATGTCAGGCTAGACTTCGATGCACTTTGCACGTGATTTACCGATGCTTTAAGACTGGCCTTGAAATCCGAGTTTGATATCCGAACGCCTAAAGCCCAGACCTTTCAAAAGGCCGAAAGCCATGTAGCACATACATCCCTACGCCTTAAGCCCCTTGCCACCGCTGTTCCTTCGTAGCTCTGATAGAATTTGCTCAAAAGCCCTGTTCAATCCTCCAAAACCCCAAGCCCTAAAGCCTCAACCCTGAATTCCCTCCCCGTCCCAGCTCGCCCAGATTTCACACGGGTTGTAGCCTTTGAAATTTGAACATGAATGAAATATTGTATCATCCGTTCTGGTACGTCAAAATACGTCAAATCCGTATTCAATATGCCACAGGAAATTGATGATAACGGTCCTTGGCTTGAATTTAGCCTTGTTGACGGCTGCCGCCACAATCAACATCATATTGGAGTCCAGCGGGGGTGTCCACCATTCCCCCATATCGCATTGGCCAACACTATACCGAACGCGTCCGTGGCATACTCGTGGCATCTCGCATGGAGGTCGCCCAAAAGAAGGATCCCGCCGCCGTGCACAGCGATGCCCTGTCCTTCGCGACCCGGAGTGCCGTAGCTGGTCCTCCTTCTTTTCTTTCACTTTTCGATCGCCGCTTTCGCCGCCGGAAACACCTTCGCGTCAAACTTTGCGAGGGGCTCTTCCGCAAGTTCACGAACGTTCTGGACCTCTTGTTCGGGAGCTGAAAAAAGCAGATGACGTCTCTGACCTCCCACGTGGCGTATTGCTTGCCATCGGCATTCCTTTTATGTGCCCAGAAAATCCCAGAAATTTTGACACGTTCATGTCTATGTTTCTGGGTTGGTTTTGATGCAGATCCATTATCGTGATGATTGGCCTCGCCCTTTCGCACATCCTCCGAGCGATCGTGTCCATACGGAACGGTTGGCTTCCTTTGAAGATGAGGAGGCCACGGATGGATCCAGGCAATTGCCATGGGGATCATGGGGCCGGCGCTCGACTTCACTCCGCTGGTTGTCGGTCTCATCTTTGGTGTTTCCAATAATTCGTTTGGCTTTCTTGAGGAAGATCGAGATGTCCTCCGGTGAAGTTGCGGCCGTCTCAGCCTCGGAGAGGATGAGGTGGCTGCTCCGGGGCCAGCTGCAAGCGTGCCATGGTCGTTCTCTCGTCATGCTCCCTGGCGTGCCCATCTCACCCTGGCGAGCCGTGCGCAAAATCCGCCGAGGCCAGGCGTCTTGATGGTTAATACTAACCAACCCTCTACCTAATCCTTCTCCCTGCAGCCCAAACGCAAACTTCCACCCGTTTTTAGCGACTGTTTTCGACCCCCTTGCCCGGCTTCCGTCCTTTTTTGCTGCCCAATTTGCCTCCCCCCCTCCTGCCCCCCCCCCTCTACCCCCACCCCCCTTCCCCCCTCCTACCCCCTCCCCGCCCTGCCCCCGCCCTGCCCTGCCCCCACCTCCCCTCCCCCCCCCCTCCCCCCTCCCTCTCGGCCTGCCCCCGGCTCCACTGTCTTTTCTTCTTATGTTTCGTTTGCGTGCTTCTTTCCTGCTTCCTCGTTGAAGCTCTCGTTTTGCTGTTTTGTTCCGGCCCCTTTTCCCACCCTTCCGCTTGTCTGCACTTCTTTTGGCTTGTTTTCCTTCCTTCCCCCCCTCCCCCTCTTGCTGGCCCCCCCTTCCTCCTCCGGCCGGCCAGTCCACCCTTCCGTGTTGTCCTGCCCTCGCGTGTTTTTTCGACCTTTTCTCCTCTTTCAGCCTGCCCCCCACCGAGCCGGCTCCACTGCCTTTTCTTCTTATGTTTCGTTCGCGTGCTTTGGCTTTTTCGGCCTGCCCCCCCCCGGGCCGGCTCCACTGCCTTTTCTTCTTATGTTTCGTTCGCATGCTTTGGCTCTCCTGCTTCCTCGTTGAAGCTTCCCCCCCCCCCGACCCTCCCTCCCTTCCCCGGCCCCCCTCCCCCGGGCCTTCCCCCGGCCCCTTTTCCCACTCTTCCGTCTTGTCCTGCCCTCGCGTGTTTTTTCCATTGCGACTTTTTCGTGCACTTCTTTTTGGCTTGTTTTCTTCCCCCCCCCTCCCCCTGTGCCGATACACCCACAAGGAATACTCCTTGTTAGGAGGTGTATGACCAGTTATTCCCTAAGGATCAAAGGGCAGCGCCCTGCACACGGACAGTAGTTGTTTTGTCTTGCTACGCAAGGAGAGCTTGTCTTGTCTCAATATGGTAAAACCACTGTGAGCCAATGGGCAGCGGAATGTATATGTATGAGCATGCAGCCATTGCTGTAGGTACCTGTTAGAGCTACCCCTTTAGAGGTTTATGGTTTCAAACAGACACTAATTTTCTTTTACCGGAAGCATGGCCGCACATTCACACATATACTATTATGCCCACTGTCACAGTTGCGGAGTCTGGACTCATGATGAAAACAGCATATTATTTAAGCTAGGTATAGCACTGAAGTACACTGCTGAGGACACTCCTTTTGCACACACTCATGCATGTTGGTCAGAGAGATCGTCTGTACAAGATCATGTCTGGTGATATTTTCTACATCGAATTATGCAGCCCTTCACTTTGCTCTTGTTAGAGCTTTGTGAGTCACTGTTGTGAAACTCCGAGATTTTCCTTATCTCAGATTTGGATCCAGGTTTGGATCATAGGCTCGAGCGTAGACGTTCGGATGTGGCTCATCCGGGTCTGAGTGATCTTCTTCGGAACTTGAATAAATTCCGAGTAGTCTGTTCTCAGCCCTGGTGAAGGCGGCGTCTGCAGTATCATATCCATGGTTGGATGTTGTCGCCTTTGGCTCGGCCTTTGGCGCAGCTTGTGAGCTGACTGGAGTTGCCTTGGCTTTAGCCGGTTGTGGCTGCTTAGCCTTTGCCCGTTCAGCCCTTCTTCTTTCAAGCTGTCCGTCTGAGGACGCCCATGATCTTTCACTTTCATCTCCTGAAGGAGATAAGGCGTGGGCATAAAGGCTATTCCAGTACTGTGCTGCAGAAGGAGTTAGGACTTCTTCATTGTCAGATTCTGACTGGTCTTCCTCAGAGCTTTGGTCGTCAAAGAGTGTCTCGAGGACATTTTTGAGATTGTTATTTCTTCGCTCTATCTCTAGTGAGGAATGGACCAATTGGTTAAAGACTGTCCTTGAGTCCTTCAGTGCTGTTAGAAGGATTTCCACTCTGGATAGAGTATCTTGGATGGTGTCAAGATGTTCCTTCCTTTCCTCCTTGTCTCTCTGGATAGAGCTTCGCAATGATTGTGCGATTCTGAGGAGGTCTGTGTATTTCGTAAGAGGCATAGTTACCGTTTGATTGTCATGTATGACAGTTGTTTCGTCGCCGCTTAAGTTCCTGAATAGGACTTCCACGACTGGTAGAAACTCCGTGCTCCACGGTTCCTCTTCATCATATGTTTCTACGTGCTGTAGCACGCGTTGTGTAAACTGATCGGCTGCTTCTACCGTTGCATCGATAGAGCTGACGTGTCTTGCTGCCATGTTTCGGCACGTAATGTTAATTGCCTGGCCTTGATTGGCTTCGTTAAGTGCAGCGTCTGCATAGGTGCAGAGTCCACTGTTGTGGGCTTCTCTGGCTGCCTTTCGTTGAATGCGCCGATTTTGACCTCCTCTTCTGGTAGGACCTTTTGGTCTCGGAGGATCTGAAGGTACTGTTCCTTTCGCCTTTGGCGGAGGACTCTTAGGTGGAGGTGACATGTTTGCCTTGTTAGGCACTGGTGGCATTGCCTTGGGCGCTGACGACGATGCGGCACTTGAGAGTGCAGATGTACCTTTGGCTTTTGCCGAGGATCCCTTGGGGATCGATGTATAGGTAATCTGCATGGCTTCTTCGGCCATTTGTGCATGCAATGCATCTTTGAATAATTGTGTCATATGAGGAGTGGTACTTGCATCATCGTAGGTCTGGAAGCGCTCAATGTCTCTTTCGGTGCCACGTGGACGTGTATCACCTCTTTGAAAAGGATCGTTCCTGCGAATCTCCGCAACTTGTACTGCATGGAGGCAGTTTTTGCACAGCACCTTCCTGCAAACATCTCTTGCTTGCTTGAGCTGGTAACAGCTGTCTGAGAGATGGTAGACTTCGCTTCGGGAAGTATGCCAGATAGGTCGCAGATCAGTTGTTTCTCCGGAATTGACCCT